TTTCGAAAGAAACCAGATGATAATTGTGACCTCTAGAGTGTCCACACGCTAAAAAAAGTGACTTTTCGTACAATCAGGGGTCATAATTCATGAAGTTTCAATCCGATACATGCCAATATCGAAAGGAACCTAGATCTTTTGGGGATAAACCTATATTTCAAGTCTCGTCAAAATCGGATAAGAATTGTGACCTGTATAGTGTCCACATACAAATTATGGATGGACGTCCGGACGGACAGGGGTGACGACAATATACGTCCATATGAAAATGTGGGCGTATGAAAATATCTATTTGATATAAGGTAAAACATAATACATTGCAATCTGCTAATTACAGTATGAGAACCATATAAAGCAGTGGACACATCAGCCGAATCGTTCGGCCGAATCAATCAGCGCCGAATTTTATTCGGCCGAATGGGTGGACACACTAGCCGAATGCTTCGCCCGATTCAACCTATCGATTGCATCACCTTTCACGTCACATGATTAAACATGGCGGCGTCTATGTTTTCAATCTATCACGTGACTTCTCGATATGAGTGGTGATTGGCTAATGAATTCTATATTCGGCCAAATGGGTGGACACACTAGCCGAATGCTTCGCCCGATTCAGCCTATCGATTGCATCACCTTTGACGTCACATGATTAAACATGGCGGCGTCTATGTTTTCAATCTATCACGTGACTTCTCGATATGAGTGGTGATTGGCTAATGAATTCTATATTCGGCCGAATGCTTCGGCGAAGCGGACACACCAGGCGAATATAACTCGGCCGAATATATCAAACCTGTTTGATTCGGGCGAATCATTCGGCCGAATAGAAATTCGGCCGAATGACAGTGGACACGCTAGGCGAATTTCGACGCCGATTGATTCGGCCGAACGATTCGGCCGAATCATTCGGCTAGTGTGTCCACATAATACATTACAATGGAAACGAGGCTAATTGAGATGACGTCACGCGAATGACAGCCGAATGACAGTGGACACGCTAGGCGAATTTCGACGCCGATTGATTCGGCCGAATCATTCGGCTAGTGTGTCCACATAATACATTACAATGGAAACGAGGCTAATTGAGATGACGTCACGCGCTGGGTGGAAATTCTTGGGTGAAAATTATAAAAATCAAATTATTTTAAAATTGACTTGGGTGAAAACTATAAAAAACAAATTATATTAAAATTGACTTGGGTGAAAATTATAAATAACAAATTATATTATTTTTCATGTCCCTTATCAGCCACCGTATCCTTCCACTCCTCTATGGTGTTATACTCTCTCGTTACTATCATCTTCACGGTTATAGTGAATCCCCCAGTTGCAGTTAGTAAGTATTGTTTAAGGGGGACCACGTGGCTAAGTGGGTAAGACGCTGGCTCGCTAGCCTGGAGGTCGGGTGTTCGATCCCTGCATAGACCGAGAAAGTTCATCCAGATTTTCCGGCATGGTTCCCCGTCGTCAGTGATGCAGGACGGAGGGCCTGACAAGGACAGCTGTCTAGTCCTTCGGATGAGACGAAATAACCGAGTTCCCGTGTATACATTGGAATGCACGTAAAAGATCCCTTGGCAGTTGAATTCGATATAAAAGTAGGCGATAGTGCCGCTGCCCGGGCAAAATTTCCCTCATAGCACACTGTATGGCGTATGCCCGTCTTCATTAGCCCAGTTTAGGAGCAGAACAGTAGGACGTTAAACCCCATTTCATTTCATTTCAGTATTGTTTAATGGTCGAGAGCGAGACATTAAACATACATTATGCAAGAGCTAAATCTGCCTATTGCAGGTCTTTCTTTAGGCCTGAAATGTTATATAAACTATTAATTAGACATTTATTAACAAAACAAGACCATAATCGACTCTCGATGGCATCGGATACTCGAGATTTTAACTAGATTAAAACGGTTCGCCATTTAAAAACTTAATTTAAAAATGGGAAAGCGAGGCTAAGTCCCGATTATACCAGTGTCCTGGTTACCACTGTGCACACATCTTGTGAAAACTACAAACAATGATTACTTGGCTGAGAATGAAGTGATTTGAATGAAATTTTCAATATTTTCTTTTTGTATCATCTATTTTTGAATTATTATAGCAAGAATGACCAGGAAATTTAGGCCCAGTCCTAAAATACTAAAAGCTTAATTACATATTATTATACGTTGATATCGATTCTTCTATAGCATCATTCTTCCTCCACTCCTCTGTGGTCTTATACTATCCCATCACTATCATATTCACGGTTATATTGAACCACCCAGTTAGTAGTACCACGAGTGCGTGGGGCGACTGACTGTACAAATGTTGTCTTAACTCTCACAAACAGGCGTAGTTGACAGGCCGATCTCAAGATTCGGTCCCATTGACACCCCGGTTGTACGTGACAAGGAGTAGGGTCGCCTGTCCAACCTCGTGGGTTCTCTCCGGGTCCTCCGGTTTCCTCCCACTGCTAAAGACCCCTACGCGCAAGCGAATTATGGAAATAAAATTGAACCATATGTTAGTCCCGAAATGACCTAGTCTGTGTCGAGTGGACGTTAAACCTCATTTCTCTCTCTCTCCCATTGACACCCCGATTACCTGCCGGAGAACAAATACCCTGGCGGTTACGAGAGCCTCAAACGGAACGAGGTCCGACCGGGGCCCAACGGTGCGAAAGTCTGGACAATGGCCTCAAAGTATTTAAGGAGACGCTTGCTAGCCTGGAGCCCGCGGTTTCGATTCCTGTGTTGGTAAGGTTTCCCTTTGTCAGTGGTGCAAGACGTATGACCTGACAAGAACAGCTGTCTAGTCGTTGGAATGGTACGAAAAACCGAGGTCCCGTGTACACATTGGTGTGCACGTAAAAGATATGAGTAGGACGTAGCGCCGCTGTCAGGGCAAAATTTCTCGCTTATATCACACTGTATGGCGTAAGCCCGTATTCATTAGCCCAGTCGGAGCAGAACAATAGGACGTGAAACCCCATTTCATTTTATTTTCATTTACGGCATTCAACTCTTCTGTATTTTCGCCGTAGAGATAAATCGAACACGAACTTTGTAATTTTCAAAGATTACGTTTTAATTGGCGTGACAAATAGACTTATACAGTGATAGTGAGATATTAATCATATATTTTTGATTGATTCATGAGTAAATTCTGGATGCAAGATACTCGTTAACCTATGACACGTGAACATATCTAACTTATCTCCGTTGTTGTGACAGAGAGGTGTGAAAACTTAAAGTTACAATTTCATATTTTCTAAGAAAGACAAAACATAATTATTTCTATGTCTTTTGCTCAATAGGTTGTCAACTCACTATTATACGATCATATGTGTGATTCTCACACTTAAAACTCATTTACACCGGAAATAATAACACAATTACCTCCCAATTACCTCCCATGTTTTCTATTGTCCACCATGGAGTAGCTATCTTCAAACGTTTGAATTTGAAGTTGAGAATGATATTTTTGCCAATTTCTCAACTGGCAATAGTGAATTATAGGATTAATAGGATTATTCTTTAACAAGGTAGGACTGTTTATAGATACCATCTATTTTAAGGCTTTTTTTTTAATAATTTTATAAATATAACGTAAACATATGAAATTGCAACTTTAAGTAAACAAGGGGTTATTATTATGGGGGTGGGGCTCGATGGTCGAACGGTTAGCGCGTACATTGCATCATGGGGTCTGTCATTAAGTCAACTGGCGTGATTTCGATTCTCCGGTTGTACGTGACATGGAGTAGCGTCGCTTTTTTAACCTCGTGGGTTTTATCCGGGTCCTCTGGTTTCCTCCCATTGCTAAAGGCTCCTAAGCGCATGCGAATTATTAAAATGAAATTGGACCGTATGTTAGTCCCGAAATGACCTAGTTTGTGTCGAGTCGACCCCTCTCTCTCTCTCTCTCTCTCTCTCTCTCTTATTAACGGTTAACTACATGTATGTTAATGAAATTTTTCCCGGACAGCGGCGCCGCTACACGCAACCTCGGTTTTTCGTTGGGTTTTCGTTCGATCCGATCGACTAAACGTGCAAAATGTCCCTCATAGCACACTGTATGACGCATGCCCAACTTCATTATCCCAGTCGCAGCAGAACAGTAGGACGTTAAACCCCATTTTATTTAATAGCTCCATACATGAAGACCCCGTTATCTTTTTCCGTTTATATCTGAGGTTTGTCTGATAGCTAACGATGTTGACCGAGGAAGGGATTTTGCCCGTTTCAGTAGTGCAGAACGGAGGGCATGACAAGGGCAGCTGACTAGTTGTTCGGATGGTACGAAAAACTGAGGTCCCGTGTACACATTGGTGTGCACGTAAAAGATCTCTTGGTAGTTGGAATTCGATATAAGAGTAGGCCGTAGTCCCGTTGTCCGGGGAACATTTCCCTCATAGCACACTATATGGCGTATGCCCGTATTTATTAGCCCAGTTTGGACCAGAACAGTAGGACGTTAAGCCCCATTTCATTTCAGATCAGAACATTAGGACGTTAAACCCCATATTTTATTTAATAGCCCTCAAGGGGGGTTGGATGGCCGAATGGTTAGCACGCGCGTGCTGTATCACGAGGCCTGTCATTGAGTCAACTGGCGTGGTTTCGAATCCCCGGTTGTACGTGACAAGGAGTAGGGTTGCCTGTCCAACCTTGTGGGTTTTCTCCGGGTCCCCCGGTTTCCCCCCACTGCTTAAGACCACTATACGCGCAAGCGAATTATTGAAATAAAATTAAACCATATGTTAGTCCCGAAATGAACTAGTCTGAGTCGAGTGGACGTTAAACCCCATTTCTCTCTCTCTCTTTAACAACCCCCGTTATCAACAGCTGTTTGTATTTATATATCTGAACATTGCCTGACCTCATTATATAATATAAATAGTTGACGTGTTGTTGTCATTTCACGTATGGCATTTATGATAACATAGCTCATAAAACGTAGATTACAGACACAAACAGGACGTATTGGGCAAGCTACACAGCCAGGTGTTTTTATTTACCTGTGGCGGACATCTAATAGGACTATTGGGCAAGCTACACAGCCAATTGTTTTTATTTACCTGTGGCGGAGATCTTATAGGACTATTGGGCAAGCTACACAGCCACGTGTATTATTTACCTGGACGGACATCTAGGTAGGCTGTACAGTCAGGAATATACCTGTGACAGACATCCAGGTGTATTTACCTGACAGATATCCACTGCACAACCAGGTAGGATAATGATTTTGATCAATTTGACTGTTAATTTGGGTCGAAACAGAAACAAAAAATATGGACTTCATCTCGTTGTATATGTTCATTATCTCCGGGATGACAAATTCAATGTAGAAATAAATAAGTCTCATTTCAAATTTCTGAAACGTCATCCTAAGCCAAACTGAAGGACAATATCTTATGTTAAAAAAAACGATTTGAAACATGTTATATTTAGTTAATAATCCTCAATGTCATCTGTTCGACAGCCTCAGACCTCATGATAAGAAAACTCTCGCACCCCACCCCCTGGAGTCGTCGACTATACACAGAATTAGAGACAGAATCCCATTTTTAAATAGAATCCGGCCTTCCATTAGTAGTTTGTTTGGTTTTTTTTTGGTTTTTTTTGTTTTAAAACATATGCAGTAGATATATGATTATCTCTCTCTTTGGCAACCGCGGATCCGTGTGTGAGTGGGGGAGGGGGGGGGCGGGGGGTAGGCTCAATTTCAATTTAGGGGTCCGGGGCCCGAAAGAGTCGAAAATGGCATCTACAGCGTTTTAATTTTTCAAATGTTCCGTAGGCGCTCGCGAATTGTCACTTCAATATGGAAGTCTGAAATTTCTACCCCACCCCCTCCGTATTAAAAATGTTGCTACTGGACAATGTATTTTGTTCATGTGGCGAATCCATTCGCTGTCATTACTTGAATTCGTCCGCTTAACTCTGTGGCCTGATCAATAATTGCGTTTGATTTTTGTTGTTATCTCTTCTACATTTTTCATCTTTAATCCGACCAAAGTCCATTTGTGAGCGATCCACACTTTTTTTTTTTTTTTTTGCCGATGAAATATTTTTGAAACGTAGATAGATATTTATGGAAGACCAAACAGCTCTTTATTCAGTGTTCTTAATTCTTAGTTTTTAATTCATAGTCCTTAATTCATAGTCCTTAATTCTTAGTTTTTAATTCTTAGTTTTTAATTCTTAGTAATAAATTCGTAGATTTTAATTCATAGTCCTTAATTCTTAGTTCTTAGTTTCTAGTCCTTAATTCTTAGTTTTTAATTCATATTCCTTAATTCTTAATTCATAGTCCTTAATTCTTAGTTCTTAGTTTCTAGTCCTTAATTCTTAGTTAATAATTCTTAGTTTTTAATTCATAGTCCTTATGTTTTGCCGATACTTTTTAAAAGATGAAATATTTTTGAAACATAGATATGTATTGCTACTTTGAGAGTTTGAAATCATTACAAAATATCCCAAGTTTCCCAAATTGCGACTACAGTGTAATTCCCTTTACTAACCATTGCAAGTAAGATGATGTTCAAGTTTAATTTGTGACACTACGGGGGAACAGATGTGTGACTATCTTTCGTCACATTAATTAGGAAGTACCTTTGACTTTACGTTGTGTATAAAATAATTTCCAAGGATCAACTGATCCTGGAACGCGGTGTTGGTTTATAACCATGTCTATATATCAAACACAGAAAACTACAACATTTATGATAGTACATTAGGAGTTATTATAATATCTACAGTCTGGAGTTTAACAGAGACTGCGAGTACGTTCTAAGAACTTCACATGCTGTCGGTATCCCGGCCTCTAAGCCGAGGCGGCTAGTCGCACGGCTATGAACGCCGGATGATGTCTAAAGGGAAATTTAACCTTATATAGAAAGTATAGATGCGACAGGGAGGGATAATTACCATTTGGGGGTAAGTGTTTCGTAAAGGCACCGTTTTACGTCAACATTATTCTATTTAATTGACCTAATCTGTAAACAAGATGATTGGACGATAGTACCCTACTTTCAGCAATTGAAGGTGGCAGAAAATGTCTGTGAGTTAATCTAAGAAACTTGACTCTTGCAAAATACCTACTTAGCCTATTTCAAGTTGTCATCCATTTGTTTAACCACTTTAATGTATTAAACAGAGCATCTTTCATACAACTAAAATAACCCCTATATAGTATTACAAATTTCAATTTCGGGGTCCGGGACCCAAAATTGTCCGAAATGGCATCTCCAGCCTTCCACTTATCAAATGTTCTGGGACAGGCGTTCGCAAATTGTCACTTCAGTATGGAGATCTAGACTCTTGATTACAAATTATCCCATGGACCATGCATCTTTAATGACACGGTCACTTGTACTAAACGGCACAACAAACTGTTTTATTGTCGGATGCTAAACCTTTCAATGTCACTTTTGGGGTAATGTTTTATATCTTTAAACATACATTATGCAAGCGCTAAATCTGCCTATTGCAAGTATTTATTTAGGCTTCAGATGTTATAGAAATTATTAATTAGACCTTTATTTACACAACAAGCTCAAAATCAACTCTGTAGATCCACGGATGACTTGGATACAGTTTGGGTTTAAACAGTCCTCCATTTAAAATTAAATCAATAAATGGCGGACCAAGCTAACGTTTACCGTTAGTCGCTGATGTCACTACCGGAAACTAGTGATGAAAGGCCTGCAAAGCGAGGCTACCATAGTCATTGAGCATGCTACTTGATAATCGAGAATATGTGGGTGGAGTTATCGTCTGTCAATCAAACGATCGCCAATTCTCATAGACAGTGCAGACACAATTGATGCCTATTTCTAGTCCAAACTTCTAACAGTGACAATTCCGTTCAGAACAAAGTAATTTGACAGAAATTTTCAACATTTTCTTTTTTTATCATCTATTTTTGAATTATTATAGCAAAAATGGCCAAGTCTTTATAAAACTCTTAACTAATGCATCTTTAATTCAAGGATGAAGCAGTATCTAATGGTGTTAGTGTTTGGGTTAATGGTTTAATTCTTTAATTCAAGGATGAAGCAGTATCTAATGGTGTTAGTGTTTGGTATGATCTGTTTAATTCGTGCCACAAACTGTCAAGATGAACAACGAATTGATGAAATTATAAATGCTGTGTTGGCATGTCGTAACAATCCAGGTCTATCAGTTACTGTCGTCAAGGATGGTCGGGTTGTGCTCAGTAAAGGATATGGTGTGCGGAATCTACAGACAGGCGAACCGGCGACCAATAAAACCCTGTTTGGACTCGCATCTCTTACAAAAGCATTTACATCAACACTGTTGGTCAAACAGCTTTCTGAAAAAACTTCGTGAGTAAATTTCATATTCATAATTCCTTCTTACCCATGCATGCTGCTCATAGTTAATATTCATTATAATCACGTCCATAGAAATGAAATGAAATGAAATGGGGTTTAACGTCTTACTGTTTTGCTCCGAACTGGGCTAATGAAGACGGGCATACACCATACAGTGTGCTATAGGGAATTTTGCCCGGACAGCGACACTACGGCCTACCATTATATCGAATTCCAACTGTCAAGGGATCTTTCACGTGAACACCAATGTGTACATGGAACCTCGGTTTTTCGTCTCATCCGAATGACTAGACAGCTGTCCTTGTCAGGCCCTCCGTCCTGCATCATTGACAAGGGGGAACCACGCCGGAAAATCTGGATGAACTTTCTTGGTCAATGCAGGAAAATCGAACACCCGACATCCAGACTCACGACCCACTTAGCCAGCGCGACCCCACGTCCATAGATGTGTGTGTGTGTGTGTGTGTGTGTTGGGTTGGGGTGGCGGACGGTTAACGCATGCGCATTGGATCAAAAGGTCTGTCATTCAGTCAAGTGGCGTTGTTTCGATTGCCCGGTTGTACATGACAATTGGCGTAGGGTCGTCTGTCCAACCTCATGGGTTTTCTCCGGGTCCTCCGGTTTCTTCCCACTGTTTAAGACACGTACGCGCAAACGAATTATTGAAATAAAATTAAACAAATTAATGTTAATCCCGAAATGACCTAATTTTGTCGAGTTGACGTTAAACCCCACCTCTCTCTCTCTCTCTCTCTCTCTCTCTCCGGACACACCGTATGGTGTTTGCCCGTCTTCATTACCCTGGTCGGAGCAGAACAGTAGGACGTTACAAAAGTCTTTAACGTGTACACCTATGCTGGTCGTATATGACAGTTGTCCTATCTTGTTTCAGGTATCATGTTGGTACCACGGTGTTTAAAGTATTATGATGGTTGTTCTGTCTTGTTTCATGTATCATGTCGGTACCAATACTGGTCGTATATGACGGTTGTTCTGTCTTGTTTCAGGTATCATGTTGGTACCAATACTGGTCCTATATAACGGTTGTTCTATCTTGTTTCAGGTATCATGTTGGTACCAATGTATATAAAGTATTAAATAATAGCCGTCTATTCAACAATACTCTCCGATCAATATACGCCACAGTGGATGATCTCATGGCTCACAGATTGGCCATTCCAAGAAATAACTTTTTACGGTTAAGTTCTACCCTCACAAGGGAGAATCTGGTAAGGTAAGCGCCTTTATTTCTTGTACAGGGAGCGCCCCCCCCCCCAGTGGGAACGTATAGTCGTTAGGATGGAACGAAAACCCGAGGTCCCGTGTAGACATTGGAGTTACTTACCCTTGACAATTGAAATTCGATACAAGAGTAGGCCGTAGTGCCGCTGTCCGTGCAAAAACTCCCTCATAGCACACTGTATAACGTATGTCCGTCTTCATTAGCCCAGTCGGAGTAGAACAGTAGGACGTTAACCTCCATTTCATTTCTTGCACAATTTTATAAGTAACATGACGCCAGTAGTGCCAGATATTACTGGAACCTGGTTGGGTTCGGTGAAAAAAGTCAAATTATGCAGAAAGCGTGAAGGACAAATGGGATGTGGCAGAGCGCAAATGAAAAATGTAATGAGAGAAATGTAGACACGTCAAAAAAAGCATTTTCCCACAAAACATTTGTCATTTAACACTTAACATTTGACGTTTAACATTTAACTCTTGCGTTAGAGGTATTTTGACTTTATAATTATCGGTATTAGGACTTTGTACATTGTACTTTTTACATATATAATCAATGGAAAAGACATTGTCGCAGAGAATTTAATATTTAATCTCTCTCTCTCTCTTCTCTCTCTCTCTCCATATCCTTCTCTCTCTCTCTCTCTCTCTCTCTCTCATATTTTCCACAAAATGCAAATGGCGCAGAAATCCTTTAAGCACAAAACGATGCTGATTTTCAATCTTATTTCTTTTTTCAGTCGAATCCGGTATCTGCCATCCACGGGAGCTTTTAGAAAGACTTTTTACTATTCTGATCTGATGTATGGGGTGTTAACACGTATCACTGAAAATATTGGTGGCCAGTCGTGGGAAGATCTAATGACTTCCTATATACTCAACCCGTTAGGAATGACCTCAACAACCTTTGAAACACGACAAGATCATGGTTCATCAGATGTTGCTACTCCATATGTCTCTGAAAATGGAGTATTGACCCCTGCCTCTCAAGATTTCATAAGGTGTGTTCATTTATTGAATATAATACAGTTTTAATGGTTTTATATTTTGTAAATGAAATAAAATACGGTTTAAATGAAATGAAATGGGGTTTAACGTCCTACTGTTCTGCTCCTAAACTGGGCTAATGAAGACGGGCATACGGCCTACTCTCATATCGAATTCCAACTGCCAAGGGATCTTTTACGTGCACGCCAATGTGTACACAGGACCTCAGTTTTTCATTCCATCCGCACGACTAGACAGCTGTCCTTGTCAGGCCCTCCGTCCTGCATCACTGACAAGGGGAAACCACGCCGGAAAATCTGGATGAACTTTCTCGGCCATTGCAGGCTGGCCAGCCAGCGTCTTACCCACTTAGCCACCGTGATCCCCCCCCCCCACCTGGTTAATGAGAAAAATAGGACGCTAAACCCCAAATCGATTTGTTTTCGTAACATTTTTCGGAGTTCGATCGCTGTATCATAAGGTCTGTTATTGAGTCAACTGGTGTGGTTTCGATTCCCCGGTTGTACGTGACAAGGAGGGTCGCCTGCCCAACCTCGTGGGTTTTCTCCGGGTTCCCAGGTTTCCTCCCACTGCTAAAGACCCCTACGCGCAAGCGAACTATTGAAATAAAATCGAACTATATGTTAGTCCCGAAATAACCTAGTTTGTGTCGAATACACGTTAAACCCAATTTAGATTTGTTATAGTTACATTTTTCAGACACTGGGAATTAATAGGCGGGTCGGGGTCCATGATGAGTACCGCTGAAGATATGGCAAAATGGCTGATATTTCAGCTGAACAATGGCAAGACACCAAATGGTACACAGTTAATGGACTTGCAAGATTTCGAGGACACCCACCGACCACGTAATATGATTAGTTCCAAATATTCAGCTACAGGGAAATATTTCACGAGACCAAAAATTCCCGTTACTACTAGCAACGACGGATATGCACTTGGATGGAAGACTGGTTTTTATAGAGGTTTGTATATCCGTCAAATTATCAGGATTTTGTTGTCAGCTTTTGCAATCTGATTAAAACACAGATCCCAATTAAAATAGGTTTAACGTCATTAGAATTTTGCCCGGACAGCGGCGCTACAACCTACTCTTACATCGAATTCCAACTGTCAAGGGATCTTTTACGTGCACATCAATGTGTAGACGGGACCTCGGTTTTTGTCCCATCCGAACGATTATACGTTATCTCTTGCCAGACCCCCTGTCCTGCACCACTGCCAAGGAGGAACCACGCCGGAAAATCCCGCTGAATTTTCTCGGCCAGGGCTCGAATACAGGAGCTCTAGGTCAGCGAGCTAACGTCTTACTCGCTGAGCCACCGTGGCTCCCAGAAAGCAAAGAAGCAAGATGTATGGACAGTTTGATAGCCGACTGCGTCTTGATACAAGGCGTAGGGTCTATACTCTACTCACTTAAACATACATTATGCAAGAGCTAAATCTGCCTATTGCCGATATTCTGATCAACGCTCATTAATGATTTAATAAAAAAATGGATAATCGAGACTATATTTTTTATCGTACCGACATTAGTAATAATGATCGAGGCTAGGCCTAAAATTCAAATGCTAATATCTCGGTTCAGAGTGGAACAATTGGACTGAAATTTTCAGCAGATTCCGTTTACATTATCTAGTTTTTAACTATTATAACGAAAACTACCAACTCTTCATCTAATCTCCCATAATGTATATTTAATACATTTCTTTCTGTTAACAGGTTTACGAATGCTCCAGCACTCCGGCACAACGTGGGGATTCGCCAGTCTGTTAACGTTAATACCCGATGAAAACCTAGGAATATTCACATCCATGTCTGGCACAGATATCGGATACTTCACCCGTCTCACGCTCCATAATTTCCTGGCTGACATATTCCTTGGGGAGACGCCATGGCTGAATTCCACTACCATATGTAGCTTTCCTCGTCCTTGGCACAACAACGTACAATCCAGACGAACGAAAAGGGCGATAACTATGCCTATCTCTCCCTTTCTGGTAACAAATTTAGTTATATATGCTGGTGTCTACAGAAATGAGGCCTATGGTAATATTGATGTCGTCATCACCAATAACAGGCTTCGGGCGATTTATGGTATCGGAGAATGGAACCTTAACCCGACTTCTGACACCAAGTTTACGGCAGTGTGGCAGAAAGATGCTCCAAGACTCGACTTTGTTTTCACATTTAAAAAGACAGGGACGCGTGTCTACTCTCTGATTCCCGGTTTTCAGAAATCAAAACCCCCCATATTCTATAAAATCTCTCAGACACCTGGTTTAATTGGTTAACATAAAGCAATAGACCTCTCTCATTTGGGGGGGGGGGTGGGTGGATGGCTGAATGGTTAGCGTGCGCGCTGTATCATAAAGTCTGTCATTGAGTCGACTGGCGTGGTTTCGAATCCCCGGTTGTACGTGACAAGGAGTAGGGTCACCTGTCCAACCTCGTGGGTTTTCTCCGGGTCCTCCGGTTTCCTCCCACTGCTAAAGACCCGTATGCGCAAGCAAATTATTAAAATAAAATTAAAACCATATGTTAGTCCCGAAATGACCTAGTTTGTGTTGAGTGGACGTTAAACCCCATTTCTCTCTCTCTCTCATTTGGGTTCAAAATACAATCTCTCTGGCACAAAGCATAATTGGTTAAACTACACTTGACGATACCGATACCGCAGTACATGCCGATAACCCTAACCCCTGCACTCGCAATAGCCTAACAAATAAGGCCAGTGGTAGACCGATTTCCAAGCAAGTGATTTCGTGTAATGCACGAGTTATGTCCCTTGGTTACAACTTCCATACCTACTTAGAAATCGCATATTGAGGTGAAATTTTTGGCACAAAAACACCACGATTTTCAAAAATAATGACAATTTGGCATAAAGAAACGTATATAATCAAAAATAAATATGAATTATTATGATATGACTTACATGACAAGATTTAAACAGCACTAATGCTAATCCCAACCATAACGCGAATGCTAGCCCTAATGCTTGCACTAACCTACAATCTCAATCTCGCCAACAATCAGGTGTCCTAACCTTATTTACATCTTGGCGACCTTGATGACAATTGAGTTGGCCTTAACAAATAGATTTAGCTGTATCATCATAGTTGGGTCCAAAATAAAATTTCATTATATTTTATGTTTTGCTTTGTTTTGTGGTGGGGGAGCTGTAGTGGCTCAGTGAGTAAGACATTGACTCAATAACATCGCGCTCCCTTGATCGATCCCTGAGTGGTGCATCATGGAGGGCCTGACAATGGTCAAGATATAGTCATTCAGATGGGAGGAAACTGGAGGACCCGGCGAAAACCCACGAAGTTGGACAGGCGACCCTACTACTTGTCACATACAACCGGGGAATGGAAACCACGCCAGTTGACTCAATGACAGACCATATGATACATCCAAAATCTTCGACATTGAAAACACGATTTTTTTTGCAATTTAAATTAGCATTGGTGTTGTGGTCTTACCTGGAAAAGATGGGCTTCTGATATCCAATATTTAAGACAAAATAAAAACTTTACCATTGGTACACGAATCGTGTACCATAATGCGTTTCAGTGCCATTTGTAACAAGGTGCTCAAAAAATGAGGCTAGACATATTCCACAAGTCATGTCAAACGGTGATGCCATATTCTTATTTGGAGAGCATGCGCAATATATACTATCGGTGTTGACGGGAATAACCAGATGCTAGAAACTGTCTTTCGGTTGAGATTATACATTTTTACGGTAAATCACCAACAGAAAAACCTATTTAAAATTACTTAATATTGGAGCCATCCCTACAAATGGGGAGTCAAAACCCTGCCACTTGACTCTATGATAGACCTTATGATCGGCAATCCAAGTCTTAGTCTTGTATTCTGCACATTCACTTATATGCAGATAAAGCTAAAAATAAATTGACCGGCCCCTCTAGAAGTATACTTCTTAGAAACTGTACTTTCAATTCTCCATCCAGTAACACTATATAACACTTTGCGAATTGTTTATTTCCAATAAAAAAAAAAAAAAAAAATTCTACAACCAGAATAAACACTGATTGTTCCTATTTAGATAAGTGTCCTATAATCGTCGAGGTTTTCGTGGTCTGTTTCCATTAAATGGTATTGGGGTACTATCTGTTACTGATACAACTTGAATACCAGCCATCTGTAAACCTTTCAGAGCAGGCTGAAATAAAAAATATAATAATAATATGTATGTATGTATGCCACATCTGCAAGAAAATTCTTTTTCAAACATTGTGAATACTTGAGAATTTTTAGACTTTTGAGGTGCTAGGGGTGGCTCTTCAAGGCATTTGCTCTGGGTGCAATCTCGGTGTTCCCTAAAAAGTTCATTTCCCTCATAGCATAAACAACACTGTTCATTGCCCATCTTCCTTAGCCCCTGTTGTTGCAATAAAGTAGGACTGTAAAACCCATTCCATTTCAAACTTTTAAAGTGTAGAGTTTGCAATGAGTGAAATTTTGCCCGGAGAGCAGAACTACGGCCTACTCTTATATCGAATTCCAACTGCCAATAGATCATTTTAGTGCACGCTAATGTGTACACGGGACCTCCGTTTTTCGTACCATCCGAATGACTAGACAGCTGTCCTTGTCAGTCCCTCTGTCCTGCATCACTGAGAAGGGGGAACTACGCCGGAAAATCTGGATGAACTTTCTCGGCCAATACAGGGATCGAGCCAGTGTCTTACCCACTTAGCTACTGTGATCCCCTATAGAGAGAGAGAAATGGGGTATAACATCCACTCGACACAAAATAGGTCATTTCGGGACTAACATATGGTTCAATTTTATTTTAATAATTTGCTTGTGTGTAGCGGTCTTTAGCAGTGGGAGGAAACTGGACAGGCGACCTTAATCCCTTTCAAGTTCAAGTGGGGAATCGAAACTACGCCACTGACAGACCTTATGATCTAATCTGCACGAGTTAAATCATCTCCTCTTGTGATTGGACAGACAACTCTACACCTTATCATGTACAAGCGGGGAATTGAAACCATACCACCTGACTCAATGTCAGACCATTCGGCCAACCAACCCCACTTTAGATTTATCATTATATGTGTAATACTTTTGAGAAGAGACATGTACTCCTTGGTATGGCCTTACACAAACTGGTATGGCCTTAGTTTATAACACAAATTGGCATGACCTTAGTTTATAACACAAATTGGCATGGCCTTAGTATATAACACAAATTGGCATGACCTTAGTTTATAACACAAATTGGCATGGCCTTAGTTTATAACACAAATTGGCATGGCCTTAGTTTTTAACCTTAGTGATAAATATATGCTAACTCACATTTCTTCCCGGACCAATTCCTTTCATATTAACTCGAACAATCTTAATTCCTCTTTCTAGTATTTTCTGTAATCAGAAATAAAATAATTCAAGTAAATCGTATAATTTCTCCAGGTGAGGGGATCAATATTAAACTTGGTGATCATTTTAGGCTATGCCTGTCCCTTAATCACTTTCAATTTCTGAATAAAATTTTGTTTTAAAAAAATCAATTGAGGGTTTGTGAATCCATTGCAAATTATAATGGAGAGAAAGTTGAGTCTCTTTAAGGAATATATGTTTATGAAAGAGAGAGAGAGAGAGAGAGATGGGGTTTAAGGTCCACTCGACACAAACTAGGTCATTTGGGGACTAACATATGGTTTTTAATTTCATTTCAATAATTCACTTGCACGTAGGGGTCTTTAGCAGTGGGAGGAAACCAGAGGACCCGGAGAAAAACCACGAGGTTGGAGGGGCGACCTTACTCCTTGTCACGTACAACCGGGCATTCGAAACCAATGACAGACCTTATGATACAGCGCGCACATGCTAACCATTCAGCCATTCAACCCCCCTATACGTTTATGAACTACTGAACCAAGCCACCACTGACAAGGGGGAAACCCCATGTCCGAATGTGTTGAGTGAAGGTTGACTAAAGGTGGAACTTAGGTTTACTCTGTCCCTCATTTTGTGACTCTTTTTTATCTATAATGTTACTCCAATAAATGTTCAGGAAATTAATTCTTTCACAAGCTGATCAAAACACAGATCTTATTTCATTTCGCTTTTATAGTTCAAAATTTCGTTTTACTTGTCTTAACTACACTAGGATCTGGAAGAGTTGTTATCATTGACATGTTCTGGATGATGTGAGGGACAACCTAATGAAACGGCATGTAACCGCGAGCTTTAGGCATAAGACCTCTGACGCGACCTATCACTACAACCGGTCAAATCTTCATGTAGTGTAGGCCATCGAAAAGTATAAAAAAACGAAACGAAATATAGATCTGTATTTTAATTAGATTGCGAACTCACAGAACTATAACAGGACTCAATTCCATGTCAGTAATGGCAATTCCGTCATTCCGACACATTCCAGATTGTCAATCAAGCCCCCAACTTTAAAAATAAGTGAGTGTACCATTTTAAACAAAGTAATATATATTCTTACCTGTTATACTGATATATATTTTTACCTGTGATACTGATATATATTCTTACCTGTGATACTAATAAGGTAATATATATTCTTACCTGTGATACTGATAAGGTAATATATATTCTTACCTGTGATACTGATATATATTCTTACCTGTGATACTGATATATATTCTTACCTGTGATACTGATAAGGTAATATATATTCTTACCTGTGATACTGATAAGGTAATATATATTCTTACCTGTGATACTGATAAGGTATTATATATTCTTACCTGTGATACTGATAATGCTGCTGCTTGTGCCGCAATATTTGTTCCTTTCTTAACATTTCTAAATCCAACACTTCCCTGAAAATACATTAAATACTGATTGACATTTTCTGAAAAAACCTGCAGCAATATTTGCATCATAATTTATTATTAAAATAATATGTAATTTGGGGTGGGACGATTTACCTAATACAATACTACCCAATACCACCCCAATATCACCACATACTACCCAATACTACAACATAATGATGGCCTATACTACATGAAGATCTGACCAGTTACAGTGGGAGGTCATGTCAGAGGTCATACGAGGGGCTTTTGACCGTATGACGTCAGACATTTGATTAACCAATCAGCATTGATGTTTCTAGTGGGTTACCCACAGTTCCGTGCAACACACGCTAGAATCTCTCAATAACAGACCGTTTCATTGGCTAATCCCTCACATTATCCAGAACGCAGGTTATACAACAACTCTTCCAGATAGTGAAGTAAAGATTAGTAAAACGATTTTGAACTATGAAAAACGAAACGAAATAGGATCCGTGTTTTAAACAGACCGATTGCAGGACCGGATTTTGGGCTGCAACCCTTTAACAACCAGTACATCTGGTATTGGAGTGGTATTGGGTAGTACTGGGTAAATCATCAACTGGTACATGGTGAAATAGGTTGTAAAAGCAACACTTACCCCTGAATCTATTGCTATAACTTTTCCTAGAATGAAAACAAGTGTGTTGATATAAATAACACCTCAATCACAAAATAATTAGATGACACATTTGAGAGAGAGAGAAAGAGAGAGAGAGGGGAGAGAGAGAGAAAAAGAGAGAGAGATTCCTCTTATTTAGAGATTCATCTTGTACAATATTGTGGTTTACAATGGATTAACAATCCCTCCAATAATGTTTGGCCACTTTAAATTACATATGGATGTAATTTCATTGAGAGAGAAAGAGAGAGAGAGAGAACTGGGGTTTAACCTCCACTCAACACAAACCAGGTCAAAAGGAACTAACATATGGTTCAATTTCATTTCAAAAATTTGCTTGCGCGTAGGGGTCTTTAGCAGTGGGAGGAAACCTGAGGGCCCAGAGAAAACCCCGGCGGCTGGACAGGTGACCCTACTCCTTGCCACGCCACTTGACTCAATGACAATGCACACGCCTTAGTGGAAATTCTCATCATTCACCTTTTTTAACATAATTTACCTATATTTTATATCATTTTCCTCTATTTTGTATAATTTACCTTTAACGCCAGTTGACTCAATGACACACCTTATTTTATATAATTTACCTGTATTCTGTATAATTTACCTTTAACTTCTGTGACTGATATGATGGTATTATTACTGGTAGATTTTATATGTACTATTGGTAGATCTAAATAGCGTTTACCATTTATAGTCAATGAAGATACATGCTTATCAGGATACATTCCCAGGCTGAAAACAACACCACAGAATAATAAACTAACAAACCAACCTTCAATCCCTAAATAAATAGATATTAAACATACATTATGCAAGAGCTAAATCTGCCTATTGCAGGTCTTTCTTTAGGCCTGAAATGTTATCTAAATCAATAATTAGACATTAATTAACTTATCCAGGCCATAATCAACTCGATATGGCATCGGATTTCTCCGATATTAAATAGATTACAACAGTTCAGCCATATTCTGATTAAAGCTAAAAATGGAGGAGCGAGACGTAGCTTCGAACAACCAGTACAGTGGCTGAAATTATTGCACACGTCTTGTGAAATCTTCCACGGCTAATATCTTTGTTCGCAATAGAGTAATTGTAATGACATTTTCAAATTATTCATTTTACATTATCTATTTTGTAACTATTATATTCCAACCGAATAACTAGACAACTGTCCTTGTCAGGCCCTCCATCCTACATCACTGACAAGGGGGAACCAGGCCGGAAAATCTGGATGAACTTTCTCGGCCAATGCTGGGATCGAACACTTGACCTCCACGCTAGCAAGCCAGCGCTTTACCCTCTTAGCCACTGTGACTGCCCCCCGCGACGGAACAACAAACATTCTCACTCGAGCCTGAAGGGTTTTTTTTTTTCAAACTTACTTCATATTGTACTTTAATTCATTTCTGAATTCTTCTTGAGAATCATCCTCACCTTCCGCCTCGGATGTGTTTTTGTCAAAGCTGTCTGTATTAAGAGCTCTCTTCAAATTGTAAGATTGATGCAATAACTTTTTAGGATAAGCAACAACTGTAACAAAAACAATACATTTAATAGGAAGTGTAGGAGGAATACACAACACACAAAATCAAACGGAAAAGGAAAAAAGAGAGAGAGAGAGAGAGAGAGATGGGGTTTAACGTCCACTCGACACAAGTTTTGTCATTTCTGGACTAAATTATGGTTCAATTTTATTTCATTAATTTGCTTACGCGTAGGGGTCCTAAGCAGTGGGAGGAAACCGGAGAACCCGGAGAAAACACACGAAACTGGACAGACGACCCTACTCCTTGTCACGTACATGTACAACCGGGGATTCGAAACCACGCCAGTTGACTCAATGACAGGCCTTATGATACAGCCCGCACATGCTAACCATTCGGCTATCCCTCTGAAGTAAGAAGACAAACAGTTACAGACAGGAGCTTTCATTACTTTCAAATAAGAAATCAGATCAGAGTAAATGTCGGACAGAAACGGACACATTAGTTATTTTATATTTCTGAAAACCTGAGGTTCACAGGCTACAAGCAGATGTTTATCATCTTAACTTAGATTTTTTTCTTTTCAGACTCCAGTCTCCTATCAGATAAGCGAAAAACCAAGTTTGAAGAATGGGTGGTCTTCATCCTCAATCAGTCAATGACCTCATCCTTCATCGATATCTGTACTAGCTCTGGGCTGCATTTCCTCACCTTGTCGTGCGGGATTCGTCAGAGTAGCATACTGTACACTGGCTTTCAGTAATATTGATCGCAACATTGTGAAAAATCTGTAGCAAAGTCAAATTTTAAGATAATTTTTATGAAAACATAACGTTAAGTGCAAAATATCACGTTAGTTTTCTTATCATCCAGACGTCCCTCAACAAGAGTTACCGTTCCCTTTGTTTTAAATCCGGTAGGGTAATATTCGGGCGTTTTTTTTACTGTTGTGACGACTGCCTAGAGAAATATATTTTTCTCTCGGAATATTCAAAGCCGTTGACAACACAGTGCAAAGTTATCATCTTGTAGAAAATTTCTAGAAGACAAATATCATAAATTTTCCAATTATTCATTCATCCTTCTGCTGATCGAGCCGGGATGATATTTAGGCCTACTTAGCCTACAGCTGATCCCCGATCCTTTCGCTTGATTTGATATTTATTGTTTACTTATTTATTTATTGCTTGCAGTGTCTGTTTATGCTAGGTTCCCGTCGTGCTATGCGTTTACGATAGGATTGTCCCTATTGAGTCCCTGTATCAGGCCCGTAACTAAGGGGTGGGGGTGGGTGGGGGTGGGTGGGGTGTCAGTTTATCCCCCCCTCCCCCCGTGAAAAAATTGTTGACTATAAAAAAAATAGATATACATTGTCCGTAAATTTTACAGCGCACCCATGACAACAATATATGGTAAGACCTATTAGGATCGCCACGATTACTCCACGATTTTAATCGTAGTGTGAATCATGATAGTGGGAACCTCGCATTAGTTTCTGCTGTATTTTCCAAGTCCCCATTTCTACAATTTATAAGGTTATGACTTCGATTTAAATGGACACCTTTGACACAAAATATATAATGGAAATGTTTTCAGCGGATCGGATCGGCGGTGGGTCAGTAGTGAGTAGATCACTCTCTCATTAAAGCGATAATTTCATATTTTCTAAGAAGGTCAAAACATAATTATTTCTATGTCTTTTGCTCAACAGGTTGTCAACTCACTATTATACGATCATAGGCATTATTTCCCAGACTTAAAATTCATTGACACCGGAAATAATAACACATTTACCTCCCTTGTTTTCCTATTCCCCAAATGGAATAGCTATCTTCAAACGTTTGAATTTGAAGTTGAAAATGATATTTTTGCCAATTTCTAAACAGGCAATAGTGAATTATAGGATTATTCTTTAACAAGATAGGACTGTTTATAGATACCATCTATTTTAAGGCTTTATTTTAATACATTTTGAAAATATAACCTAAAAATATGAAATTGCAACTTTAACCAGCAAGTCTCGTGTTCGATCCCGGTGTTGGTCGAGTTAAAATGTTTAGGGGTCTTCCAGGCTAGTTAGTTTCACATTGTCAGTGTAATAAGACAAAACGTTTAGTAATTCAACTTGGACTAGAAAAACCGAGGTTCCGCCGTTTACGTTTTGATGTGCACGTTAAGGATCCCCTGACGGTAGGAATTCGATGAAGAGTAGGCGGAAACGCCTCCATTGAGCTGGTAGATGTAGCAACAACAGGACGTTAAACTCCGTGAGCAGTAAGAGGGAGAGAGAGAGAGATATGGTTTTACGTCCACTCGACACAAGCTAGGGCATTTCGGGACTAACACATGATTCAATTTTTTTTCAATAATTCGCTTGCGCGTAGAAGTAAGAGCAGTAAGAAGATCATATTGTAAGCCATGTTGCATTTCCATTAATTGTATGTCTGGGGGAGGGGGGTCACGAAGGCCGCCTTTATGACTTTTTCGATATTAATCATGAATAAGTAATGACAGTTTATAAAGAAATCTACGCCTTGACATGCCTGTAAGTGTTCCCATGTCAACCAATATTCCAGCTTTAAAGAATGAGATGCCAATAAACGATATGTACAGGCACGAAGCTAGTCGAATATTTAATGCTTTTGTAGGTAATGGCAGCATGTACACACCCACCCACCCACCCCACCCGACAAACGCGTCCCATTTTGTGTTTAGCACACATGTTAACCCAAATGAATCCACGTGGTCCCCCCTTATCAGTGATGCAGGACGGGGGGCCTGACAAGGACAGTGTCTAGTAGTTCGGATGGGACGTAAAACCGAGGTCCCGTGTATACATATTGGCGTGCACGTAAAAGATCCCTTGACAGTTGGAATTCGATATAAGAGTAGGCCGTAGTGCCGCTGTCCGGGCAAAATTTCCCTCATAGCACACTGTATAGCGCATGCCTGTCTTCATTAGCCTCGTCCGAAGCAGAACAGTAGGACGTTAAACCACATTTCATTTTATTCCATTTGTCACGTTGAATCCATCCCTATGCTGCCGATCAGCTTCATATAAACAAATAAACACCACACAAGTTACACACCTACGTCAAATGGTTCTGAAGCAGAAATCGGAAATTTGAACAACAAACAGGCGGACAGACGGACAGGGTGTATGACATAAGCCCTTTTGGACCGACGCCACGATTAACTAAAAACAAACATTTTTATTTCATTGTAAATATGAACAATAATTTATAACAATATCAAATACACCATAAAATGTAAATTTCACATAGGCACTTTTATTTATATAATTAACAATTAACGAAGGATAACAGCATCACACACAAATAAACAAATAGAAACCCACTTTTACTTCAGTAATTCGCTTGCGTGTACTAGTCTTTAGCAATAGGAGGAAAACTAGAGTACCTGCAGAAAACCCACAAGGTCTGACAGGCGATCCTACACCTTGTCAATCGTACAAGTCTGGAAATTGCAACCACGTCACTTGACTCAATGGCAGACCTTATGATCTAAATCGCACACATTAGACCACATGACTACCCAAGTCCCCAGAAACCACACCCAGGTGAAGTTGGAAATAGGTGACGGTGGAAATAGGTGAAGTTGGAAATAGGTGAAGTTGGAAATGGGTGAAGGTGGAAAGTTGGAAATAGGTGAAGTTGGAAATAGGTGGTGGAAATAGGTGAAGATGGAAATAGGAGAAGTTGGAAATAGGTGAAGGTGGAAATAGGTGAAGATGGAAATGGGTGAAGTTGGATATGTGTGAAGGTGGAAATAGGTGAAGTTGGAAATAGGTGAAGTTGGATATAGGTGAATGGTAAAATTATGTCATGTAGAAAAATGGTAAAATTATGTAAAATTATGTCATATAGAAAAAATATGAATGGTAAAATTATGTTATATAGAAAACTGGAAGTATCCACCATAAAACATTATACAATATCCATTTTCTGACAATCTTTGCTACTCTTGTTAGTCTTGTTTTCCCAGCAGCCAAAATGTGGTTTGTTTTCCCTTTCCCTGCAAATAAATATGATAAAGAATAATGTTCGGACAATATCTAAGTTTCAAATTGAGAAAACAAAATCAAAATATCAACGGTTAATAATTAATAATTTCCCGCATATACGTATAGTCGTTCGGATGGGGCGTAAAACGTTTGAGCCCATGTACAATGAAGCTGGACACATGGTATTCCAGGGGGTTGGATGGCTGAATGGTTAGCGCATGCGCGTTGTATCATAATGTCCCTATGTCATTGGGTCAACTGGTGTGGTTTCGAATTCCCTGTTGTACGTGACAAGGAGTAGGGTCGCCTGTCCAACTTGGTGGGTTTTCTCCGGTTCCTTTGGTTTACCACCATTGCTAAAGACCCCCTACCTGCAAGCAAATTATTTCATTAAATTGAACCAAATGTTAGTCCCGAAATGACCAATGACCTAGTTGTGTCGAAGGCATGTTAAACACACACAACACATTCTCTCTCTCTCTCTCTCTCTCTGGTATTCCATGAACAGCAGCCAAACTGGCTGTCATAGTGCACTGCATGATGTTTGGATTAACGAAATGAAATGGGGTTTAACGTCCTACCATAAAATGAAATGGAAGGACATGGGGTTTAACATCCTACTGTTCTGCTCCGCTTGGGCATACGTCATACAGGGTGCCGACAGCGGCTCCACTCCCTACTCTTATATCGAATTCCAACTGCCAAGGAATCTTTTAAGTGCACGCAATGTATACACAGGACCTTTGTTGTTCGTCCCATCCAACGACTAGAGAGCTATCCTTGTCAGGCCCCCCATCGTGCATTACTGACAAGGAGAAACCACGCAGTTGGAATTCGATAAAAGAGTTGGTCGTAGCGCCGCTGTCCTCGCAAAATTTAACTTATAACACACTGGCGTATGCCCGTCTTCATTAGCCCAGTCGGAGCAGACGAGTATGCGTTAAACCCAATTACACTTTATTTTTGTTTTTGTTTTATTTTACAAAATGCAGAACATTACCTTTACATCTAGCTCTCCACGTTCACATAAACAATACCGTTCAGTTGTTTGTAATCCTTGCGCTGTAGTAGAACTGATGTGGATTCGGCAAGCTGTTAACAAATGTACAAATTATACAAACTTTCCAATCTGATTAAAGGCTCAATACCACTCTTGTTGTAACTGAATAATATGTCCCAATCTTTATTCTGGTCAACAAATTGTACTATTTTAGAATATTTCAATTAATTGATGATACAAATTTTATCTTAACACACCTTATTTAAAAATTTTGAAAAATTCAACATAATGATTTGAAACGTCTAACGTAAACTTTTTCAAATGAAACTTCGATTTAAAAATATTTTCGAACCCTCTGGACAAGTAAAATAGGATGTAATGGATAATTTACACAACAGGTAGGACACTTAAACATCTAGTACTTAGATAGAGATATTATTTATTTTCTGGAGCTTTCAAGCCAGCAAGAGTGTTATTGTCCCTTTAAAATACAGATCTATATTTCGTTTCGTTTTTTTCTACTTTCGATGGCCTACACTACATGAAGATCTGACCGGTTGTTAGCTATAGGTCGCGTTAGAGGCCATACGATAGGCTTTGGACCCTATGACGTCAGACACTTGATTAACCAATCAGCATTGATGTTACTAGTGGATTACCCACAGTTCCGTGCAAAACACGCCTAAAGCTCGCCGTAACAGACCGTTTCATTGGCTAATTCCTCACACCATTCAGTCAATGAAAACAACTTTTCCAGATCCTAGTGTAGTAACGACAAGTAAAACGAAATTTTGAACTATAAAAAGGAAACGAAATAGGGTCTGTGTTTTAATCAGATTGCAAACTTCCTATAGTAATTCATTACACAAACGAAAAGGAGAGAGAGAGAGAGAGAGAGAGAGAGGGGGGGTAAACCCCACAGAGGCTCAAGGCATGAACAGATTTTGATGCCCCCATATATTTGTAACTCAAAATATAAACCACAAAGCTTCATAACATTTTTTCAAAGCCCAGATTTCAGACTGTCAAAGCGCGGAGTTTTAATGCAGAGGCACGTTAAAATAGGCCCTGGCTGAAATTAGGAGTATAAGACAGGGCCGTAACTAGCTCAGAGTAACGAGGGGGAGTGGGAAGTGTTCTCGCGGGGTGCTGTAAAATTGACGGACAATGTATATCTATTGTTTTTAAAGTCGATAATTTTTTTTATAGGGGCCTAGTATAAGATCAGCTCGAGCCAAGGAGTGGCATAGACATAATGGCGTTGTACTTCAACTTCCGGTTCAGATTTAGAATTTTTCTAGTACAGGATAAATAAATAAATGAATAACTGACCTTGACCATACGTTTCCATACGGCTAGCCATGTTTACAGTATCTCCAAATAAACAATATCTAGGCATAATCAGGCCCACAACACCTAAAACATATTACAAATAAACAATATATAGGCATGGTCATTGTTCAAACCCACAATCTTTAAAATAAAGATGGGATAAGGGTCCAAGGCATGGTCTTAACTAGCTCAGAGCAACGAGGGGGACGGGAAGTGTTCTCAGGGGTGCTGTAAAATTGACAGACAATGTATATCTATTGTTTTTATGGTCGACAATTTTTTCACGGGGGGGGGGGGATTTTCTAGTTTGTGTACAAATTTAGCCAGTTACAAACTTCACCATTCATCTAAATCGATGTAAATTCAAGACTAAAAGGGTTCCCCAGGGCAAAAAGAAGTCACGTGACAACATTAACGTTTAAGCCTCTACCACTCCCGAGCCTACTGTACTCACAGGGTCCGTCTCAGTGGTTAGATCTAAATATTAAGGCCACCTGCAGATTTCCTCAAGGTATACAGGTTAACCCAAGAACTATCCCTAAGCCTTATCCTAACCCTAACCCAAGATCCTCGGCAACAATCACTTCCTTAACCCTGTTTATATCTCGTGATTTTGCGGACATCTGCAGGTGACCTTAATATTTAGATCTGACCCTTCTCAGCCCACCCCAGGTCAAGGAGACTTATCGCCATTTTTCAATTTTGAAAAAAAGAAAAGAAAGCAATTTGGCACGAGTTAGAAAGTTTCCTGTTAGGTTCTGGTATATGTGCCCTTTATGTGACACTCCTTCAATTTGCTCCTGCGGTCTATATTAGAGGGCAAGGACAATAAGCAATTGTACGGGTTACCAGGGACACCAGTCTGCATCCGTGAGTCTTAATAGGGAAACCAAATTACAGCTGTACGGGTTACCCGGGGGAACCAACCTGCAGCTGTACAGGTTACCAGGGAAACCAACCTGCAGCTGTATGTTACATCAGGGAAACCAGCCTGCAGCAGTATGTGTATGTATGATTTTTCGCGTGCGCACTCTCAATTTTTTGAGGGGATTCCGCGTGAAAATTAGAGCTCTCAGGGGGGGGCCCGCTTATACGGGTGGACTTATTGTTTAATGGGGGCCTGGGAGGACACCGTCCCCCTACCCTCCCTGCCAGCACGCCCCTGGTTTGTTACACCAAGGAAACCAACCTGCAGCTGTATGTGATACCAGGGAAACCAAATTGCAGCTGTACGGGTTACCCGGGGAGCCAACCTGCAACTGTACGGGTTACCAGGGGAACCAATCTGCAGCTGTACGTGTTACCAGGGGAACAAACCTAGACTTGTACGTGTTACTATGGAAACCAACCTGCAGCACACGGTCCAGTGTGTAAACCAATACGTATAGCACACTGTTCTTCCGGTAAATGAGCAATTTTAAAACTTTTAATCTCTTGTAAGATCTCTAGTGACATATCGGCAATTTCCGTAATGTGTCGGTCTCCGTTTCTTTCCGGCAATCCACTGACCACCATGTATGCATCGCCTATAGTTTCAACTTTATACACATCATATCTACAATAAACATGGAATAGGATCAGTCCCATGCAGAGTTGTCTTCCCTTGTAGTTCACAATCGAATGATGGATAGCGAGAATCAGGATTGGTTATGTCACCCCAAACCTGGAATAGGATCAGTGCCAAGCAGAGTTGTCTTCCTTTGTAGTTTACAATCGAACGATGGATAGTGAGAATCAGGATTGGCTATGTCACCCCAAACATGCTCCCCAACTTAAAGTCCCGAACACGGGGCCCCCTACTTAAATTCCCAAACACGCACCCGGAGCCGCCAAATTAAGTCCCGAACAAGCCCCCGGGGACCCAAACTTAAAGTCCCGAACACACCCCGAGACCCCAACTTAAAGTCCCAAACACGCACCCGGGGCTCTTGAGAGGTAAAAATTGTGCTGGGGTGAGACCTTTTTTGCCCCCCCCCCCTTCCAACACTAGTCATATCTAGATGATTCACTAGCAGGTTGTGATAAAGCTCCCCAACTTAAAGTCCCGAACACGGGGCCCCCTACTTAAATTCCCAAACACGCACCCGGAGCCGCCAAATTAAGTCCCGAACAAGCCCCCGGGGACCCAAACTTAAAGTCCCGAACACACCCCGAGACCCCAACTTAAAGTCCCAAACACGCACCCGGAACTCTTGAGAGGTAAAAATTGTGCTGGGGTGAGACCTTTTTTGCCCCCCCCCCCCTTCCAACACTAGTCATATCTAGATGATTCACTAGCAGGTTGTGATAAAGCAAAATCTTTCGTACATACTTATATAAGCTTCAAAAATTTATGCATAATTGCCCACTTCAATTTTGAAATTTGATATTCATGGGCCTCATAGACTCTTATGGGCCCTGGGGCGGCGCACTAGCTGCACCCCCCTCTTTCAAGGCATGCACGCCCTGCGACCTGGACAGAAGAAATATGGAAGCGAGAGGAGATATGGGGTTTAACGTCCACTCGGCACAAAATAGGTCACTTCGGGACTAACACATGGTTCAATTTTATTTCAATAATTCGCTTGCCCGTAGGGGTCTTTAGCAGTGGGAGGAAACCGGAGGACCCGGAGAAAACCCACGAGGTGGGACAGGCGACCCTATTCCTTGTCACGTACAACCGGGGAATCGAAACCAAGCCAGTTGACTCAAATGACAGGCCGTATGATACAGCGCGCACATGCTAACCATTCGGCCATCTAACCCGCCAAATATGGAAGCACCAACCTGGAGATGATATTATCAAAGATTGTATACAGATCGTTTAATAGATCCACTATTTGAATGGCTGTACTGATGGTAGCTATGGCTGTAAAACCAACTATATCAGAGAAATAGATAGATACAGATTCAAACATCTCCGGTACCACAAGCTCATTCCTCCTTAATTTATCCGCGATTATTCTGAAATATTAAAAAAAAAAAAATTAACTTTATTTCTGATTGGTTTCCTGATTTTCCGGTACCACAAACTCATTCCTCCTCAATTTCTCCGCGATTATTCTGAAATATTAAAAAAATAATAAAATCAACTTTATTTCTGATTGGTTTCCTGATTTTCTGTTTCTTCTCTAGCTTCTGATTTTACAGCATCCTCGGGCAATTCCTCACCCCAAACTGGACGTTACGTGTGTTCGGTTAGGTAGAAGATCGAAGACTGGTCGTAGAGACTACTGCTACTCAGGCGCGGATCCATAGGGGGGGGGGTGCGGGGTTCCCCCCCCTCCCACCCCCCGCTTAGCTACATATATGTTTTATAAAACAACCTTTTTTATGAGAAACGTGTCATGATTCTGCTTTATCCATTATCGTCAGATGGTGCAACAGGATGGGCACTCAAAGCGCGAGATAATGATATAGACATATGTGATATCACAATTAATGCTTTGCATCAATAAAATTGAATCACAATGTCATCGTATTAATTCATAATAAAAAATGACGTCAAACAAGATGTTGGATTTCTCTGTTTAAAAATATCAATGTGTATGTATATACGCAAAAATGACGATAGAGACCATGTATTTCTCAAAACATTTCAAGCCGAGGGGGGAGGGGGATACATTTTCTCAGGAACCTGGCAAACCCCCTCCTGCAAAAATTTCTGGATCCGCCCCCGGTACTGCACATATAAAATTTTCACCCGGTTTCTCGCGGCTGGTCTGCGAGCTACAAAATTTACGAACCGTGCGTGTAAAAACGTGTGAGCTGGGCTTCATTTGGCAAGCTTGCGTCCCATTTCTTGGATGAAAAAAATAAAACAAAAAATCTAGCTTTCAGTTAAAAGTTTTACATGTTGATATATCAACAAAAAAATACAACAACAACATTGTATAATAAACACAAAAACATATGCGGAAGTGAATTAATACTCTTTTAAAGATACCTCAGTTAAGAGTTGACCATTCTTGCTATAATAATTCAAAAATAGATGATAAAAAAAAAGGAAATATTGAAAATTTCAGTCAAATTACTTTATTCTCAACGGAGTTGTCACTGTTGGAAGTTTGGACTAGAAATAGGCATCAACTGTGTCCACACCGTCTACGACAATTGCTGATCGTTTGATTGACAGACGACAACTCCACCCACATATTCTCGATTATCAAGTAACATTCTCAATGGCTACATTACCCTCGCTTGGCAGACCTTTCATCGGCAGTCTCCGGTAGTGACGTCAGTGACTAACGGTAAACGTCAACTTGGTTAGTCTTTTATTGATTAAATTTTAATGGACGACTGTTTAAATCCAAGTTGTATCCAAGTCATCCGATGGTCTACCGAGTTGATTTTGAGCTTGTCGTGTAAATAAAGGTCTAATTAATAATTTCTATAACATCTGAAGCCAAAATAAAGACTTGAAATAGGCAGATTTAGCTCTTGCATAATGTATGTTTAATTAAAGCGACGTTTCTCGTTGACGGTTATCTGAAGGTTATCATCATTTGCTTGATAAAGTTAAGCGAAACCTCAGCCAAACGTCTCTTTAATTAAAATAGTAATCGTGTCCCATATCATGTTTTTATATTTATACAAGTGTCAATCGCTAAATGTCGCTCAAATAAAATCAAGATGGGGTTTAACGTCCACACGACACAAACTAGGTCATTTCGGGACTAACATATGGTTTAATTTTATTTCAATAATTCGCTTGCGCGTAGGGGTCTTTAGCAGTGGGAGGAAACCGGAGGACCCGGAGAAAACCTACGAGGTTGGACAGGCGACCCTACTCCTTGTCATGTACAACCGGGGATTCGAAACCACGCCAGTCGACTCAATGACAGACTGTATGATACAGCGCGCGCACGCTAACCATTCAGCCATCCAACCCCCCCCCCCCCCTAAAATCAAAGAAAACATTATAGATATTGACTTACGTAGGTAACATTCTTTTAAGTAACATGTCTGATTTCCGTCTTTCTTGTATTAATTCGCTCGTTCTCTGGTCTACTATCTCTTCTAGGTTATTAGCATAACGTTCCAATAATACTATCATATTATCAACTATGTTGGCTTTCCTGGAAATTATAAATAAGCATATTCCTGAAGCAATGGCCCGAGAAATCCTTCTCTGGCCATTGCTGGATTAGCTTCTGATACTTGAGCTTTTGAGGAAGTGTGTCTATTCTCCCCGTTCAATCAAATCTATCCCCAATCACAGCAATCTGGTTAAAACACACATCCTATTTCGTTTCGTTTTTATATTTCAAAATTTCGTGTTACTTGTCTTTACTACACTTGGATCTGGAAGAGTTGTTATTTAACTCGTGTTCTGAATGGTGTCAGGGATAAGCCAATGAAACGGTCTGTTACGGCGAGCTTTAGGCGTGTTTTTTCACGGAACTGTGGGTAATCCACTAGTAACATCAATGCTGATTGGTTAATCAAATGTCTGACGTCAAAAGGGTCATAAGTGGGTCTTTTGACCCCTGACGTGACCTATCGCTATAACTTGTCAGATCTTCATGTAGTGTAGGCCATCGAAAGTATCAAAAAACGAAACGAAATATAGATCTGTATTCTAATCAGCTTGCAAGCACAGCAACATGACAGCCCTTCGTTTAATCAGGGGTCTTCCCTAAAACTTTGTACAGTGATTTAAGGTATTAAAAACGGTGAGAGAGAGAGAGAGAGAGAGAGAAGGGGTTTAACGTCCACTCGACACAAACTAGGTCATTTCGGGACTAACATATGGTTTAATTTTATTTCAATAATTCGCTTGCACGTAGGGGTCTTTAGCAGTGGGAGGAAACCGGAGGACCCGGAGAAAACCCACGAGGTTGGACAGGCGACCCTACTCCTTGCCACGTACAACCGGGGATTCGAAACCACGCCAGTTGACTCAATGACAGACTTTATGATACAGCGCGCGCACGCTAACCATTCAGCCATCCAGCCCCCCATTAAAAACGGTGAAAGTATTGTTCGTCTCAAAACAGTTTTGTTTAGCCTACATTATATCCGTGTTGATGTTAGCCTCGTTTGTCACACAATTAGTTTTTCTGCAATATTCTGCTATGCACTGGTTAATTGGGCATAATAAAATCGTGAGTCATGACGTAACGTTATGTAAACATATTAGGTCCAATTTGGAGCTGTTTGGTATTTGTTACACAGCTAGCTATTGGTTGTTAATCGGACTATTGACCAGTCATAATTTAGAACAAGAATTTGCTTTGTTTACAGCAGTGAGTAGTGGGATTAGCTCTAATCAAACGAAACACTGCGAGGAGTATGTAAATAAGCTGCTAAAGCAGTGATTCTCAATCAGTGTGCCGCGAGATCTTCCTGGGTGTGAGGCGAAATTTTGACGGGCACACTAAGAAAATTTCTCACTAAAGAAGTCAGGTATTTGACTGATGAAATTCGAAACACTGCAATAAAATAAGTTCAAATATATTTCATATATATTTAGCCAGGTGTGTCGCTATTTTTGTCGTGTGTTCCAAGTTGTGCCGTTAGCAAAAAAAAAAAGGTTGAGAACCACTGTGCTAAAGCCATTGGTCGTCATCTGGGGAATATTCCCTCGCAAACCCGGGTTTGGGTGACCTAATACTTAAACGCGTGTGCGTTAGATCAAGATGTCTGTCATTGGGCTAAATGATGCGGTTGGTTTCGATTGCTCGCTTGTGTGGCCTCCCACTGCTAAAGACACCCCATGTGCGTGCATCTCTCTCTCTCTCTCTCTCTCTCTCTCTCTCTCTCTCTCTCTCTCGTCAACACAATATATAAAATGTGTTCTGTGTCAACGTGTATAAAGCACACAATCAACTCTCTAGACCATCGGATGGCTACGATTTAAGACCAGATTTATTAAGGCCAGCTCAATTTTGGTCAAGGTCGCTAAGATGTAAATAAGGTTAGGACACGTGATTGTTGGCCAGATTTTAGGTTAGAGTTAAGGTAAGCATTAGATCTAGGGCTAGGGTAAGGGTTGGGATTAGCGCTAGCCCTGTTTACATCTGGTGACCTTTGACCAAACTTGAAGTCTCGATTATCCAACAGCAAATCGGATCTAATCCAATAAACATCACAGGCTAGCGATGACATCGAGAGTTGATCATCGTTTGGATAAGTTAATTAATGTCTAATGAATAGTTTATATAACATTTCAGGCCTAAAGAAAGACCTGAAATAGGCAGATTTAGCTCTTGCATAATGTATGTTTATAATCAAATTATGTTTATGTATATACAAACCTTCCGTTGTTGAAACGAATTATAGTCTTTTTAATATCGCCCACTTCCGGTCTATTGTCGGATTCCTCGGCCCAGCATGATTCCATTAATGCTATGATATGTACCGGTATACCAGTATTATCGTCTGGATCTTTCAAACTCGTATTTGGTCGAAGTGGTGGACAGCTTCCATTCTTTACTATCTCAATAATGTCTGAAAGACAAATGAAATGAAATGGGGTATAACTGAACTGTCTGTGGCCTCCCGGGCTTAATAAAGGAATGCATGGAATGAAATGGGGTTTAACGTCCTACTGTTCTGCTCCGAATGGTTTAATGAAGACGGGCACATTTTTAAAGCCCTGTAATAGATTTTCAAAGAAATACCAATGCCCTGTTGTTGTCAGGTTAAGTTGGAGACCATCGCTACCGTTCATTTACCATTACTACCTTTTAATTACCATTGCTACCTTTTAAGTACCATTGCTACATATTAATTACCATTGCTACATTTTAATTACCATTGCTACATTTTAATTACAGTTACTACATTTTAATTACCATTGTCACCTTTTAATTACCATTGTCACCTTTTAATTACCATTACTACCTTTTAATTATTACCATTGCTACCTTTTAATTGCCATTGCTACCTTTTAATTACCATTGTCACCTTTTAATTACCATTACTACCTTTTAATTATTACCATTGTCACCTTTTAAGTACCATTGTCACCTTTTAATTGCCATTACTACCTTTTAATTGCCATTACTACCTTTTAATTACCATTGCTACCTTTTAGTTACCATTACTACCTTTTAATTACCATTACTACCTTTTAATTATTACCATTATTACCTTTTAATTACCATTATTACCTTTTAATTACCTTTTAATTACCATTATTACCTTTTAATTATTATCTTTTAATTACCATTACTACCTTTTAATTACCATTATTACCTTTTAATTACCATTATTACCTGTCTTTTAATTACCATTGCTAAGTTTAAAAGTGGCATCGGATACTTGTGTTTATCAGATCACACAATGGACATGTACGGGCGTACTATGCGATCAAGGAATCGGCCATCTTGAAATAGTAACGTCATATAAAAATCTGATGCGCAATTGGCCAAAGTATAAGCACAGAAAGGGTGTCGCCCCCCTCCCCCCAGATGAAGAAGTGGATGCGACCAGTAACGGGTACTAAAACCGCAAGCAAGCATTTCCAAACGTCTCAATATATTAATCTGAAACTTTCAGACATAGTAGACTGCTTCTACCTATTCTGTGTGTGATCGGCGTACAATTCGGAGACCCAGTGCCAACTGGAACCGCTGCTTTAAATTAAATGAATTTTTTTCATACCTTTAGGAGTATCAGAAGTAGTTTCATATGGTTGTATTCTTAGTACTAGTTCATATAATATAATACCAACGCTATAAACATCCGCTTTCCGAGATACATGCGATTCGTGACGTAACACTTCCGGCGCCGTCCAAAAATAATCTGAAAATTTAAATAGAGGAATATATAAAACTGTGTACATACCATTTAACAACGTTCGACCTTTTATTAAGACCAATATAGGGTCTGACTTATTGTGGCCTTAATGGGGACTGGCGTTTCTATTGAGCAACATGATAGAAGCAGATTGAGAAATTCAACAGACAGTGTTACCCTTTCAATTTTTACTGTACCATTTTGTCTTGAGAACATTATATACTGTACCATTTTGTCTTGAGAGCATTTTCTACTGTACCATTTTGTCTTGAGAGCATTTTCTACTGTACCAGTTTGTCTTAAAGGACAACATTGGTGCCAGTCATTATCATATATGTGATAGAACTGGTTAAACACATTCCAAATATATTTTTAGCACATAGATCATTGCTATGATAGATGCGTAATCAAGGTTTCAACAACAGGAAGTGACGAACACAAAAGGAGGCAGACCACCATTAAATTTCACCGTAGTTCTCTGTCTCTTTTCTCCCCTTTTGCATGCCCATTTTTGTTGATTTTTTGGTCTAGAATGGACGAAGAGGGTTTGAATTAACATTTTCTGCCAGGTTTTGGTAAATATTCATAATCTGAGGCGGAGGGATAACGGGATTATCAGGTTGGCTACGGTGATATGTACGACAACTAGTTACATGTTTTTAGTATGCTTCTACAAGTTTGTGTATCTCAAAATTTTGGTGGTCAACTTCATACAAATCTTAGTGCAAAGACATGACCATTTGTTCCTCTGTCTGTAGTGAAAAGCATTCAGCCCAACGAAAAGAGGCCAGAATTAACATTGAAGTCAATCGGGAAATTAATGGTGGTCTGCCTCCAAAAGGAAAACACGAGTTATCCTTCTATATAACTGACTGAAGTGACGAGTGATAACAGATACACGGGCGAATTTCTGCTCACTAACAGTTCCTTCGAAGACCAAAAGTTGTTATGTGAGACTGTGAAAGGATATCTGACAATTCAAAAAAGTAATTGAATGTCACTATAGATAACAGAACAGGGGCGGATCTAGGAATTTTGAAAAGGGGGGGGGGCGCCGCAAAATGAGGGCACTGACCGTGAAGACGGGGCACGCTGCTGAGAGGGGATTTTTTTTTTGGGGGGGGGGGTCCCCAAGAAAATTATCCGTCATTTCCTTGCATCTGTAGCCATTCCAAGAGCTATTTGGCTGATATTTTCGTCTAAGTAAACGTTCGGAAATCGTTGAAAAATAGCCTTAAAATCGAGGAAAAAAGCCAGTTGAACATGCGATTCGAAAATTGTCAAGGCGAGCGAGGCATTATGATGGGAAAAAAGACGAATCTATTCCCTAGCCACTTCACTATTTAAGCCTTGTAACTTGTACTTTGTACTGTCCACACATGAAACAATGCTACATCAAGTTGCACTCATGCGCGTCGGTGATGGCCATGAGTGTATACGCCGCCGATTCCACAAGATGTCTGTCTATAGCCACTCTACAGGATTAGGGCACCGTCAGCTGAACAACAAGAATTCGTTTGAAAGTGAAAGCATTAATTAGACCAGACTGGTGTGTTTGAATCGATGGTTTGAGTCATTTGGGATCCCTGCAACGGGTTGGGAACGGACATATTTCAGCAGTAAAAAAGGGCACTGTCGAAAATTAGGGGGGGCGCGCACCCCTCGCGCGCCCCCCCCTTAAATCCGCCTCTGCAGAACGCATGTAGTAGAGGCCATCGAAAGTATAAAAAAAAAAATATAGAGTAATCAGATTAGCACTTTGTCTTAAGAGCATTTTAATCTGTGTAATTTGGCCGCAAGAGGATTTTGTCCTACGACCGTTGTATACTGTGAAATGTTTAGGTATACTCACCTTTATGAAGTAGATGACCGCTAACAGAGTTCTTTTTTAAATGGTTATTTTTAGTCATACCAAAATCTGTTAATTTTAAAACCCAACGATTGTCAACTAGACAGTTACTACTCTTTAGATTACTGTGGACTCTGAGAGGAGAATGGTGGATATAATCTAGGCCCTGGTAAATAAACACACAGATTACTGTAGACTCTCTCACAGAGAGAGAGAGAGAGAGAGAGAGAGAGGGGGCACAGAGACACAGAGAGAGAAGATTAAACCCCTCAGAGGTCCTAAGCACCAACAGATTTTGGTGCCCCCATATACATAAGAGACAAATATTACCCTAATCACGGGTTGATATGTGAAATTTGGGTTATTTCATATATTGACCGAGGGTATTGGGGTAATATTTGTCTTATACACCGACATCAATGTTAAATCTAGCCTAATTGATTTCACGCTGCGACTGATATGACAAAATTAAGAAAACAAGTCTTAAGTTGCACGTGAGAGAGAGAGAGTTAGCGAGACGGCATTTTGCTAACCAAATTATTGAAATAAAATTAAACCATAAGTTGGTCCCGAAATGACCTAATCTGTGTCGAGTGGACGGTAACACCTCTCTCTCTCTCTCCTATCGTAACGCATCGCACGACAGTGTGAACCTAGCCTAACTGTATGTGGAGGCATTGTGTGAACCTAGCCTAACTGTATGTGGAGGCATTTACAATCAGATTCATTACTTTCACTTACATTAATAATATCGGTCATTAAACTGAGTTTAAATATCCAATCTAATTTGATATCATCATTCTCAATAACATCCTGTAAAATATAACATATCTCAATAACATCCTGTAATATATAACATATCTCAATAACATCCTGTAATATATAACATATATCAATAACATCCTGTAAAATATAACATATCTCAATAACATCCTGTAATATATAACATATCTCAATAACATCCTGTTAAAAATAACATATCTCAATAACACCCTGCAACACATCTCAATACCACCCTGTAAAATATAACATATCTCAATAACACCCTGTAACACATCTCAATACCACCCTGTAAAATATAACATATGTTAATAACACTCTCTAAAATATAACACAAAAAATATGAAATGTAATAGGGTTTATGATTCGAGTCTTCATCATCAACCATGATCATGAAGATGGCCATACTACATAGAGTGTGTTATCAGGGGAATTCGGCCCGGAAAATAGTGCTACGGCCTACTCTTATTCTTGTCGCCCACCTTCTCTTGACAGGCCTTCATCCCTGCACCACTAAGAAGGTGCAGTCAGACGGGAAAATCCTGAAAGTCTGCCGGCAAGAACCGGGATCGAATCCGTGACCTCTTGCTTAGTACACCAATTATATAACCTACCTGTAGATTATACTGTTTGAATTGCATTTAGTAATTAACACATTACCTGTAGACTACCTTTACTACAATATGTAGTTAAAAACAAGGTAAACTTCGTGTTAAAACACAGACCAATAAATTGGTTTATATTCTCGTGTTGCAAGTCTTTCATCTAAAAGTAAAAATACAATCAAAACATAAAATATAAACATTTTATAATATTTATAGTTACATTCAATCTGATTAAAACACAGATACTATTTCGTTTCGTTTTTTATAGTTCAAATTTTTGTTTTACTTGTCTTTACTACACTAGGATCTGAAAGAGTTGTTATATCACCCGCGTTGTTTTGGTTGGTGTGAGGGATTAGCCAATGAAACGGTCTGTTACAGCGAGTTATTGGCATACGGTGCACGAACTGCGCATATCACCCTAGAAACATCAACGCTGATTGGTTAATCAAATGTCAGACGTCATAGAGTCAAAAGTCGCTCGTATGACCCCTGACGCGACCGTCCACTACAACCGATCATAACTTCATTTAGTGGAGGCCATCGTAAGTATTAAAAAAACAAAACGAAACCAAATATTGGTCTGTATTTTATACAGATCGAGTTACATTAATGGTTTATAAAACCAAATGCAAAGAATAAACGGAATGATATGGGGTTTAGCGTCCGACTACGCTACGGTCTACTCTTAAAACCTCCTTACACGAACTGGGGGTTGGATGGCTGAATGGTTAGCGTGCGCGCGCTGTATCATAAAGTCTGTCATTGAGTCGACTAGCGTGGTTTCGAATCCCCGGTTGTACGTGACAAGGAGTAGGGTCTCCTGTCCAACCTCGTGGGTTTTCTCCGGGTCCCCCGGTTTCCTCCCACTGCTAAAGACCCCTATGCGCCAGCGAATTATTGAAATAAAATTAAACCATATGTTAGTCCCGAAATGACCTAGTTTGTGTTGAGTGGTCGTTAAACCCAATTTCTCTCTCTCTCTCTCCCTTACACGAACCTGCTTTTGTTCAAGAACATCATCCAATGGCAGGATAATGTTCAAGCTCATGAGGTGTCCACCATGCAACATTTAGTGAACATATTGAAGATTATTGATGGATGTTTTATGGATTTTGGAGGGAAACCTTATAATTCATGCGGATGAGAAGAAAACCCGAGGTCACTTGTATACATTGGCGTGCACATAAAAGATCCCTTGGCAGTTGGAATTCGATATAAGAGTAGGCCATAGTGCCGCTGTCCCGGCCAAATTTCCCTAATAGCACACACAAGGGATCTTTTACGTACACTGAGCCTTTTGTCCCATCCGAATGACTAGACAGCTGTCAAGGGGTGTTTTATGTACCACAGGGATCGAATACGGCACCTCCAGGTTAACGACTCAACCTCTTACTCAGTGAGCCACCGCGGTCCCTATCAATTATATAGAGAATCTCCTACCAGTCTTTTTTGATATCAAAAAAGACGAGTAGGAGATTTTATTTATCACTTTATCAACCAGTGTTGATATTTTTTGATATCAAAAAAGACGAGTAGGAGATTTTATTTATCACCCAACCCCTTCTTACATGCATAAATAGATAAATATAATTCTTTGCTGTAGATTTAACTTTTACTGTACATTATGGCGTAGTGATACATCATTTTTTGACAGCAATTCAACCATTGCAAAGTCCTTTATACCGACCCAGTGTTTCCATCAAGGTCAACTGAATAACAATAGTTCGTTTTTAATTTAAAAAAAAGTTACTTTTAATAAGAAATGAACTGTTCTTTGAAAATAAAAAAAGTAGTTCCTTTACAACTAACCAATCAAATTCATGTAAAGCGATATCTCCTAAGGAGATATCGCAGTAGATTATGAAATATATCACACAAGCGATATCTACTGTAGAATGTATTATTGGGTGATAAAATTAATTTAATTATCATGACATGTTCACCTCCATTTCATTTTATATCTAATTAATTAAATGTCGACAATCATATTATATTTCTTATGAAATCTCTTCCCCGTTTCCACAAGAAATAATAATTAGACTCGGGTAACAAGAATTCTTCCTTAATTACCTGACATTTTCAAGATTATTGCTAATAAAAAACCTATTGTTCAGAATGAATGGCCATCGCAAAGTTCATCTGAAGAATGTTGATATCTCTCGTGTAGTTGACGTTGTCATGGTTACGACCAGGGTTGACAATTTTGTAGCTGTCAGCGTGAGAGAGAGAGAGAGATGATTTCGGGTTTAACGTCCCTCTGTTATGCTCCGACTGGGCTAATGAAGACTGGCATACGTTATACAGTGTGCTATAATGGAAATTTTGCCCGGACGGCAGCACTATGGCCTGCTCTTATATAGAATTCCAACTGCCACGGGATCTTTTACGTGCATGCCAATGTATACCCGGGTCCTCGGTTTTTTGTCGCATCCGAACGACTAGACAGCTGTCCTTGTCAGGCCCTCCGTCCTGCACCACTGACAAGGGGAAACCACGCCGGAAAATCCCGATGAACTTTCTCGGCCAATGCAGAGTTCGAACATGCGACCGCGTGTTGATCGTATCGAAACGTGTCCGAACGTATCTACACGTACCAGATCGTGGACACTGTCATTGAGTCAACTAGCGTGGTTTGGATTCCCCGGTTGTACGTGACAAGGAGTAGGTTTTCTCCGGGTCCTCCGGTTTCCTCCCACTGCTAAAGACCCCTACGCGCAAGCGAATTATTGAAATAAGATTGAACCATGAGTTAGTCCCGAAATGGCCTAGTTTGTATCGAGTGAACGTTAAACCCCTTTTCTCTCTCTCTCACACTTCACAGAGAGCGCCAGTAATATAACAACTCCAAATCCTAGTGTAGTAAAGACAAGTAAAACGAAATTTGGGACTATAAAAAACGAAATGAAATAGGATCTGTGTTTTAATCCAATTGGGGCTAATTATGGATAACTGTAAATAGTGAATTACCTGCCCAATGCTTCCAAAACACCTGGCTTCAGACAGCTTAATTTCATGGCTCTCAATTTTCCAGGTCATCTTTTCAACCTCTCTCTCAAATTTGATCCGCCTCAAAACGAAAATGAAATACAATAAAGGGAAATGAAATAAAATGGAGTTTAACGTTCTACTTTTGTTTCGCCATTCAGACTAAGGACTGGCATGTTCAATTTCTTGTTCATTTTCACGGACAGTCAGCCAAGACAGTTTACATGTGGTACCTTAAACATACATTATCCAAGAGCTAAATCGGCCTATTGTAGGTCTTTCCTTAGGCCTGAAATGTTTTCTAAATTATTAATTAGACATTGATTAAACATACATTATGCAAGAGCTAAATCTGTCTATTGCAGGTCTTTCTTTAGGCCTGAAATGTTATCTAAATTTTTAATTAGACATTAATTAACCTATCCAGACCATAATCAACTCTTGATGGCGTCGCTAGTCTGAAATCTTATGTGGATTATGAGCCGATTTACTGCATAACTTTCCTTAACGATTAAATATCAAGGCTAGGAGGAAATTTCAATCGCTTAGTTCTCGGTTCATAGTGGATCAATTTGAATGAAATTTTCAGGAAATTGCCTTTACATTATCCAGTTTTTAACTATTATAGTGAGAACTGCCAACTCGTTATCGAATCTCCCATAATGTATCTTTAACTTATCCAGGCCGATGGCATCGGATTTCTCCGATATTAAATAGATTAGAACAATTCAGCCATATTTTGATTTAAGCTAAAATGGAGGAGGGAGACTTAGCTTCGAACAACCAGTAAAGTGGTTGAAATTATTGATTGCAACACAATAGATATAATAATACCAAGGTGAGAAACGGTTTAGAATTAAATAATTGGGATCAATGTTCACTACTCTAGATTCCGCCAGCCAGTGAGAAATGGGGGTTTAACGTCCACTCAAAACAAACTAGGTCATTTCGGGACTAACATATGGTTCAAACCTATTTCAACATTTCCCTAGCGCGTATGGGTCTTTAGCAGTGGGAGGAAACCGGAGGACCCGAAGAAAACCAACGAGGTTGGACAGGTGACCTTACTCCTAGAAACATACAACCAGGGAATCAAAACCATGCCAGTTGACTCAATGACAGACCTTGTTCTAATGCAATCTGATTAGAATACAGATCTATATTTCGTTTCGTTTTTTGATACTTTCGATGGCCTACACTACATCAAGATCTGACCGGTTGTAGCGATAGGTCGCGTAAGAGGTCATATGAGTGGCTTTTGACCCTATGACGTCAGACATTTGATTAACCAATCAGCATTGATGTTACTAGTGGATTACCCACAGTTCCGTGCAAAACACGCCTAAAGCTCGCCTTAACAGACCGTTTCATTGGCTAATAGCTCACATCATTCAGAACACGTCAATGAAAACAACTCTTCTAGATCCTAGTGTAGTAAAGACAAGTAAAACGAAATGTTAACTATAAAAACGAAACGAAATATGATCTGTGTTTTAACCAGATTGGGGCTAATGAAGACAGGTATAAGTTGTTGAAAGTAAACTATAAAATCTATAAGATAAGTCAATTTATTTACCTGTATACAATAACAGATGGAACCAGTAATATAACAAAAGATATCACCATCACTACAGGTACAACTATCGTTATTATATAAGCTATAATAGAAATTATATAAAATATCACCATCACTACAGGTACAACTATCGTTATTATATAAGCTACAATATAAATTATATAAAATATCACCATCACTACAGGTACAACTATCGTTATTATATAAGCTACAATATAAATTATATAAAATATCACCATCACTACAGGTACAACTATCGTTATTATATAAGCTACAATATAAATTATATAAAATATCACCATCACTACAGGTACAACTATCGTTATTATATAAGCTACAATATAAATTATATAAAATATCACCATCACTACAGGTACAACTATCGTTATTATATAAGCTATAATAGAAATTATATAAAATATCACCATCACTACAGGTACAACTATCGTTATTATATAAGCTACAATATAAATTATATAAAATATCACCATCACTACAGGTACAACTATCGTTATTATATAAGCTACAATATAAATTATATAAAATATCGTCATCACTACAGGTAATACTATCATTATTATATAAGCTACAATATAAATTATATAAAATATCGTCATCACTACAGGTACAACTATCGTTATTATATAAGCTACAATATAAATTATATAAAATATCGTCATCACTACAGGTACTACTATCATTATTATATAAGCTACAATATAAATTATATAAAATATCGTCATCACTACAGGTACTACTATCATTATTATATAAGCTACAATATAAATTATATAAAATATCACCATCACTACAGGTACAACTATCGTTATTATATAAGCTACAATATAAATTATATAAAATATCGTCATCACTACAGGTACTACTATCATTATTATATAAGCTACAATATAAATTATATAAAATATCGTCATCACTACAGGTACAACTATCGTTATTATATAAGCTACAATATAAATTATATAAAATAAAACGGGGTTTTGGTTCCTTTACTATATAAACTTGGGCCGAAGGGGTGGGGGGGGTCTAAAATATTGAAATTAGCTTTTAGACTCGAAACAGTTTCGCCCTTTCGCCAAGATTCGAGATCGAAAGCTATGGATAAATGTATTTTTATATATTTTAACTGTGTGTGCCTGAAGAGTGATTGTTAATGGTATTATATTTTTATATATTTTAACTGGGTGTGTCTGAAGAGTGATTGTTAATGGTATTATATTTTAACTGGGTGTGTCTGAAGAGTGATTGTTAATGGTACTATATTTTAACTGGGTGTGCCTGAAGAGTGATTGTTAATGTAATATATATTTTAACTGGGTGTGTCTGAAGAGTGATTGTTAATGTAATATATATTTTAACTGGGTGTGTCTGGAGAGTGATTGTTAATGGTACTATATATTAACTGAGTGTGCCTGAAGAGTGATTGTTAATGGTACTATATATTAACTGAGTGTGCCTGAAGAGTGATTGTTAATGGTACTATATATTAACTGGGTGTGTCTGGAGAGTGATTGTTAATGGTACTATATATTAACTGAGTGTGCCTGAAGAGTGATTGTTAATGGTACTATATATTAACTGAGTGTGCCTGAAGAGTGATTGTTAATGTAATATATATATTAACTGGGTGTGTCTGGAGAGTGATTGTTAATGGTACTATATATTAACTGAGTGTGCCTGAAGAGTGATTGTTAATGGTACTATATATTAACTGAGTGTGCCTGAAGAGTGATTGTTAATGGTACTATATATTAACTGGGTGTGTCTGGAGAGTGATTGTTAATGGTACTATATATTAACTGAGTGTGCCTGAAGAGTGATTGTTAATGTAATATATATTTTAACTGGGTGTGTCTGGAGAGTGATTGTTAATGTAATATAGAGTACATCTGTATAGTTGATATACTAGAATGAGTAAATGTTTTAAACAAGTAATCGGATTTGAGTGCCATGCTTCGAGCTTCCGATCCCTGGTGTGCACGTACCTAGCTAGGAGATAGAGGCATCTTCCCAACCGCGTGGGTTTACGCCGGGTACACCTGTTTCCAGGAACGATCACTGCGAGTGCGCTAAGCAAAATAAAACAGACCCGTCGCTAGCGGTGGGGATGGGGGAGGACGGGGACAGCTCTAGGCGCCGAACCGCACCCTTTCCATAGTACGCGATACGAAGCCCGACCAACATGCCCATATCAGTATTGGTGCTCCCCCCCCCCCAACCCGCTAGGTACGGGCCTGTGAAATAAAATAACTTGTCTGCGATAATTTGTCCATTGGACGCAATACGAAGCCCGACCGACATGCCCATATCAGTATGGGGGCTACCCCCCCCCCCCCGGCCCCCGCTAGGTACGGGCCTGTGAAATAAAATAACTTGTCTGCGATATCGCCACCGGTGGAAGCAGACGTTAAACACTAATCGAAGAAGAAGAAGAACGATATAGAATTGGGGTTTAACCTATCTACACGAATCCTGGCTTATCTCTGTTGATGATAAACGCGCCAACAAGCTCATAAATAAATTCATTATTTTTATTTGACCGATAAAATAATGAAAGGAGAACGACCAGATTAATAAGAATAGATGTCAACGGCTTGGTTATTTTTCTGTTTATATTTCCCAAAGCGAATATAAAATCATGAATTTATTGATCGTGGCTTATAAAATATAATAATTATTATCGAATATACAGACCAACCATTAATACAAATTATAATACAGTTATTCTTGAAAATTCTTTCAATAGGTGTAAAATACAATACTGCACAAATACAGATTGAAGAAAAATGGACTCATTAACACCAGTCGATAAGATAATCGCATAATTATAATTAAAAACTTTTATTGCTCTACTTTCAGGCTACGCGTCATCCATTCTTCACACAGAGAACTGTCTACTCTACTTCGAGCATATATCTCTGTCCTAAATGGCCGCCATGTCCAACAATTGGTCTGTTTTGTAATGCGGTTCTTACACCGGTTCACGTCTGCTATACACAAACAGATTAATTAAAACTTTGTAAAAATATTCTCCTCAAAATTCTCGACATGTACTTAGTGTTTTCGACATTTTAGGACTTAAAATGTCGGTCAGCTAACTTAGTGTCTGTTCTCAAGTGGAGCTAACTGGAGATAGACAGCGTATGTTTAGTATGCCCGTCATCATTATCAACAGAACTCAGAATGGCGGTACTCCAATAAAGAGAGGTCTATTTAATAATTTAGATAACATTTAAGGCCCAAAGAAAGACCTGCAATAGGCAGATTTAGCTCTTGCATAATGCTTGTTTAATTAAACGTACATTATGCAAGAGCTAAATCTGCCTATTGCAGGTCCTTCTTTAGACCTGAAATGTTATATACTATTCAAAAAAAGTAGGGGATATTTGATTTTGGGGGCATAATACTAAAATATGCAAATGACTACGAAAAAAGTCACTATAGAACCTAACAGAAGAAACATTTCCAGTTACATATGACGCCCAAACGCACCAATAGCTACCGCATGGAATGCAGGTGATGCTTGGGATCATCATGGGGGTCTAACCCAAGATTTGCACGACTCTGACTTTGAATGTTACAGTCATTGTGGCATTGAATTCCAGGGTGGAAACATCAGTTTATTTGTTTTAGTGACCAGAAAACAAATTTTGATATGCGTCGGCTTACCCAAAATGAAAGGTTACGTGCCCTTGGCATGCTACAGATCGGCACAACACAGGCGGTTGTGGCGCGGACGATGAATGTTTCTCAGTCTGTCATAAGCAGGCTATGGTCCAGATACCGTGATACACAATCTGTACAGGACAGACCACGCTCAGGTCGACCAAGGGCGACAACTCAAGCCCAGGATCGATTTATCCGTACCTTGGCCTTGAGAAATCGTGTCATCACAGCAAATCAGATCAGCGCTCGTCTTCAAACAGACACTGGTGTGAGAGTGAGTGGCCAGACGATTCGGAATCGACTGCATAGGGGTCACCTTCGCGCCCGACGTCCTCGCGTAGTCCGTTGTTTGAGAGATCATCACATTCAGGCAAGACGTCGTTGGTGTAGGGATCGTCAACACTGGGATAATCGACGCTGGAGCAATGTGATGTTTTCAGATGAGTCAAGGTTCACTGTTGATTTTTTGGACAGACGTAGGAGGGTGTGGCGTCGTCGAAACGAGTGCTTCCAAGACGTTAACGTCATCAGACATGATCGATTTGGGGGTGGTTCTGTTATGGTGTGGGGAGGCATCACTGTTGCTGGAAGAACGGCTTTACATGTTGTTGCAGGGCGTGTTACAGGCCAGTACTACCGGGACAACATCTTGGCAGTCCATGTTGTGCCGTTCGCACGACGTCATGGCCGCCGTTTCATCTTCCAGGATGACAACGCAAGATGTCACAGGGCCAGGATCGTTACAGGTTACCTCCAACAACAGAACATCACCACATTACCTTGGCCAGCACTGAGTCCCGACCTCTCCCCCATCGAGCATGTCTGGGACATGCTTGGACAGAGGTTACGTCAACGTCAACAACGTCCTGCCAATGTCCAAGAACTTGCTGCTGCGTTGCAACAGGAATGGGACAATCTGGACCAAAATGACCCTAGACGTCTCATTAGGAGTATGCCACGTCGGATCAATGCTTGTTTGGCAAACAGAGGAGGATTTACCTGTTACTGACTTGGTTGTGATGCTGTGGTAACTTTGCTGTTTGACCCCGGGTATCATTTTACCCTTATAATGGTCAGTCTGTGCCTTACTTAGTCTAACGATCATTTGGAATAAATCGATGAATGTGAACTTCATTTCATTTTGTCATTTGTTTCTTCGTCAGTTTCATTAGGTGACTTTAATAACACTTAAAAATCAAATATCCCCTACTTTTTTTGAATAGTATATAAACTATTAATTGGACATTTATTAACACGAAAAGACCTTAATCAACTCTCGATGTCATCTTATGTGTCGGGTTGTCACTGGATTTGAATCCGATCTGCTGCTCAATGCTTATTGATGATTAAATCAAAAACTGGATAATCGAGACTATGTTTTTTTTTTATCGTACCGACTTTAGCAATGGTGACCGAGGCTAGGCCGAAAAATCAATCGCTAATACCTCGCTTCAAAGTGAAGCAATTTGACTGAAATTTTCAGAATATTCCCTTTACATTGTCTAGTTCTATAACTATTATAGTGAGAACCGCCAGCTCTTTATCTGATCTTCTATAAATGTATCTTTAAATGTTAAAAAACGATGATTTTTGACACATATTTGGGCTCCAATTTAATAGAAACAGAATATTAGTGTATATTTTATAAAGTCACTATGGGTGGTGGGTAGGGGCTGTGGTCCCCTTGGCCCCCTCCCTGGACTCCAATCGGTGTGTATGAATAAAAAATGAACAACTTACACGTTTTTTTAATACAAAGATCCCCTGTGAATCCACAGATTGGTACATCAACAGGGACCAATCCATCAAACGTCGACCATTTAATATCACTTGTAACGTAGATTTTCTTAAAAAACAAAATAAACAAACAAACCGAAGTAAAGATATGATAAATGAGGGGAAAGAAATGAAATGAGGTTTAACGTCCTACTGTTCTGCTCCGAACTGGGGTAATGAAGACGGGCATACGCCATACAGTGTGCTGAGGGAAATTTTGCACGGACAGCAGCACTACGGCCTACTCTTATATCGAATTCCAACTGCCAATGTGTACACGGGACCTCGGCTTTTCGTCCCATCCGAACGACTAGACAGCTGTCCTTGTCAGGCCCTCCGTCCTGCATCACTGACAAGGGGGAACCACGCCGGAAAATCTCGATGAACTTTTTCGCCCAATGCAGGGATCGAACACGCGACCTCTAGGCTAGCGAGCCAGTGTCTTACTCACTTAGCCACCGCGACCCCGAGATCAATGAGAAGTTGCCTGAGTAGTGGATTCACATAAAAACTGCATCATCATTTATCATAATATGTCTAGTTCGTTTTAAAAACTAATTGAATGAAATATATGTTGGAGAGAGAGACATGGGGCTTAACTTCCATTCGACACAAACTAGGTCATTTTGGGACTAACATATTGTTTGATTTTATTTCAATAATTCACTTGCGCGTAGTGGTCTTTAGCAGTGGGAGGAAACCAGAGGAACGGGAGAAAACCCACGAGGATGGACAGGCTATCCTACTCGTTGTCACGTACAACCGGGGGATCGAAACCCTGCCACTTGACTCATTGGCAGACCTTATGATGGCGTGCTCGTAAAAGATCCTCTGACAGACGTTAAACCCCATTTCTCTCTCCCCATTGACAGTTCGTTAGTCACCGTTCATAACCAGAAATTTAAATTAAGGAACACATTTGTAACATGTATTCTCACCAATCTGATTAAAATAAAGATCTATATTTCGTTTCGTTTTTTATTCTTTCAATGGTCATCACTACATGCAGATCTGACCAGTTGGCCAGTAATGGCCACAGATCACCAATGATTTCCCCATTGACGTTAATATTAATTCTCGTCTTTTAGACCGGCTCTAACGTTTTTACAAATTTTCGTTTGGTAGAACGCTTTCTACCACAGATGGAGCAACATATGGCAACCTCTTGCCCAAAAGCATGTATGAGGTTCATCATGAAAAACTCGAGAATAACAAGCTGTAAGTAGAGAAATGTAAACAAGCAATTTTCCGCCGTACATTTCAACCTAACCAACCTCTTAACTCTTGTATCCTTCCGCCTCAAAATCATGAATCTTCACCAAAACCTGGCAGAAAATGTATGTTCAAACCCTTTTCTTCAATTCTACACCAAAAAGTCAACAAAGATCGCCACGCAAAAGGGGGAAAAAAAAGAAACGGGGAGAAGGACTAAAAATAGCTTTGGAACGTGTTTCGCCAGGAATATGTGGTGAGCTGTGTCCACTTGTAGTGTGTGTGTGTGTGTGTGTGGGGGGGGGGGTGTCGCCTCAGGAGTAATAGAAGCGGCTTTGATTAACCAGTCAGTGTTGATATTTCTAGTAGGAAACTCATTGTTCCCCACATCCACGCCAAGAACTAGCTGAAATAGACTGCTTCATGGGCTAATCCCTCACATCAACCAGAACGCAGGTTATATAACAACTCTTCCACATCCCAGTGTAGTAAAGACAAGTAAACCGAAATTTTGATCTATAAAAAAACGAAACGAAATAGGATCCGTGTTTTAATCAGATTGGTATTCTGACCAATAAAGACATACCTTTGTGGATGACGTCATTCTCGCTTCCATGACAACAGCAAATTTTTCAGCATCCGGTTCTAAGTGCCACACCCAATAATCTGGTTCTCTGTCTCCATTCAAGTCCAATTTAACGTTACCTGTTACACCTGTTCATATAAACAATCTTAGGAGAACGCTAAATCGGAGACGGTCCTGCACATATGACGTCATATGTGGATTGTGCGTTAGGAATAGGGTAAGGGTTAGGCTTGGTTCAGGGTTAGGGTTAGGGTTGGAACTAGTCCTGTTTACATCTTCTGGCTTTGACCAAATCTACATGTCCTAACCCCTATCCTAACCCTAACCTACAATCCATATATGACGTCATATGTCTCCACAATCTTGATACGTTCAGTTTTTGAATCAGTTAGTTAGGTTATTGGGGTACGTTTTAATATTGACAGGGCCGTCGTTTCTGACATATTGGCCGGTCATAGCCTCATTTTTTCCGTAGGCTATTCATTATTTGAAGTCAGTCCAAAGTAATGAAATTAAGTCCTTATTTTCGTCTCCAGTAGAAAATATTTAATCTTGTAATTCAATGAAATGTGGTTTAACGTCTTAATGTTGTGCTCCAAATGGGCTAATGAAGACAGGCATACGCCATACAGTGTTGCTCGGACAGCGGCGCTACAGCCTACTTTAATATCAATCCAGATTTATGCATTTAATCGAATATTCGAATAACATTCCAATAACGCCTTGGAATATTCGAATAGCGTTCAAATAGTGGCGTAGAATAACATTTGAATAGCGTTAAAAAATGGCGTGGAATAATATTCGAATATCGTTCAAACAATGGCGTAGAATAATATTCGAATAGCTTGCAAATAATGGCGTAGGATAATATTCGAATAGCGTGGAAATAACGGCGTAGAATAATATTCGAATGTAATGACTTATAAAGTTAGTAAAATGAGTGCGTTCTCTGTGTTATCCTACCTCTGAATGTTTTGTTCCGAGCTTTCTGGACAATAGCAGTTCCATTTCTGTGATCCAAACCTTCGGCAAGTGTTTCATTTAACGTCAGCAAATATAGATAAACAACATCATGTAAAAATGGCGAATATTCCGATCCCTACAAAAAAAAAAAAAAAACATCATATAAAAATGAGGAGCATTCCGATCCCTACAAATATAAACAACATCAAATAAAAAAACGGTGGGTATTCCCACCCACATCATTTAAAAATGGTGAGTATTCCTACCCGTACAAATGTAAACATCATTTAAAAATGGCGAATATTCCGAAACCCGGAACGTGTCCAGGAGTTTCAGCAGATGTGATTTAAGAAGCCATATTAGTTTCGATGTGATCTGAAAAGTCATATTAGTTTCGATGTGATCTGAGAAGTCATATTAGTTTCGATGTGATCTGAGAAGTCATATTAGTTTCGATGTGATCTGAGAAGTCATATTAGTTTCGATGTGATCTGAGAAGTCATATTAGTTTGGATGTGTTTTGAGAAGCCATATTAGTTTGGATGTGATGTAAGGATGTGATTTGAGAAGCCATAACAGTTTAGATGGGATTTGAAAAGCCATATTAGTTTGGGTGTGATTTTAAAAGTCATATTAGTTTAGATGTGATTTGAGAAGCCATATTAGTTTGGATGTGATGTAAGGGTGTGCTTTGAGAAGTCATATTAGTTTAGATGTGATCTGAGAAGCCATGATGTGATTTGAGAAGCCATATTAATAAACACAATAATCAATTATTGGATGGTTTTCGAGAAATGTTAATATCGATTTTATCATTCCTATAAATGTGATAAACAGTAGATAGAATTTGTCTTACCGTGAATTAGTCTAGATTACTTCGTCCTTGAGAGGCATTTAATGATTGCGCACAATACTAATATTTGTGACCGACATTTGTTTGTCTGTCTGTTCGGGGTTGGCGGCTACACTAGGGCTGTTTCGAAGCTGAAATTTGGTGTATTGGGGTAGCTCGGACCGGGAGTAACAAAGGCCTAGTGGCAATGGACTACCGCTTCCGGTTTCGGAGTTACGCTATTTCCCGTTAGTCCCGAAATAATCTGTATCAAGTGAACGTTAAACCCCATCTGGATAAGTAAATTAATGTCTAATTTATTTAGATAACATTTGAGGTCTAAAGAAAGCTTCTGCAATTTGCAGATTTAGCTCTTGCATAATGTATGTTTAAATTGCGTTGTGGGTTGTCCTTCTATAATTAAACTACCTTCCACATCTAGGAATTCCTAACTACAGTCATAAGGCATTTTTCAATCTGGCGTGGCTCCTCCTTGTCAGTGATGCTGGACAGAGGGCCTGACAAGGACAGCTGTCTAGTCGTTCGAATGGGACAAAACAACCGAAGTTCCGTTTACACATTGGTGTGCACGTAAAAGATCCCTTGGCAGTTGGAATTCGTAGTGCCGCTGTCCGGGCAAAATTGCTCTCATAGCACACTGTATGGCGAATGCCCGTCTTCATTAGCCCAGATCGGAGCAGAACAGTAGGACGTTAAACTCCATTTCATTCCATTTCCATTAATAGTTTTTAGTTTATGGCAATTATTGTTATAAATATTGTACTGTTGACGTATATTACAGTAGAGAATTAGTATTAAAGTCGATGGTATTATGACTTTAAATAGGGGAAATCAATATACTCGCCATCTACCATTTACTAATGGCCGTTAATGGGTTTTTTCATGGTTTTGGGGTCAATATTCATTCATAATATTCATAAAAACATTTTTATATTATAATAAATACAATAGGAAAGTGGGAGAGAAAGAAACATTATCTAGGCTTATATACACGTCATTGATTTTAACACTCTTCTTGCAATTAGTATAAACGGTAGGATGGGGGGGGGGAATGGTTACCGCGTGTAAGCTGTATCATAAGGTGTATCATAAGGTGACGTGGTTACGATTCCCCGGTTGTATGTGACAAGGAGTAGGGGAGCCTGTCCAACCTCGAGAGGTTTCTCCGGGTCCCCCGGTTTCCCCCCACTGCTAAAGACCCCTACGTGCAAGCGAATTATTGAAATAAAATTGAACCATGTGTTAGTCCCGAAATTATTGAAATAATAGGCAGATTTAACTCTTACATAATGGCTGTTTAATTAAAAGTGAGACAGAGAGTGAGAGAGAGAGAGAGAGAGAGGGGGAGAGAGAGGGAGAGAGTGAGAGAGAGAGAGGGAGAGAGAGAGAGGGAGAGAGAGGGGGAGAGAGGGAGAGAGGGAGAGAGAGAGAGTGAGAGTGAGAGAGAGAGAGAGTGAGAGAGAGAGAGAGTGAGAGAGAGAGGGAGAGAGAGAGAGAGAGAGTGAAATTGGGTTTAACGTCCACTCGACACAAACTAGGTCATTTCGGGACTAACATATGGTTTCATTTTATTTCAATAATTCGCTTGCGCATAGGGGTCTTTAGCAGTGGGAGGAAACCGGGGATTGGACAGGCGACCCTACTTCTTGTCACGTACAACCGGGGATTCGAAACCACGCCAGTCGACTCAATAACAGACTTCGTGATACAGCGCGCACACGCTAACCATTCAGCCATCCAACCCCCCAATATTAAAAGTACATTCCGGCGTGCATTATTAGGCCGTGAGAAAATGGATATTGTCAAAAGAATACTGGGATCATTAACTTTAATACGAATTAGATCATAAGGTCTCTCTTGTTGTGTGGTTTCAATTTCCAGCTTGCACGTGACAAGGAGTAAGATCGCCTGTCCAAATCCTCCGGTTTCCTCCTGCTGCTAAAGACCACCCACGCTCAAGCGAATTATTGAAATGAAATGAAATGAAATGGGGTTTAACGTTGTTCTAATGAAGACGGGCATACGCTACACAGTGTGCTATGAGGGAAATATCGAATTCCAACTGCCAAGGGATCTTTATACAAAATCGATTTTTAACTGAATATGGAAAGAAATATATAACCGAGTATACCCGTTTTCGGTTCTCTATGGAAGTATTATAAAACCATGGTGATTCCGCCATCTTTAAAGGGATCAAATCTCGGAAACTTTCTACTTCCGGTCCAGCCATTTCAGCTACTGTTATCTGTAATATAAAATGAATTGAAATGAGATGGGGTTTGCGGCACCGACTGGGCTAATGATAACGGGTGCTATGAGGGAAATGAGATGGGGTTTGCGGCACCGACTGGGCTAATGATAACGGGTGCTATGAGGGAAATGGGATGGGGTTTGCGGCACCGACTGGGCTAATGATAACGGGTGCTATGAGGGAAATGTTGGCCCGCACAGCTGCACTACGGCCTACTCTTATTTCGAATTCCCATTTGAACGACCGTAGGTTGTCCCCTGACAGGCCTTCCAACCCTGCTGACAACGGGGGTGGGGGCACGCTGGAAAATTCTGATGAACTTTTGTACTGATATGCGTCGCTGGTCAGATGTGGAAAGCCCACCCTCATAAACTCCCCACAGCCGATGTGTGACACATGCTCTCTTTTCTGCTACATATTTCATTAGCATTGTGATCGTCTAGTATTTGTTCTAGTATTTGTAATTCTCTTCTTATGGCTAGGACTCACGTTGTATATTGATTCTTATCTCAGCAGCTAAAACGTTTGTCTACCAGGAACAACAATGCAACAGTTCGTTTTAAACGTTTATATCAAGCACGGGATACATAGGTTACAAGCTAAGCTACAAGCTAAAACGTTTGTCTACCAGGAAAAACAATGCAACAGTTCGTTTTAAACGTTTATATCAAGCACGGGATACATAGGTTACAAGCTAAGCTTACAATAAAAGTCATTCTCTTAAACTCATCAAACTCGCTGATGGAAATCTCTACATTTGTCTCCTCAAGGAATCATTGGTCTCCAGGCCAGTCGCCCCCCCCCCCCCCCCGACTTTGAAAAAAATGTCGACCATAGATATACATTGTCCGTCAATTTTACAGCACCCTTGAGAACACCCCCCCCCCTTCGTTACTCTGTGCTAGTTACGGCCCTGTCGGTCTCTCCCCACGAATCTACATGGGATCTCAAGAATCTAATGTCTCTATAGAACCTAACCCAGTCTTTTAACATGGACAGTGGCATTGAGTCAGCTCTGTCAATTATTTAATTAGACAAATATTACGTAATTACTTTTAATGGTTGATTACTAAGCCTAATAACGTAATTGGTAAATCTCCACAATAAGGGATCTAACAATAACAGATTAGCATTATTAGTTTGACTCTAAATCCTGTTATTCTCACAGTATTTCATAAACGGATTAATTGGCGTTTATAAATAAACCCATTACAAGAGCGAGAGAGAGAGAGAGAGAGAGAGAGAGAGAGAGAGAGACGTCCACTCGACCATAACTAGCTCATTTCGGGACTAAAATATGGTTCAATTTCATTTCAATATTCGCTTGCGCTTAGGAGTCTTGAGAGAGAGAGAGAGAGAGAGAGAGAGAGAGAGAGAGATCCACTCGACACAAACTAGGTCATTTCGGGACTAAAATATGGTTCAATTTCATTTCAATATTCGCTTGCGCTTAGGAGTCTTGAGAGAGAGAGAAAGAGCGAGACAGAGAGAGAGAGAGAGAGAGAGAAATGTCCACTTGACACAAACTAGGTCATTTCGGGACTAAAATATGGTTCAATTTCATTTCAATATTCGCTTGCGCTTAGGAGTCTTGAGAGAGAGAGAGAGAGAGAGAGAGAGAGAGATAGAGAGAGAGATAGAGAGAGAGAGAGAGAGAGAGATAATTCGTGTTTTCAATGTCGAAAATTTTGGATGATATTGAGCTACTTTAAGTAGTTATCATGTTTAATTTATAATGTTTTAGTAACATTTAAAACATTTAAAACATTTAAAACATTTTAAATCAAACTCAATATCATCCAAAGTCTTCGTCATTGAAAACAGGAATTATTTGCCAATTCAAATCAACATTAATTGGTAAATGCTTTTCAGCGCCTTTTGTAGCAAGGGACGCGAAGAACGAGGCTAGAAATATTCCACAAGTCATGTCAAACGGTAACGTCATATTCTTATCTGGGGAGCATGCACAATAAATTCGATCGGTGTAGACTGAAATAACCAGACGCTAGAGATTGCCATTCGATTGAGACTTCTGGTGTATTTCGCCAAACATAACTGAATAGAAATTACAGTAAAAACGGGAACGATTTAATATAAATCAGTGTCAATTTTTGGGTCCCGAATATTAGCAATTCAGTTCCTTTAAAGATAGGTTCCCAGAAAAATTATTTATCGGGTGGTTATTTCCAATAAAAGTATGATAATTTTGGTATATATGGGAAGTAGAGATATCCTTTCTTACTAGAACAAGCCAACAGTGAGGCTGATGTCCCCCGCCGAAATCCAAAAATAAATAGATGACACATATTTATTAATCGCACATTTATTTTTTTCAAAAGTATCGAGCAATCAAACTATACACTAAGTTTCAGCACTCTCCATCAGATAGAATCAAAGTTATCTTGTCCCAAAGCATCGACTAATGTAAATCATTGAACTCAGCCATGACATGACAGCAGAGAATATTCATTATCGAACTAAGTCAAGGTATTGATGTAATAAAGCTATACACCAAGTGTCCTCACTCTCACTTAATTCGAACTAAAGTTATCGTGTCCCAAAGCATCAACCAATCAAATTGCTTATCCCTGCTTACCCTAAGCAGAAAATTCTCATCTTCAATCTCCATCAAGGCATTCACCTATCAGACACCTACGCCAAGTGTGAACATTCTAACTCAACTAGAATGAGAGTTATTGGTGTTCCAAAATCTTGACCAATCAAATTGCTTATCTCTGCTTAACCTAAGCACAAAATGCTCATGTTCGAACTCCATCAAGACATTGACCTAATTAACACCTACACCAAGTTTGAACATTCTACCTCAATTAGAAGGGGAGTTATTGTGTTCCAAAGTCTCGGCCAATCAAATTGCTTATCGCTCTGCTTACCCTAAGCAGAAAATGCTCATTATCGAACTTAGTCAAGGTATTGATGTAATGAAGCTATACACCAAGTTTCATCACTCTCACTTAATTAGAACTAAAGTTATCGTGTCCCAAAGCATCAACCAATCAAATTGCTTATCTCTGCTTACACTAAGCAGAAAATGCTCATCTTTGAACTCCATCAAGGCATTGACCTAATAAACACCTACACCAAGTTTGAACATTCTGGCTCAGTTAGAGAGAGTTATTGTGTCCCAAAAAGTGTGACGGACGGACAGACACACTGATTTTAATAGTTACAGACACACCGATTTTAATAGTCCCCTGCTTTCTTCGAAAGGCGGGGGACAAAAATACAAATATTATATAATAAAGAAGTTAAATAACATTTGCAGGAAAACGGAATATGAAAATCGATTCCCTCCTTCCACTACTTATTTATGAGGGCTATCCAGTTATATATCAGCTAAATTGCGATAAAATAATATTTTATATCAATAATTATTATAGCTTGTGCCATCGTGTATTCTATGCCGTTGATTGTGTGTCAACCGAATAATTATTATCTAGTTTATATGCTAAAAACTGTATCACCAAAGGGGGATAATTTAGATAACAAGGTATTACTGTAATGAAACTATACACCAAGTTTCATCAATCTCACTTAATTAGAACTAAAGTTATCGTGTCCCAAAGCATCAACCAATCAAATTGCTTATCTCTGCTTACCCTAAGCGGAAAATGCTCATCTTCGAACTCCATCAAGGCATTGACCTAATCAACACATACACCATGTTTGAACATTCTAGCTCAATTAGGAAGAGAGTTATCGTGCCCCAAAGTATCAACCAATCAAATTGCTTATCTCTGCTTACCCTAAGCGGAAAATGCTCATCTTCGAACTCCATCAAGGCATTGACCTAATAAACACATACACCAAGTTTGAACATTCTAGCTCAATTAAAAGTTATCGTGTCCCAAAGCATCAACCAATCAAATTGCTTATCTCTGCTTACCCTAAGCGGAAAATGCTCATCTTCGAACTCCATCAAGGCATTGACCTAATCATCACATACACCAAGTTTGAACATTCTAGCCCAATTAGGAAGAGAGTTATCGTGTCCCAAAGCATCAACCAATCAAATTGCTTATCTCTGCTTACCCTAAGCGGAAAATGCTCATCTTCGAACTCCATCAAGGCAATGACCTAATAAACACATACACCAAGTTTGAACATTCTAGCTCAATTAGGAAGAGAGTTATTGTGTCCCAAAAAGTGTGACGGACAGACAGACAGACGGACAGACAGACAGACAGACAGACCGACAGACAGACGGACGAACCCATTTTAATAGTCCCCTGCTTTCTTCGAAAGGCGGGGGACAAAAATACTGGATTCCCTGAAAAACACTCATGGAGCGTATACAGGACAAAAATGTCAGGGTTCCCCTAATCGACAGCCCGACAATTAGGAATATCTGTACGCGTGACGTCAAACGTTGCATGCGGAGAATGAGCGCTTAATGTACATGTTGACAAACTTTATGAAGAGTTAGACGTTAAAAACTTTCTGAGATAAAAATCACGGAAAAAGACGCGGGCAGTGGATAATCCAAGAATTTAATTAGGATTCGATATTTGAAATAAATAGTCAGCGATTAAAGACAACATCGTCTTGTGTATGCAATAAATTCTCCTCCGACTTCGCACCCGTAAGTCACGTGACACAAACATGACCTCTTTTGATCGATTTGTTATAGCAAGGGTATTCCTTGACAATTACAATGTTTTGAGAAGGATTTGAAGCAAATTTATGATAAATTAATTAGTTTGAATATGTTTTAGGCCAAATATATCATCAAATCACCGGTTTGTACACGGGAATGTATCTTTAAGCTGTTGGAGTTGAAAATTAATTTTCATCTCATGAACTAAAACATTGTGTGAGAGAGAGAGAGAGAGAGAGAGAGAGAGAGAGAGATGGGGTTTAACGTCCACTCGACACAAACTAGGTCATTTCGGGACCAACACATGGTTCAATAATTTGCTTGCGCATAGGGGTCTTTAGCTGTGGGAGGAAACCGGAGGACCCGGAGATAACCCACGAGGTTGGACAGGCGACCCTGCTAACTATTCGGCCATCCCCCCCTCCCCCCCCCCCCAAAAAAACATTGTGTATAGATTTCAGATCTAAACAGGCATTATGTAAGAGGTAAAACTACCTATTCCAGGTCTTTCTTTGGGTCATAAATGTTATATAAATTATTAATTAGACATTTATTAACATGATAGGACAATAATCAACTCTGGATGTGCGTGATTATCGAAAGGAGCCTAGATCCTTGTGATATAAACTGAAATTTAAAGTTTCATCAAAATCGGATCAAAATTGTGACCTGTAGAGTGTCCACAACCAAAATGTGAACGGACGGACGGGCATACAGATGGAGGGACAGGCGGTCAGACAGGGGCGACGACAATATACATCACATGAAATTGTGGGCGTATAAAATGGATTATATGTAATTTATTTTAATGAAGATAAAGAAACCTGCCACTGCACGAAAGAAATGAAAAAGACTCAGCACGTATTCAGTTAATTAAAGAATTTTTTTTTTCTTAATAATCAATGTAAATTTGTATTCTAATCATTAGAAGAAATATTCTGAAACATGACATTCCCCCCTCTAACCATCCTCATTGATAATGATTATAGTAGGGGGTTTTATTTGGAGGCGTCTTGAAGGTATAATTATCAAGTAGCCTATACCCTTGAAAACCATGTTTAGAACTATTTGAAGACATGACACAATCATTTAAATCATTGTAGATTACAATTACTGAATTAGTTATGGCTTGTATACAAGAAGTTGTAATTAAAGTGAGTTCCTGAAAGCAGCATGAATAAGCAGATGAGACAAATTTGGAACCTTGAAAATCTCGCTCACGCATCTAGTCTCTATCATCAAGACTAGGAAGTTCTGGGTGACCGAGATTATCACGCATCAGATATTTTTTTTAAGGATTGTTTGTCAAACAGAATATTAAATTTGTCTGTCTGAGAGAGAGAGAAATGGGGTTTAACGTCCACTCGACACAAACTAGGTCATTTCAGGACTAACATATGGTTTAATTTTATTTACATGATTCGCTTGCGCGTAGGGGTCTTTAGCAGTGGGAGGAAACCGGAGGCCCCGGAGAAAACCCACGAGGTTGGACGGGCGACCCTACTCCTTGCCACGTCAACCGGGGATTGGAAACCACGCCAGTCGACTCAATGACAGACTTTATGATACAGCACGCACGCTAACCATTCAGCCATCCAACCCCCCTTGTCTGTCTGAATTACCTAGGATGATGATAATTATAGTTCATTGTAAGTTATGATTGATTCTGACCTATCCAAGTATATGATTGTGGTAATTTTCCCCAAAAATTAAGGAAAAAAAACGTTGTAATTGTTAGAAATTGAAAAACAAAAGTCAAAGAACAGGCCATTCTGTTGTGGAACAAATATAAGATCCAGAAAGTGTGTGAAACGCAGAATAAAATTTTTTGAAAATAAAAAAAAAATAAAATAGAATTATCATGCAATAATTTTTGAAAATAAAAAGAAATGCGAGTAAAAGTACATTGTATATTGTATTGTACAATTGGTCTTAACCAGTTGTCAAAATATAGAGCCCAAGAGAAGATAACCCTCTTTATTTTAAAGCCTTTAATTATTTTGATATGAGGTGTAATTTGAATTAATGAGATGGAACAAGTTTTTAGAATAAATCCAAGCATAGCATCTCCCTTTAAAGATATGTTATGAGAGATTAGATAAAGAGCTGGCAGTTCTCGCTATAATAATTAAAAACTAGATAATGATAAGGGAATTTGTTCCACTCTGAACCGAGATTTTAGCGATTGAATTTTCGGCCTAGTCTTGTTCATCATTACTAAAGTCAGTACGATAACAAAAAAATAGTCTCGGTTATCCATTTCATGATTAAATCATGAATGGAAGTCGAACAGCAATCCAATAAACATTGCAGGCTAGCGATGACATCGAGAGTTGATTATGGTCTGGATAAGTTAAATAATGTCTAATTAATAATTTAGATAACATTTCAGACCTAAAGAAAGACCAGCAATAAGCAGATTTAGCTCTTGCATAATGTATGTTTAAAGTCCTGGTTACTCCAATCCCCCTGCTCCCAAAAAATAAAATAATACTCGCGCACCAAATTAAACTTATGCCTCTCTGATCAAATGTAATTATTATTAGAATACATCTAAGCTTCTCCCTTTAAAGTCCTCGATTCTCCAATCCATTAATTTGATTATTACTAAACAATAACAACAACAACATAACCAAGCGGTTGCCATGCAAGATACGCCCACATTTTGCAAGAGATGGACAGAGAACAAGCTCAAAAAAATAAAGAAACGATTTTTTGTACAAACATGGGCCATAATCCAAGAATTTACGGTAAGATATGCGTGAATATCTACAGGAACCTAGATCTTTGAGATCTAAACATATTTTAAGTTTCATAAAAATCAGATAACAAATTGTGACCGCTAGCGGGTCCACAACCTTGATATTACTTACATTTACAAACTCAACCATCATTATGGTGTAACGGTGATATATTTAAACGGATTTGAAAATCGGATAAATATTGTGACCTCTAGAGGGACCACAAGCTAAAAACGCAAATTGTCATACACTCAGAGGCCATAATCAAGGAAGTTAAGGTACGGTGTGCGCAAATAGCGAACGGAACCGAGATCGATATGTTATAAACATACATTTCAAGTTTCATCAAAATCGGATAAAAATTGTGACTTCTAGAGTGTCCACCAGGGGCGGATCTAGGAATTTTTGCAGGAGGAGGTTTGCCAGGTTCCTGAGACAATGTATCCCCCCCCCCTCCCATATGATCTCTATCGTCATTTTGGCGTATATACATACACATTGAGCTTTTTAAACAGAGAAATTCAACACTTCGTTTGACGTCAATTTTTATTATGAATTAATACAATGACATTGTGATTCAATTTCATGGATGCAAAGCATTAATTGTGATATCACATAATGTCTATATCTTTATGTCGTGCTTTGAGTGCCCATCCTGTCCCACATCTGACGATAAAGGATAAAGCACACGGCCGAGAAACTTTTCTCATAAAAAGTGTTGATTTACAAAAACAATTTATGCAGCTGCTCAGGGGGGGGGGAATCCGCCCCAGTCCACGATCTTGGTATTGCACACTTTTACACTATTTGGGTACAAGGAGTGATCATTTTGTCCGGCAGTTTAGGTCAGATGTTAACGAAAATCGAACTCAATCTTCATTGATTGTGTAACGGTGATGTATTTAAACGTTTTTTTTAAAAATTGAATACAAATTGTCAACAAGCTAAAAATGCGGTTTTTCGAACAATCAGGGGTAGTAATTCAGGAAGTTACATTCGGATACGCGTGATTATCGAAAGGAACGAAGATCGTGGTGATATAAACATAAATTTTATGTGTCATCAAAGTGGGGTCAAAATTATGGCCTCTAGACAGTCCACGGCCTAGATATGTCCACATTTTTCAAAGTAATCCATTGCAATAACAATGAGCGTAGTTCTAGATATCACAGAAAGCCAATAGGATTCTTCATCGAACACAAACACTGTGCGCCAATTGCACGTCAATCGGATGATAATTTTGGCCTCTAGATCGTTTCACATGATTTTTCAAAGTGTTCAAGGGAAATAACTCTTAAATTTATTATCGGAAATACTAACCTGAAAAACATTTCTGAAGGTTAGCTTGGCATCTGCATCTGAAGAGTCTCCTCGTAGCCATGGTTTCTCCACGTTATCTGGGGGAAGGTGATCCGGCATCCAGAATACGAAACTACCGTCCATCATCCCCGCTTCCTTACCGCGTAGTAATATCCGTCTAGTGTCGTCTTTATTTTCAGAACACAGGATTACAACTAAAAAGAAATAATAGAACGAGGTTTGCTGTGGGTTGTCTCCGATAATACGTCCTCATCTTTAGATGGCATATAGAAATGAAATGAAATGAAATGGAGTTTAACGTCCTACTGTGCTGCTGCTAACCTGGGCTAATGAAGACCGGCATACGCCATACAGTGTGCTATGAGGGAAATTTTGCCCGGACAGCGGCACTACGGCCTACTCTTATATCGAATTCCAACTGCCAAGGGATCTTTTACGTGCACGCCAATGTGTACACGGGACCTCGGTTTTTCGTCCCATCCTAACGACTAGACAGCTTTCCTTGTCAGCCCCTCCGTCCTGCATCACTGACAAGGGAGAACCACGCCGGAAAATCGGGATGGACTTTCTCGGCCAATGCAGGGATCGAACACCCGACCTTCAGGCTAGCGAGCTAGCGTCTCACCCACTTAGCCACGTGATTCCCAGATGGCATATAGAATAACGACCTACCTGTTTGCACAAACCGTGAAATGTGTTTTTGAGTGACAGTTTGCTTCAAAAGCGATGCTCTACGGCTTACTCATATTTTGAATTCCATCTGTCAAGTAGGGTGACCACCTTTGCTTGATCATATTGCGAGACATTTCAGAAATTATTTTCTGCGGAGCCGGGGGCGGCAGGGCTGCTCACCCCGAGCGCCGTAAGCGTGAGGCCGCGATGGGGGAAGGGCTCTCGAAATTTTTTAAAAACTAGAAGTCCCGAAACGCCATTCCCAGCAATCTGAGAGAAGAAATATGGTACTGAAATACTCTGATTTTTTAGTAATACATGTAACATGTGATTTTCTCCTGAATGCAAAACAACTCAAGATAGTTTAATGAGTTAATGATTTATGATGAAGCCAAGATTTGCAACTAAAACTTCAAGATTTAAAAGGGTACTTTTTGGTCGACTTCACGGTTTCTAATAATCTGCGATTTCTGAATACTTGTGAAACTCCTGAAACGAATATTTAAAGTTTAATTTAATTTGAATTTCACATATCTAATATTGAGAGAGAGAAATGGGGTTTAACATCCACTCGACACAGACTTGGTCATTTCGGGACTAACATATGGTTTAATTTTATTTCAATAATTCGCTTGCGCGTAGGGGTCTTTAGCAGTGGGAGGAAACCAGAGGACCAGGAGAAAACCCACGAGGTTTGACAGGCGACCTTAATCCTTGTCGCGTGCAACCGGGGATTCGAAACCACGCCAGTTGACTCAATGACAGGCCTTATGATACAGCACGTGCTAACCACTCGGCCATCTAACCCCCCGCATATATCTAATAAGTGTTACTGATGTCTGGTTTCTGTCATCTCTCCAATAATTTTTCATCAGTGAAAATCATCCTCGGTATCCCCAGTTGTTTTCATTCCGTTCTACTCCACTATACCCTGGGTTAATCCATAGGGTTACCACGATTTCAAATTATCTGCCCTGGCCTTGATTGTAGCTATAGTCTACAAACCAATCAAAAAACAGTTTACAAACCAGTCGTTTCGCCTTCGATTTTATAAGGGTAGATAACCATATTCATGTCCATTTACTGAATGATTTATGTAAATAATGTATATATTTCCAATTCATTTATATTTAATTGTGTTATCAAAATCTGTAGTATGTTTTGTTAATTTCAAATATGTATAACATCTACATGTTTGACTTTTGTTATTATTATTACAAAATTTTGTCTGAAATGTTTCATTCGGTTATGTTCATTATTATTGAACTTATACTTGGCAATTTGATTCACAATAACTTCTTTACGATATCACGTGGACGTAAAACTCCGCGAACGAACGAACGATTCTCAATAAAACTCTTGACCCTACATAAATATAAACGTCCGGTCTTTAACATGCATTATGGGAGATAAGATAAAGAGATGGCAGTTCTCGCTATAATAGTTAAAAATTAGACAGTGTAAAGGCAATTTGCTGAAAATTTCAGTCACATTGATCCACTATGAGCCGAGAAAGAAGCGGGTGAAATTTTTGCATAGTCTCGGTCATCATTACTAAATTCATTAATATAAACAGCATAGTCTCGATTATCCCCTTTTTTTTATTTAATTATCAATGGCCGTTAGCGGCATATAGGAATCTAATCCAGCCAACATCGAGGGCTAGCCTTGATTTCGAGAATTTTTTATGGTCTGGATAAGTTAATTAATGTCTAATTGATAATTTAGATAACATTTCAGGCCTAAAGGCAGATTTTGCTCTTGCATAATGCATGTTTAATGTTATATAATACTTATATAATTTGCTGTTAATCAATACACAATTAGAATAATGCGCTTAACATAATTATTGTAAACTGGCATGAAAAGAACAAACAAGATTATAATTAATTGATTAAATTTGCTAGTGTAGCGGACGACACATTAATTAATCACTTTCATCATGGACCATTTTTCGCCCACGTTTAAAGGGACAATAACACTCTCGCTGGCTTGACAGCTCCAAAAAATAAAAAATAGCCTTATTCTAAGTACTAGATGTGTTAGTGTCCTACCTGTTGTGTAAATTATCCATTAAATCCTATTTTACTTGTCCAGAGGGTTCAAAAATATTTTTAAATCCAAGTCACATTTGAAAAGCTTTCCAATTTTTTAAATTAGGTGTGTTAAGATGAAATTTGTATCATCAATTAATTGGAATATTGTAAAATAGTGCAATTTGTTGACCAGAATAAAGATTGGGACATATTATTCAGTTACAACAAGAGTGGTATTGAGCCTTTAAAGTGATAATTTCATATTTTTAAGTTATATTTTTAAAATGTATTAAAATAAAGCCTTAAAATAGATGGTATCTAAAAACAGTCCTGCCTTGTTAAAGAATAATCCTATTAATCCTATAATTCACTATATTGCCAGTTGAGAAATTGGCAAAAATATCATTTTCATCTTCAAATTCAAACGTTTGAAGATAGCTATTCCATGGGGGTGGGGGGAATAGAAAAACAAGGGAGGTAATTGTGTTATTATTTCCGGGGTGAATGATTTTTAAGTGTGAGAACGATACCTATAATCGTATAATAGTGAGTTGACAACCTATTGAGCAAAAGACATAGAAATAATTGGAGGGTCTAGAGCACAAGTGATCTAACAACCAACTAAAATGGTTGGTAGTTAGATCACTTGTGCTCTAGACCCTCCAATTATGTTTTAACTTCAAATTCAAACGTTTGAAGATAGCTATTCCATGGGGGTGGGGGGAATAGAAAAACAAGGGAGGTAATTGTGTTATTATTTCCGGGGTGAATGATTTTTAAGTGTGAGAACGATACCTATAATCGTATAATAGTGAGGTGACAACCTATTGAGCAAAAGACATAGAAATAATGTTTTAACTTTCTTAGAAAATATGAAATTTGCGCTTTAAGGGATCAGAAGTGGAAGGACCCGGAGAAAACCCACGAAGTTGGACAGGCGACACTACTCCTTGTCACGTACAACCGGGGAATCGAAACCACGCCAGTTGACTCAATGACAGACCTTATGATACAACGCGCATGCGCTAACCATTTAGCCCCCCACCCCCCCGTTTACTCTTACCCAGCATTCCATATGTCAAGGGTTCCTTTACGTGGGACCAACCCAATATAACCTGACTAGTTAGACAGCGTCTTACGCACGGAGACATCGCGGTTCATTTCACTCCGTGGAGATGGCAGATAAATCTGTATGCAGCAGCCCCGCTGCAAAAACTGACATAGCGAATAGTACTTGGTATTTTGTTAACTATTTTAATAAATATTAATAATGGCCGGATCAGTTTCACATTGTTTGGTAAAGACTAGAGATGCAGAAATAACAATAATTATATTCCACATGGCTGTGTGGCTGACAAAGACTTTTAATCATTGCTAAGTAATAATAAATCTATAGCACTGTGTCCCCTGTATTTACATTCCAATTACTAAATACTAATGAAACAATGGCCGTACTAGCAACAATGTCAGCACTGTTTTTATACAGGTAAACATCTAAGCCATCAAAGTAAAGCTCATTCCATTATTTCTACCCGACAAGCCGACGGGTTAGAATTATCTAGCAAAACAACACGGGCTAATTATAAATGTACAGGTTCTTCCCCGGGGCTCTTCAATTACTGCTTATTACTGAACGACGTTTCGACATGCAAAGATGATAATGAAGCCTAGTAGAAACGTCGCTCAGTAATAATGCTAGATCCCCACCAGTGCGGTAATGCTAGATCCCCACTGTCGTGCGATGCGTAACGATAGGATTGTCTCTATTGAGTCCAAGATCCGGTATGTGCAGATACGTTCGGATACGTGTCGATACGATCAACACGATTGCTTCGCCTGACTTCAATATATGATAAGACCTGATAGGATCACCACGATTACTCCACGATTAAAACCACGATTTTAATCGTAGCATGAATCGTGATAGTGGAAACCTAGCATAAGTGCGAGTAATTGTATTCCATAGAATTGTGAACTGTATATTCCAGTTCAATTACTAAATGCCATTGAAACCATATAATCATAAAGGGTCGTACTCGTAGCATAGCGAGAGAGAAATGGGGTTTAACGTCCACTCGACACAAACCAGGTGATTTCGGGACTAACATATGGTTCAATTTTATTTCAATAATTCGCATGCGTGTAGGGGGGTCTTTAGCAGTAGGAGGACCGGAGGGCCTAGGAGAAAACCAACGAGGTTGGACAGGCGACACTACTCCTTGTCACGTACAACCGGGGAATCGAAACCACGCCAGTTGACTCAATGATACAACATGCACACGCTACCCATTCGGCCATCCCCACATCCACCGTCACCCCCCTTACCCTTACTCAATGACAGACCTTATGATACAACACGCACACGCTAACCATTCGGCCACCCCCATCACCACCCCCTACCCCCTACTCAATGACAGACCTTATGATACAACACGCACACGCACTAACCATTCGGTCACCCCCATCCCCTACTGGTAGAGATTTGTCTATACATACTTCTGCCTCGTTGGTATACCCTCTCCAACATTTCATCAATTTTCGCATCAGTGATACCATCATCAATAATCATCCATTCTGCTACTGTTATATTATTGGCGCGAAATATTACGTCTGCTGCTCTCGAGGAATAATCACAAAATACCTTCTTGTTGTCGGTTTTCCTTCGGGAGACTATAACTGCCCTTTTCCAGTTGAAATGCCCGAAGATCTCCACCAAAGCCTGTCCAAGTCTGTTGAATGGAGGACCAAGTCGGATTAAAGTTTTATACACGCTTTTATCGGCTAGACTCGGATCGCTCGAGGCCTGTGAAAACATGGGGATATTCCAGTAGGTAGCTAATAGTCCAGACGATGTGGTTGCTGTAAAAGATGGCGTATCATCATATGGTTGTGTTAAGATATAAAGAAAGGTTGCCAAGCAACGCAACCTAAGCCCACCAGCAGCTTTGTTGCAATTCAAAATGAAATGAGGTTAAATGAAATGAAATGAAATGGGGTTTAACGTCCTACTGTTCTGCTCCTAAACTGGGCTAATGAAGACGGGCATACGCCAAACAGTGTGCTATGAGGGAAATTTTGCCCGGGCAGCGGCACTACGGCCTACTCTTATATCGAATTCCAACTGCCAAGGGATCTTTTCCGTTCACGCCAATGTATGCACGGGACCTCTGTTTTTCGTCCCGTCCGAACGACTAGACAGCTGTCCTTGTCAGGCCCTCCTTCCTGCATGACTGACAAGGGGAAACCACACTGGAAAATCCGGATGAACTTTCTCGGCCAATGCAGGAATCGAACACCCGACCTCCAGGCTAGCGAGCCAGCGTCTTATCCACTTAGCCACGTGATCCCCTGAGGTTAAAGGAGGCAAGTCTTTAACTCAATATCCTCCACAGTCTTTGACATTGCAAACAAGACTTATTGGTCAATTTAAACCAACATTGATGTTGTTATCTTACCGTGAAAAGAGGGGCTTCTGATATCCAATATTTAAGACAAATTGAAAATCGTAAAATTGGCATACAAATCGCGTAATGATGCGACTCGATGAACGAGGCTAAACATATCCCACACGAGAATGCTACCGGTGTAGACTAAAAAAAACAGACGCCAAAGACTGTCATTCAATTTGCACTCATCGTGTATTTCGCCCAACATAACTGATTAGAAATTACAGTAAAAACAGAAACGATTGAATATATATATTCATATTACATTATTATATGCGTTCCGATCCATTTTTGTTCATTTCTAGGTGCCATATATCTCCTTTAATGCCCTACTTGTCTACGGTGATCGCTCTGGTGAAGACGAATATTAACCTTATATGACCGCCTCCTGACGACGCTGGCCGGAAACTAAGAGTTTATCGTACAGTTGACAGAATAAGGGTCAATGAACAACTGACATTTACCCCGCATTTGGGCGGAGCAATAGAGAGGTGGGGAGAGGGGGGGAGGGAGTTTAACGTCCACTCGAAACAAACTAGGTGATTCCGGGACTAACATATGGTTCAATTTCATTTCAATAATTCGCTTTCCACGTACGGGTCTTTAGCAGTGGGAGGGAACCAGAGGACCCAGCGAAAGTCTACAACGATGGAAGGCGATCCTACTACTCCTTGTCACGTACAAGTGGTGAAAGGGAGCCACGCCACCTGACAGATGAAGCGAAGAAATATGAAAACTATATAACCCGCGCGCAGACAAACCAATACAAGTCACTGATCGTTTTGGTTGGGTGGGTGCTATTACGTTAGATTCAATCGGCAAACCTCAGCAGATTCCAATACCCTACATCAAGCCTCGGCTGTATGACGAAGTCCGCCATTGGAACTACTTTATGATCGTTTTGGTTGGGATGGGTGCTATTACGTTAGATTGAACGCAAAAGGAAGTGGAATATTTATATAAAAACATTCTACAGCTTACCAGATGAACATGGTGGTCCAATAAATACATCAATGTCTTCAACTAGCTTTAAATATACAGCATTACTTGCTCCACCTAGAGCACTACATTTATCATCGCGCCATATAATACTGAAATATAACACACTGCAGTTCTACTTTACAGTTATACGTGTATCATATAATATTGAATATAACACACTGCAGTTATATGGCACTGAAAAATATAACACACTGCAGTTATACTATCGTCATATAATACTGAAATATAACATACTGCAGTTATACTTTCGTCATATAATACTGAATATAACGCATTACAGTTATGCATAAGTGATATAATACTGAATATAACACTTTACAGTTGTACTTTAGTCATATAATACTGAATATAACACATTACAGTTATACACAAGTCATATAATACTGAATATAACACATTGCAGTTATACACAAGTCATATAATACTGAATATAACACATTACAGTTATACACAAGTCATATAATAGTGCGCTATTTCAACCTTGCACTACGCAGTGAAGGGAAGGGGGGGGGATAGGGTTTATAACTAGGGTTGGATTCTTAATGAAGAATAGGATCGTTAAATTATTATAAAGATGGCGTATCTTAAAGAATCACAACTCCTTAGTGAATCAAGAAAACCATAGCATTTTCTCTGTCCTAAAACCAGGGAGCTCAAAATATGTGCATGTCATTGGGCAACCTATTGCAAGATCTCAAGTAAGCCTTAAACATACATTATGACGTCATATTAATAATGATGTCATTGTTATTTAAACATACATTATGCAAGAGCTAAATCTGTCTATTGCAGATCTTTCTTTAGGCCTGAAAAGTTATCTAAATTATTAATTAGACATTTAACATACATTATGCAAGAGCTAAATCTGCTTATTACAGATCTTTCTTTAGGCCCGAAATGTTATCTAAATTATTAGACATTAATTAACTTATGCAGAACATAATCAACTCTCGATGCCATCGCTAGCCTGAGATATTTAGCGGATTAGAATACATTTTGTAAAGGGTGATTAAACGTAAAAGTGGATAATCGAGATTTTTTTTTTATCGTATCGACTTTAGTAAAGATGATCGAGACTAGCCTACAATTTAAAAGCTAATAGCGCAGTTCACAGTGGAGCAATTTGACTGAAGTTTTCAGCATATTCTATTTTTATTATCTATTTTTAAACTATTACAGCGAGAACTGCCAACTCTTTATCTAATATTAAAGATGCATTATGTAATAATCATATAAATAGCCGATCATTCTTGCTACAATATTTCGTTAATAGATAATGAAAAATGAGTATATTGAAAAATTCAGTGAAATTAGTTATTCTTAAGAGTGTTTGACGCTTTGACAATTGTGTGAGAGAGAGAGAGAGAGAGAGAGAGAGAGAGAGAGAGAGATGGGGTTTAACGTCCACTCGACACAAACTAGGTCATTTCGGGACTAACATATGGTTTAATTTTATTTCAATAATTCGCTTGCGCGTAGGGGTCTTTAGCAGTGGGAGGAAACCGGAGGACCCGGAGAAAACCCACGAGGTTGGACAGGCGACCCTACTCCTTTTGACAATTTGTAACGTAAACGTAGAAAGTCTAGATTGTCAGGTAAAACTGTCATTGCTACGATAATCCATTTTAACATTAGATTATTAAATGGCGACGATTTTCTAATCCATTTATAATCACAACCACCCGACAGTCTAGAGAATTTATTATCGGTTTGCCGTGTGAATAAATGTTTAAATAATAATTAATATAAACGGACTATCCCGATTTGAACAGTCTCAAAAATAAAAGTCTGAGTACGTATGAAATTTAAGCGCTAAAATATAGAGAAATGGTATATTTACCTTGTCTCCAAATTTCAGCTCAAAATATTGAGTTGTTTGGACGTGAACGTCAAAAATTCCTTATCCGGACACGTTACCCTTCTAATCTTTTGGGTCAATTTTTTCGTTGGGTGACCTGATAATCGACCCCCGTTCCTTTAGAGGTCTCTACAATGTATTTGATAACGAAAGGTAAATTTCACCTACACATTATTTTTATAAAATAAAAGTCTGGTTTTATCCAGAAACCGCATAATACAACTTGGGACACCGGTCTCTATTTCCAGATGAAGACTGACGGGTTTAAGTTGTTTGAAAACGTATCACATATGTTGAGTTAGTTGCTTGGCCCTAAGGTAGAGAATTTGTAAGGGATTTTAACACAAAATTAAGCAGTTTTATTCTCCAAAATATTATCGGGATTGGCCCTTTAATGCTGGGTTCCCACTGTCGCGCGATGCGTTACGATGGGATTGTCTTTATTTGGTCCACGATCTGATACGTGTAGATACATTCGGATACGTTTCTACGACTGACCTCAATGTAATATGATAAGACCTGATAGGTTTATCAAAATTACACCACGATTAAAGCCACGATTTCAATCGTAGCGCGAATCGTGATGACCGAACCGCTCTCATCTACATGCAAACGGAGGCAACCGATTGCTTCGAGAGTTAATTATGGTCCTGTCATGTGAATAAATGTCTAAATGAAATGAAATGGGGTTTAACGTCCTACTGTTCTGTTCCGAACTGGGCTAATGAAGACGGGCATACTCCATACAGTGTGCGATGAGGTAAATTTTGCCCAGACAGCGGCACTAGGGCCTACTCTTATATCGAATTCCAGCTGTCAAGGGATCTTTTACGTGCACGCCAATGTGTACACGGGACCTCGGTTTTTCGTCACATCCGAACGACTAGACAGCTGTCCTTGTCAGGCCCTTCGTCCTCCGTCCTGCATCACTGACAAGGGGAAACCACGACGGAAAATCTGGATGAACTTTCTCGGCCAATGCAGGGATCGAACACACGACCTCCAGGCTAGCGAGCCAGCGTCTTACCCACTTAGCCTCCGTCGACTCCGAATAAATGTCTAAATAATCATTTAAAAAACATTTGAAACCATAAAAAGACCCACAATAGGCAGATTTAGCTCTTACATAATGCATGATTAATTAAATATTTGATTATAAATCAACTTACCTTATGTTGTGTTCTTGTAATAACCCCTCCGATTTGGCCCGCTCTATGGCCAGCGAAACGGCAGCCGCGTTATTTTGCCAACCTAAACGTATATGACTGTATGGACTCAGCATGCCCAACCGAAACTCACGCGCGTAAGTAGAAAACAAACAACAAAATAAACATATTAGAATGTATTTCATTGTTTCAACGATGTTTTGAATTTCTACAGTTCTAACACTAACAGTTTGTCGCAAAACTTCCAGGAATAGTTAACACAGAGATCTTCGATGAGAGAGGCGACATGAGGTTATCAAAAACAATGCTCATCATGTATTGTTCGGCATCTTGTATCCATGCTATAAATGTTGTGTCCACTACCGTACAATCGATACACGATAATGATGTATAATGTCATTTCACAGCTAAAATCTGCAGGATGTGAGAATACGACACGATGAAGAACACTTTGAGCTGTAATCCAATGAAATGGGGTTTAACGTCCTACTGTTCTGATCCTATACCGGGATAATGAAGACGGAGTACGCCATAGAGTGTGTCATACAGGGAAATTTTGCCCGGGAAGTGGCACTATGGCCTACTCTTATATCGAATGCCAACTGCCAAGGGATCTTTTACGTGCACGCCAATGTATACACGGAACCTCAATTTTTCGTCACACCCGAACGACTAGACAGCTGTGCTTGTCAGGCCCTCCGTCGAGCACCACTAAAAGGCGAAACCACGTCTGAAAATTCCGATGAACTTTCTCAACCAGTGCAGTGGATCGAACACGCGACCTCCAAGCTAGCGAACCAGCGTCTTACCCACTTAGCCACCGTGGCTCCCGTGCTAAAATCTGAAATATTTAAGTATTGAGAATTATACGTTTGAAATTTGCGCTCTGTTGTTATCTCTATGTCCATCAAATAATAACTAACTAACAATAGATCACTTTTCACATCTGTGGAGGCAACCTGTTTCACGGAGTATTCACTGCTGATCAGTGTGCTGTGGAGGGAGCTATCTACAGACGAACAAATTGGGAGGGGGGTTTGGGGGCGAATGATTAGTGCGTGGTCTGTCATTTAGGCAACTGGTTTGGTTTCCATTTTCCGGTTGTACGTGACCGGGTCCTCTAGTTTCCTCTGACTGCAAAAGACCCCTACGCACAATCGAATTAAATAAAATTGAACCATATGTTAGTCTCGAAATGACCTAGTTTGTGTTGAGTGGACGTTAAACTCCAACCCTAGCTGTTTATCTGTATGAAATCATGAGTAACCCATGTACGTTTCAAATGTTTATAACTTGAGTTGAAATTGAGTTCGTATTGCAAGTCCCTCAAATAAGGGGTGGGGGGGTGACCGAATGGTTAGCACGTGCGAGCTGTATCATAAGGTCTTTTATTGAATCAACTGGCGTGGTTTCGATTTCTCGGTTGTACGTGACAGGGAGTAGGGTAGCCTGTCCAACCTCGTGGTTTTTCTCCGGGTCCTCCAGTTTCTTCCCACTGCTAAAGACCCCTACGCACAAGCGAATTATTGAAATAAAATTGAACCATATGTTAGTCCCGAAATTACCTATTTTGTGTAGAGTGCTCTCTCTCTCTCTCTCTCTCTCGTCGCACCTGTCCGTCCGGACGTCCGTCTGTCCACAATTTGTTTTGGGACACTCTACAGCTCACAATTTTTATCCGATTTTGACGAAACTTGAAATATAGGTTTATATCCCAAAGATATCGCTTCCAGTTGATATTGGCATGTGTCTGATCGAAACTTCATGGTTTTATGGTCCCTGATTGTACGAAAATCACGTTTTTAGCCTGTGGACACTCTAGAGGTTACAATGTTTATCTGCTTTTGATGAAACTTGAAATACATATTTATAACCCAAAGATCTTGGTTCTTGTCCATATTCGCGCATATTGGATCGTAACTTCCTGCCCCTGATTTTACGAAAAATCGAACATATTAACGTTACCAAAACTGCAGGACAAAATGGCTACCCCTCGTTCGCAAATAGTGCAGAAAGACGGTATGTCAAGGTTGTGGACCTCTAAAGGTCATAATTTTGATCCGATTTTGATGAAACTTGAAATACATGTTTATAACCCACTTCCTGCATTTTGGCCCCTGATTGTATGAAAAATCCTGATTTTCAGCTTGTGGGTGCTCTAGAGGTCACAAGTTTTATCAAATTTTAAAAACCGTTTAAATATAACCCCATTCCACCATACCATAATGGAGGTTGAATTCGAATTTTGGGAAAATCGAAACCAAAATACCTGACCAAAATGGCCGCTCTTTGTACGCACATTGTGTAAAAGTATGTAATACCAAGGTGTTGAACCCTCTAAAGGTCACAATTTTTATCCGATTTTGATGAAACTTAACTAGATATTTGCGCATTTCAGACCATAACTTTCTGGATTATGGCCCCTGATTTTGCGAAAAATCGCCTCTGTTTTTAGCTTGTTCTCCATCCACCTATTGCAAAAAGTGGGCGTATCTTGCCTGGCAACCGCTGTTTTTTTATGTTTTTGCCTTTTGTTTTATTCTTCATCATATGTATCAACAACAAATTAGGTATTATATTTATATAACCCTATCATTACCTGGCGATCGCCAAACACACCTGTAGACGAAAGGCTATTATTACATACCCCATATAATGTGAGACAATAAGTATATTTTAATTAACTACAGATCCGAATAATATTAGCGAGGAAGTTGTTATTATAAATTTTATAATTGAGAAAGAAACATGATATCATTAGGGTTATCTAACACCATGCATAAGACGTGAAAATAATAACAAGGAAATGATCTAATGAGAATATGATATGATTAAAAGTTCATCGGGTTTTTTAGGCTTGTTTTCCCCTTGTTAGCGGTGCAGGATGGAGGGTCTGACAAGGACAGCTGTCTAGTCGTTCGGGTGTGACCAAAACCGAGGTCCCGTATACACATTGGCATGCACGTAAGAGATCCCTTGACAGTTGGAATTCAATATAAGAGTAGGCCGCCCGTAGCGCCGCTGTTCGGGCAAAAATTTTTTTTTTTTATGATCTATTGGTCCAGTACTAACCCTCCATAGAGTTACCCATTCTTACCCCTTGGGGAGGGGGGTTGGATGGCAGAATGGTTAGCGTGCGCGCGCTGTATCATAAAGTCTGTCATTGAGTCGACTGGCGTGGTTTCAAATCCCCGGTTGTACGTGGCAAGGACTAGGGTCGCCTTTCCAACCTCGTGGGTTTTCTCCGGGGCCTCCGGTTTCCTCCCACTGCTAAAGACCCCTACGCGCAAGCGAATTATGTAAATAAAATTAAACCATATGTTAGTCCCGAAATGACCTAGTTTGTGTCGAGTGGACGTTAAACCCCATTTCTCTCTCTCTCTCTTTTACCCCTTGGGGGAACTTTTTGGCGCCATTTTGAATATTTGCCTCGCCCAATCTCTGTACGAGTTATCGAAAATCATTTAATAACCAATGTTTTGAATGATGGTTTGTAGGATGGTGCCAAATACACTTTGTAAACAAATACAAACACAATATTTGTGCACACAACAATGATTATACTCCTTTCTGTAGTTATTGCATTGATTCCAGGCGCCAAATCATAAGTGTTAGGCCTATTTCACAGGCACTTGAAAGCTTGACAATATATTATAGTAATTTACTACTGTTTGATTATATATTACGGTAATGTATAGTCAAGCAGTAGTAGGAAGTGTTATTTTAATCCCTTCAAATGCCTGTGGCCTATTTATACAATTGAATAGGCGACACTCCGAATGATGACATATCTCTTAAGATAAGGTTATTAAAGTTGCAATTTCATATTTTTACGTTATATTTTTAAAATTTATTAAAATAAAGCCTTAAAATAGATGGTATCTATAAACGGTCCTACCTTGTTAAAGAAAAATCCTATTAATCCTATAATTCACTATTGCCAGTTGAGAAATTGGCAAAAATATCATTTTCCTCTTCAAATTCAAACGTTTGAAGATAGCTAATGCATGGAGGCAATAGGAAAACAAGGGAGGTAATTGTGTTATTATTTCCTGTGTCAATGATTTTTAAGTGTGAGAATGATACCTATAATCGTATAATAGTGAGTTGACAACCTATTGAGCAAAAGACATAGAAATAATTATGTTTTGACTTTCTTAGAAAATATGAAATTGTAACTTTAAAAGACTTGAAAAAGTAGATCAAGGTGCGTTTGTGTACCATTTTAATACATTTTCATGATGCAAGTCATTAACAGAATCCCAAAACTAATGAGGAAAAACATCAGAAGGAGAAAGACACGCCAGACGACAATGAAGAAACCCAATCTGATTAAAACACAAATCCTATTTCGTTTCGTTTTAATAGTTCAATTTTGTTTTACTTGTCTTTACCACACTAGGATCTGGAAGAGTTGTTATCATTGACGTATTCTGAATAGTGTGAGGTATTAACCAATGAAACGGCCTGTTACGGCGAGCTTGAGGCGTGTTTTGCACGGAACTGTGGGTAATCCACTTTTTTTCAAACATGATAAGTTGACATGATTATTTTATACTAAAGTTTTGCGTAACGTATACAATTTAGGTGCACGGATTCACGCAAATGCATCAAATTTGGGATTTTTCTTTCTATTTTGGAATTGTTTGTATTAATTCAGTGAGCACTTATTTTGAGATCGACTGCACTTATTTCGTTATATCGAATTGAAGTATTTCGTTATAAAGTTTAGTTATTTCCTTAAAACGAAATAACTAATTCGTTTAAACGAAATATTTAAATTCGATATAACGAAATAACTAATTCGTTTAAACGAAATAACTAATTCGTTTAAACGAAATAACTAATTCGTTTAAACGAAATAACTAATTCGTTTAAACGAATTAACTTATTCGTTTAAACGAAATAACTAATTCGTTTAAACGAATTAACTTATATTCGTTTAAACGAATTAACTTATTCGTTTAAACGAATTAACTTATTCGTTTAACACATATTATCTCTTGAAAAAGAACATAATTAAATTATTTCACAGTGGGGTTGGGATGGGGGAAAAGAAAGAGAGAGAGGGGGGGGGGGGTAGCGTCCACCTGGCACAAACTAGGTGATTTCGGTTCAATTTTATTTCAATTGCAGCTTTGGATGGGTTGTGAAAACTAACAAATGAATATCTTTGTTCTACAAGTTTATCATAACTAATGCACAAAATTATACAGCTTAAAACATCTGTTAGTATCTCGAGCCCTTGACTTAATTGTCCCGCGTGCTCGAATTAATTATCTCGAGCGCTCGACTTCTCGACTTAATATCTCAAGCGCTCGACTTTTTTTCTTTTTTTTTTCTTAATCAGCCACCGCAACTGGATACCGAACCAAACCATGACATCGGTGTTAAAAGTTCAAAACAAGATACCATGGCTAAAATATAAAAAATAAAGTCTTAACGCTCTTTTTTGGAGATTTGCTGAACGAGTAACGCACACATCGTTTTAACAAATTTTGCACAAGGGAGACATTCCTCACAGCACCGGCCCACTCGGCAAACCTCGGCAGATTCCGGTACCCTACATCTAGCCTCGGCTGTATGACAGTAAGTGATATGTACCTATACGCCTATACATTTGCGATGCGGCACCGGTTTACTTATAAGGGAAACTTGCCCGCGTTTAGAAAGAAGTTCTCAAAATTGCGTCGTTCGAAGAGTGTGTAGAATTTTCAGTGCAAATTTGTCCTTGTCTAAAGAAAATCGGATAAACTTGAAAGAAAAACAGCTTCAAACTTTGAAAATTTTGTAAGATAAAACATTCTTCAAATACGTCGTCATCAATGACGTCATTGGTCGTCATGAATAACGCCATTGTAATCCGGTAACTTGAAAGTAATTTTAATGGCGGACTTTGTCATACAGCCGAGATTAGATGTAGGGTACTGGCATCTGTTGAGGTTTGCCGAGTGAGCACCGGCCATGGTGAATTGACGAAATCTCGCGTTCATAAACGAGATGATGGTTTATTTTTAGCGACACTGACAGGCACCGCGTGCTAGGGTTAGGGTTAGAGTTTGGTTCGGTCCAAAAATTCTGACGCCATGTGCAATTCAAAGTGATTGACCCCGTGAGGAATGTCCCCCGGCCACCAAGCTCGTTTTAACTGGGTGGGTTAATCCTATTCAAGGGAGATAACTACAGTAACAGAAGCCATGGATGTAGAGCATCTATGATCTAAACGTGAAAGGAAAGATAAAAGGTTCGTGTCGTCGTTGACAACAGCATAATAATACAGAGATTGCTGACATCTCCATGAATACGAAAGAACAGCACGGTTTTTGTTTGTACTAGTTAATCATTGAGATCATGCTTGTATAAAACTGGTGAATTATTGTTGTAATTTATTAAATCATCCACGATACGAGTGTTATTAATCTGTTTTCTGAATTCTGTACCTGCATTTCTTCCATAGATGTCGCATCATAAAACTGTATCCTGAGTTTTTGTTTTGTTTTATCTTTTATTAGTTTTTTTTTATGTTGATAGTCTCTGTATACTCTTGAAAAACTTTATTGTTAAAGGCTAAGCATCACGATTGTGTAACAGACTAAATCTATTTGTTAAGGCCAGCTCAATTTTCGTCAAGGTCGCAGAGATGTAATTTAATAAGGTGAGGGCAAGTGATATTGTTGGCTAGATTGTAGGTTAGGGTTCAGGTAAGTATTAGGGCTGGGTTCAGGGTTAGGGTAGGGATTGGCACTAGACCATCTCGTGACCTTTGACCAAACTTGAAGTTGGCCTTATCAAATAGATCTACTCTAACCTGTGTGACCTGTAAGTTTCAGTGTAACAGGAGGATTCAGACCAGTCAAAATTCTAATAACTGTATTTTAAAGTTTTAATGTAGGCCTACATTTCTGAAAGTTGTATGTACAAACAGTTTTAACTGCTCCTCAGAAATGATATGAAATGAAATCAGGTTTACGGTCCCATTTTTTGACACCAACTGGGCTAATATGAATTGTTGCATACGCCATACAGAGTGCTATGAGTGTAATTTTGCCCGGATAGCGGCACTACGGCCTATGAAGTTCAAACTGTCAAGGGGTCTTTAACATGTGTGATCTCTGTTTTTCATACCATCCAAACAACAAGACAGGCCTTCTACATGTCCTGCAACATTACTTGAAGCGAACCTGTGTAATTTCCGCCTGATTAGCGTGCCTATCTTATTCAATGAACCACAGCAGCTGCCTAACTGCTGCAGAAGGAAGAGGGGTTGTATGGCCGAATGGTTAGCGTGTGCGCATTGTATCATAAGGCCTGTCATTGAGTCAACTGGCGTGGTTTCGAATCCCCGGTTGTAAGTGACAAGGATTAGGGTCGCCTGTCTAGCCTTGTGGGTTTTCTGCGGGTCCTCCGGCTTCCTCCCACTGCTAAAGACCCCTACGCGCAAGCAAATTATTGAAATAAAATTAAACCATATGTTAGTCCCGAAATGACCTAGTTTGTGTCAAGTGGATGTTAAACCCCATTTTTCTCTCTCTCTCTCTCTCTCGTTGTCACAGTTGGACGTGGTCAGTAAGTAAATTGCGTGTTTAATCCATCATTGATTCATCCAAACTATTACTTTTATATGTTGCCCGTTCCTATTCCCCAGTTGTACGTGACAAGGAGTAGGTTCGCCTGTCCAACCTTGTGGGTTTTCTCCGGGTCCTCTGGTTTCCTCCCACTGCAAAAGACCCTTACGCACAAGTGAATTATTGAAATAAAACTGAACCTAGTTTGTGTCGAGTTAAACCCTCTCTTTCTCTCCTCTCACTCTGCCAGTTCATCAAGATTTTCCAGCGAGGTTTCTCAGAACGGAAGTTGGACAGATGACCTACTCCTTGTCACCTACATGCTGAGAATCACGATCGTTCAGAGTGAGTGACCATCATATATTGACAGAAACAATATATTTTATTTTCAGGAATTTTAATACCTGAATGTCGTGGCCACTAACACAATCAATTATTTCTGAGATTGATTGATTATATACTACAGGCTGGTTTACAATGGCTTCAACAGGGAAGAATATTCTTGTTCATTTGAAAAAATGTGAAAAATTGTCAGCTGCAAGGTTCACACAGGTTGGTAAGAAAATAACAAAAAATTTAGTAAGAACATTGCAAGCAAACCGTTTGCACCTCACGTAACAAGATGCATTCCGGTTCGCTAAAAACGACATTTAACGCTCTTTTAGAAATCCAAAGGCCTTCACATGGGACGAAATGAAATGAAATGGAGTTTAACGTCCTACTGTTCTGCTCCTAACCTGGGCTAATAAAGACGGGCATACGGCATACAGTGTGCTATGAGGGAAATTTTGCCCGGACAGCGGCACTACGGCCTACTCTTATATCGAATTCCAACTGCCAAGGGATCTTTTATGTGCACGCCAATGTGTACACAGGACCTCGGTTTTTCGTCCCATCCGAAAGACTAGACAGCTTTCCTTGTCAGCCCCTCCGTCCTGCATCACTGACAAGGGAGAACCACGCTGGAAAATCTGGATGAACTTTCTCGGCCAATCCAGTGGGTTTAACGTCCTACTGTTCTGCTTCTAAACTGGGCTAATGAAGACGGGCATATGCCATACAGTGTGCTATGAGGGAAATTTTGCCCGGGCAGCGGCGCTACAGCCTACTCTTATATCGAATTCCAACTGCCAAGGGATCTTTTACGTGCACGCCAATACGTACACAGGACCTCGTTTTTTTGTCCCATCCAAACGACTAGACAGCTGTCCTTGTCAGGCCCTCCGTCCTGCATCACTGACAAGGGGAAACCACGCCGGAAAATCTGGATGAACTTTCTCGGCCAATGCAGGGATAGATGTTGTAAAAGAACTGAAAGTTGTTTGAAAATTTTGGAGGGGCTATATGTAATTTGTACTTATCTCATGTCTAAACTTTTGATATTGAATTTGGATGGAACGTCGATAAGAGATTATTTTGAGATGTAAACGTCTATCTCAAGCTGACAAAACATTAGATTCCATTCGATATTCAGGGAATACAGCTTTAACTAGATGTGTTAATCCTATTGATAAAGGGATCACATACTAAACTCAGGCTGTCTGTCTGGAGTTAGCTTCATTTGAGGACAGACACTAATAGCCCGTCAGACTCGCAAGTTGAACTGGTTTAAAAACCCTGGGGACCTGTCTTCGAGAAGGCTTTTTATTTTAAACTGGTTCATCTTAATGGATTGACTTAAAAAACCTGGCCCCAGCTTGCTTTGAGCATGCGCAGTACGCAGTAAGTTACATTCCTGTGAAAATATCGGGGTCAGACAGTGCCAATGTTATCGAAAGCGTGCGAGAACCGAATAAAGAATATGAAGCTACCCATGCGTAGTTAACTCTAACCTCCGACCGAAGAGGTCAGAATAGTTAAACTGGTTTGGCTTATAGTATGTGTGAACGCCACACGATGGTGTCTTAAAAACCCCAGCGATTATGAACTGGTTTAAAAATAAGCGTCTGAACGGGCTATAAGCTAGTTGACCGATATTTAAAGTCCTAAATCCAAAACACTAAGTATACTTCGAGAATTTTGTTGAGTATTTATTAAATAAAATAAAAAAAAGTTTATTTAGTCTTTGTGTGTATGTCAGGGGTGAAACGGAGAAGGAACACATTACAAAACAGTATATTAAATTTTTGGATATGGCGGCCATTTAGGGCAGAGATCTATTAAGTAGATGGATCTCTGTGTACAGAATGGGGAATCTACTGACAATGTGAAAAAAAATTCCAGGAAACTTTATCATTCAATATCACTGGATCAAACCCCAGCTCCCCTGGTTAGTGAGCCAGCGCCTTACTCAGTGAGCAACCATGGTTCTATTGTCTGAATAAATGCAGTTCCATTGTTCAGGGAATTCTGCTTAAAGAGCTAAATCCCTGATCTTTGGTACCTAGAAATTGACACAAATAGGTCGCAACACATTAATAATGCATATAAACTGATTTACATTCAATCGTTTCTGTTTTACTGTTATTTCTAATCAGTTATGTTCAGCTAAATATGCGAAGAGTCCAAGTTGAATGGCAGTCTTTGGCATCTGGTTATTCCAGTCTACACCGGTAGCATTCTCCTGTGGAATATGTTTAGCCTCGTTCATCGAGTCGCTTCATTGCAAATTGCAAGCAAAAGTATTCTGGCACGCGATTCAATTTTTAAAATTATATTTTGTCTTAAATATTGGATATCCGAAGCTCATCTTTTCACGTTAAGATAACAAAATCAATGCTGATTTAAATTGACAAATAAGTCGTGTTTTTAATGTCGAAGACTGTTGATGATATTGAGTTAGCGACTTAGCTACTTTAACGCAAATAAGTGGAGTTAAAAAGACTTGCCTCCTTTAAACAAACATCATGCAAGAGCTCAATCTGCCTATTGCAGGTCTTTCTTTTGGCCTGAAATGTTACATGAACTATTAATTAGACATTTATTAATATGAAAAGACCTTAATCAACTCTCGATGCCATCTTATGTGTTGGATTTTCACTGGATTTGAATCCGATCTGCTGCTCTACTCCCATTCATAATTAAATCCAAAAATGGATAATCGAGACCATGTGTTTTATCGTACTGACAACTAGTAATGATGATTGAGACAAGGCCTAAAATTCAATCTCTATTATCTCAGTTCAAAGTAGAGTAATTTGACTGAAATTTTTACCATATTCCCTTAACATTATCTAGTTTTTATACGCCCACATTGAAATGTGGTCGTATATTGTCGTCACCCCCATCTGTCCGTCCTAAAGGCTAAAGTTAATATCCGATTGACTTTAAATTTATACACAGTGTTTAAGGTCATGAGACGAAGAAGCCTATTGATTTTCAGCGATTTCCGATAATTACTGCCAGAGTTATGGCCCTTGATCACTTCAAAAAATCTTGTGGACACTCTAGAGGTCAGAGTTAATATCCGATTGACTCTAAATTTATACACAGTGTTTAAGGTCATGCGACGAAGAAGCCTATTGATTTGCAACGATTTCTGATAATTACTTCCAGAGTTATGGCCCTTGATCACTTCAAAAAATCTTATGCATGCTCTAGAGGTCAAAGTTAATATCCGATTGACTTTAAATTTATACACAGTGTTTAAGGTCATGAGACGAAGAAGCCTATGGATTTTCAGCGATTTCCGATAATTACTGCCAGAGTTATGGCCCTTGATCACTTTGAAAAATCTTGTGGACGCTCTAGAGGCTAAAGTTAATATCCGATTGAGTTTAAAATTATACACAGTGTTTAAGGTCATGAGACGAAGAAGTTTATTAATTTTCAGTGATTTTCGATAATTACTGCCAGAGTTATGGCCCTTGATCACTTCAAAAAATCTTGTAAATGCTCTAGAGGCTAAAGTTAATATCCGATTGACTTTAAATTTATACATAGTGTTTAAGGTCATTAGACGAAGAAGCCTATTATTTTCAGCGATTTCCGATAATTACTGGCAGAGTTATGGCCCTTGATCACTTTGAAAAATCTTGTGGACGCTCTAGAGGCTAAAGTTAATATCCGATTGAGTTTAAATTTATACACAGTGTTTAAGATCATGAGACGAAGAAGTTTATTCATTTTCAGCGATTTTTGATAATTACTGCCAGAGTTATGGCCCTTAATCACTTCAAAAAATCTTGTAAATGCTCTAGAGGCTAAATTTAATATCCGATTGACTTTAAATTGATACAGAGTGTTTGAGGTCATGAGACGAAGAATCATATTGATTTACAACGATTTCCGATAATTACTGCCAAAGTTATGGCCCTTGATCACTTTTAAAAACCTTGTGACCCTCTAGAAGCTAAAGTTATCATCCGATTGACTTCAGATTCATACACAGAGTGTAAGGTCTTGAGACAAACAAGTATATTGATTTTCAATGAATTTTTATGACTTGAACAACTAAATCCATGATGTTAAAAGTTTCCTATACTAAACGTTAGCATGGGGCAAAACTTTATAAAAACCAAACAAATTCTAATGGTTTTCTGATAATTACTTAATGAGTTGTTACTCCTAATCAGATTTTAATGTATTATAAATGTTTCATTACCGAAAAAAGTAAAAATATGTGACGACTCTTGTTGACTGCCCGGACGAGTTAGTTGCTGTGGGCGTATGTTTCGTTGCCTGGCAACCTATCTTTAACTATTATAGTGAGAACTGTCAACTCTTTATCTAATCTCCCATAATGCCCCTTTAAATTAGGGGGGGTGGGGGGTGGGTGGCTGAATGGTTAGCACGTGCGCGCTGTACCATAAAGTCTGTCATTGAGTCAACTGGCGTGGTTTCGAATCCCCGGTTGTACGTGGCAAGGAGTAGGGTCGCCTATCCAACCTCGTGGGTTTTCTCCGGGTCCTCCGGTTTCCTCCCACTGCTAAAGACTCCTACGCGCAAGCGAATTATTGAAATAAAATTAAACCGTGTGTTAGTCCCGAAATGACCTGGATTGTGTCGAGTGGACGTTAAACCCCATTTCTCTCTCTCCCTTTTAAATTAGATATTTTGATCGTATTTGTGTTTTTCAGTGTATTATAGATTACTTCGTTACGACCGTAGCAACAAGGATGGAGATATCTGTTGAACTGATTGATGATAAACTAATTATATCCGACACCAAGCAGACGGCAACAGCACAGTGGGTTCAATTTTATGTAGGTAATATATATACACTTAGGGGATGCTCGGTTGAACATTCCAGAATTGAATTCTGTCAGACCCAAAAATGTAGTAACAATTGTGTGACAATGGGAATTTGGTGTTAGAACGCATGCGCCGACTGTATGAGATAAAATATCTTAACCAATCATGGCAGCTGAAACATATTCGTCACATTTAATTACGCATGATTCTACTCGCACCATCTCAGTCGTTGGGACTGACAGAACTGTGACGGGTCTGAATTCCGCGTCACTTGATTGCGATTCCGTCATTCGAAACGTACCAGACTGACAATCCAGCATCCCCATAATAATATTTGTCTTCTCAAATTCTAAAGAGATGGAAAGAATTCGGGTTTAACATTGAATCGATACAAACCATGTCATTTCAGAACTAACAGCTAGCCCCCGGATCCATTCACTTAATCTGATATGTACGTTTGTTTGTGATTTCTGTATATTGTGGCGGGGGGATGGCAGAATGGTTAGTGTGCGCGCACTGTATCATAAAGTCTGTCATTGAGTCAACTGGCGTGGTTTTGAATCCCTGGTTGTACATGACAAGGAGTAGGGTCGTCTGTCCAACCTCGTGGGTTTTCTCCGGGTCCTCCAATTTCCTCCCACTGCTAAAGACCCCTACGCTCAAGCGAATTATTGAAATAAAATTAAACCATATGTTAGTCTCGAAATGACCTAGTTTGTGTCGAGTGGAAGTTAAACCCCATTTCTCTCTCTCTCTGTATATTGTGTAATTGTGTGTGGTGCAGTCATCCTGCACTTACGGTATGGTTCAAATTTCTGAACTTAAGAGGATGGACAGGTGACGCTATTCCTTGTCGCGTAGAAACAGAATTCGAAACCACACCACTTGACTCAATGACAGACGGTTTTACCATTCGGCCACCCAACCTACCATACACGAACAAATATTTGTGTTTTGAAATTCGTACAAGGTATGTGATTAACTCCATTAAAAATGATAGTTATTGATAGGCTATCGTTGAAATGTGACCGTATACAGACAGCTGGGACAACATAGCTGCTGTGGGAGTAGGTTTTGTTGCCTAGCAACCTATCTTTTTTAACAAAATACATGAATTAATTTGCATCACATGTTTTTATTTACTTCAAAGCATCCTCCATTTTGTCCATTTCATCATTTATCTACGAACCAAGCTTCCGAAATAACGGAGGAGATAGCGGAACGAGGAATTAATGTTGGTGTGTCAGTATTAGTGGAATCGTGCGATGATAAAGTTTTACTGTCTAGGAGAGCAGCACATCTACGTACATTCCCTAGTATATGGGTACCACCAGGTTTGTTTCTAACAGTTTTTTTTATTACTACAGAGCCATGGTAGCTAAGTGGGTAAAACACTAGCTCGCTAGTCTAGAGGCCATGTATTCGCTCCCTGCATTGGCCAAGAAAGTTCATCAGGATTTTCAGGCGTGGTTTCTCCTTGTCAGTGGCGCAGGACAGGACGTCTGACAAGGACAGTTGTCTAATCATTCAGATGGGACAAAAAACCAAGGTCCCATGTACTCTTTGGCGTGCACATAAAAGATCCCTTGGCAGTTGGAATTCGACATAAGAGTAGGTCGGGCAAAATATCCCTCATAGCACACTGTATAGCGTATGCCCGTCTTCATTAGCCCAATCGGAGCAGAACAGTAGGACGTTAAACCCTAACATTATGATAAATATTTCAAAGAATATGAGTATTATGTATATTTTAGGTGGACAATAATCTTTATGTATATTTTAGGTGAACAGTAATTTAATATTTATGTATATTTTAGGTGAACAGTAATTCAATATTTATGTATATTTTAGGTGAACAGTAATTTAATATTTATGTATATTTTAGGTGAACAGTAATTTAATATTTATGTATATTTTAGGTGAACAGTAATTCAATATTTATGTATATTTTAGGTGAACAGTAATTTAATATTTATGTATATTTTAGGTCAACAGTAATTCAATATTTATGTATATTTTAGGTCAACAGTAATTTAATATTTATGTATATTTTAGGTGGACAGTAATTCAATATTTATGTATATTTTAATTTTACAGTAATTCAATATTTATAAATTATGTATATTTTAGGTGTACAGTAATTCAATATTTATGTATATTTTAGGTGGACATGTAGAAGAAAATGAATCAGTAAGTAAATTGTGTGTTTAATCCATCGTTGATTCATTCAAACTATTACTTTTATACATTTGCCCTTTTTAAACATACATTATGCAAGAGCTAAATCTGCCTATTGCAGGTCTTTCTTTAGGCCTGAAATGTTATCTAAATTATTAATTAACTTATTCAGATGATAATCAACACTCGGATTTGAATCCGATTTGCTGCTGAACCCTCATTGATGATTTAATCCAAAAATGGATAATCAAGATTATGTTTTTTATCGTACCGACTTTTGTAATGATGATCGAGGCTAGGCCTAAAATTCAAAAGCTTATATCTTGGTTCAAAGTGGATCAATTTGACTGATATTTTCAGCAAATTCCCGTTGCAGTGTCTAGTTTGTAACTATTATAGTGAGAACTGCAAGCTCTTTATCTAATCTCCCATAATGTATCTTTAAAGATACATTATGGGAGATAAGATAACAAGATGGCAGTTCTCGCTATAATAGTTAAAAACTAGATAGTGTAAAGATATTTGCTGAAAATTTCAGTCAAATTGATCCACTATGAGCCGAGAAAGAAGCCGGTGAAATTTTTGCATAGTCTCGGTTATCATTACTAAAATCATTAATATAAACAGCATAGTCTCGATTATCCACTTTTTCTGATTTAATTATCTTTGGCCGTTAGCGGTATATAGGAATCTAATCCAGCCTACATCGAAGGCTAGCCTTGACATCAAGAGTTTATTATGGTCTGGATAAGTTAATTAATGTCTAATTGATAATTTAGATAACATTTCAGGCCTAAAGAAAGACTTGTAATAAGCAGATTTTGCTCTTGCATAATGTATGTTTAAGTATTTAATCAATTATTGTTTTTTTATGTCTCTAGTGATAATCGTGTACTAGCGGTTATAGAAATATCAGTTCAAATATGATTCAGTTCCATTCAGAATTTACAAACATGTGATGGATTGAAAATTGTATATTTTGTAGCTTATAGAAGCAGGACTTAGGGAATTAGAAGAAGAGGTGGGTTTGCATCTAGAGCCTGATCAATTTATGCAACAACCATTGAAGATATTAACTCTTTGGGAGGTAAATAAAAAATTTTTAAAAAAATATTTTATAGGTGGGAGGAGGAGGTGACTGAGTGGTGCTGAAATGAAATGAAATGGGGTTTAACATCCTACTGTTCTGCTCCGACTGGGCTATTATGAGGGAAATTTTGCATTCGATTGAATTGAAGCTGTGTGATGTGAAAAATTATACATTATGTGGTGTGAAAAATTACATATTGTGTGAAAAATGCAAATACCGATCAGCGGGTATAAATATTTTGTTTATCTATGTTTTGTAGTCTTGTTTCCCAGCCAAGTTAGAGATAGGGCTGCCTAAAAGACACCATGTTGTTTGTTACATGTATGGAAAGCTTCGTAATAAAACCTCGACTGAATTAAATAAACAAGTTAAAATGGATGCTAATGAAACTGATGCCTGTGTTTGGCTTGATAAAGAAATAGTTGAAGTGATTGATTTATCAAGAGAGGACATCACTACAGAAATAAAGATACCTGAAAATATACCTGAAACTATCAGGTAAGATACCTGAAAATATACCTGAAAATATACCTGAAACATATAAGTAATTATTCTTTATACACTCACATTGAAATGTGGTCTCCCCTGTCAGTCTGTCTGTTGGTCCGGCGGTTCTAGCGTTAGAGGCTAAAGTTAATATCCGATTGACTTTATATTTATACACTGTGTTTAAGGCCATGCGGCGAAGAAGCCTATTGATTTGCAGCAATTTCCGATAATTACTGCCAAAGTTATGGCCCTTGATCACTTTGAAAAATCTTGTGGACGCTCTAGAGGCTAAAGTAAATTTTCGATTGACTTTAGATTTATACACGGGTGTTTTAGGTCATGGGACAAAGAATCCTATTTATTTTCAATGATTTCAGATAATTACTGCCAGAGTTATGGCCCATGATCACTTTGAAAAATATTGTGGACACCCTAGAGGCTAAAGTTAATATAAATTGTTCAAGGTCATGAGACAAACAATCAAAACAAATTCTAATGATTTCTGATAATTACTTCATGGGTTATTACTCCTTATCAGATTTTCATGTGTTGTAAATGTTTTCATTACTGGCAAAAGAAAAAATATGCGACAACACTTGTTGACTGCCTGGACGACCTAGCTGCTGTGGGCATATCTTTCATTGCCTGGCAATCTATCTTTATATGCCTGAAATTGTCGGGTAGACACCTCCTCCAAATACAAGCGAAACTGTAAGATACCTCCAAATATAACTGAAGCAATCAGGTAAGATACCTCCAAATATACCTGAAAGTGTCAGGTACAATTAATTGTTTTCAATTGTTGTTGTATCATTTCTGAATATAATGAACCTGTCACGAACTACTGAGGTATAAATTCAGACACAATCCTTCTGGCATCATTGTCTTCGATATCACCCTTGGTGGGAGTGGACGTAAACCTCCAGGAAAAAACGAATTATGGTATCAGTCATGTTGCCCGACAGAGGTATTGATATTCTTCATACATATCCGGCACAAGGTTTAAAATATCAGGTACAACTGAGATCGTACCTTCCAGGTCTGGGTTGGATGTTAAAGGGCCATTATGTAAGATTTAGATAAAGAGCTGATCGTTCAGCTATAATAGTTTATAGATACATTATAAAAGATTAAGATAAAGAGCTGGTCGTCCTTGCTATAATAGTTTAAAGATACATTATAAAAGATTAAGATAAAGAGCTGGTCGTCCTTGCTATAATAGTTTATAGATACATTATAAAAGATTAAGATAAAGAGCTGGTCGTCCTTGCTATAATAGTTTATAGATACATTATAAAAGATTAAGATAAAGAGCTGGAATAGTTTAAAGATACATTATGAAAGATTAAGATAAAGAGATGGTTGTCCTTGCTATAATAGTTTAAAGATACATTATGTAAGATTTAGATAAACAGTTGACCATTCTTGCTTTAATATTTCCAAAATAGATAATGCTAAATGAATATATTGAAAATTTCATTCAAAAGACTTTATTTGGAGCAAAGTTATCAACAGTTGTAGTTTAGACAAGATGTGTGCATTGATCGTAAGCACGGCACTGGTTATTCGAGTCTTAGACTCGCTTTTCCATTTTTATACGTCCACATTCATAATGTGGACGTATATTGCCGTCGCCCCTGTCTGTGTGTATATGTGTGTATGTCTGTGTGTCGCCTTAATCAATCGTCTTATTCATACTTATTCCTTATACCCTAATGATGACCTCTATTGCCGTCGCCCCTGTCTGTGTGTATATGTGTGTATGTCTGTGTGTCGCCTTAATCAATCGTCTTATTCATACTTATTCCTTATACCCTAATGATGACCTCTATTATTTTTGGTGCATGCCTGACCCCCCCTGGGAGAGAGCCACACCTAATTTTTGTGTGTGTCTGTGTGTCGCCTACAGGCCGCAATTCTTACCATATCCTTTTGAAGCTTTACATACTTATTCCTTATATACCCTAAGGATGATCCCTATTGTTTTTGGTGCATGCCCAACCCCCGGGAGCAGAGCCACACCCATTTTTCTTTGTGTATCTGTTTGCTGCCTACAGGCCTCAATTCTTACTGGACCGAATTGGATCTAGCCATTTATTTTCCTTATAGCCTAAGGACGGCAACTTTTGATTTTAGTGCATGTGCCGACCCCAAGGGGCAGAGCGACACCCAATTTTTGTGTTTATCGTATACAGGCTGCAATTCTGAATGGATCATCATGGAACTTGGCAAATTAGGCTAAGAGCAGCATCTACTGATTTTGGTACATGTTTCGACTCCCCAGGGGCAGATCCACGTCCATTTTGTCTTCGTGTCTGCATGTTTTTATTGGATCGTCTTCAGAAGGTTTCATGCTTATTCCTTATACCCTGGGAATGACCTATTTTATTTTTTTAGCATGCCCGACCCCCTGGGACATAGCCACGCCCAATTTTTGTTTGTGTCTGTGTGTTGCCTACAGGCCCAATTCTTAACAGATCCTTTTGAAACTTTGCATATCTATTCCGTATTCCCTAAGGATGATCCCTATTGTTTTTGGTGAATGTCCGATCCCCAGGGGCAGAGCTACACCCACATTTTCTTTGTGTGTCTGTATGTTGCCTACAGGCCACAATTCTTAATGCATGATCTTGGCATATGTATTCCTTATAGCCTAAGGACAGCAACTATTGATTTTGGTGCATGATCTGGTAGATTTGGTGGAAAGCATAGGGATCTAGATAGCATGAACCTATTGATATCCATGATCTATCCTTCATATGCTGTTCCAAGGTTTAGGTTAGGACCCCTCCCCCTCTTCCCTTTGCTGAAATACTTGTGAAGGCAGTAGAAGCAATATTGTCTTAATGGATTGTTTTTGGTTCATGAGTTATAAAACCTCTGCAGAAATATCAAATTAGGTATTCATCCAAGTTTTCCTTTCAAATAAGCTGATGTATTTCCAGGCTCTACATGGCTATCTTTTCAAAGAGTGTTAGGGGGGTTGGATGGCTGAATGGTTAGCACGTGCGCGCTGTACCATAAGGTCTGTCAGCTGGCGTACTTTCCATTCCCAGGTTGTACATGACAAGGAGTAGGGTTGCCTGTCCAACCTCGTGGCTTTTCTCTGGGTCCTCCGGTTTCCCCCCACTGCTAAAGAGTCAGACCCCTACGCGCAAGCGAATTATGGAAATAAAATTGAACCATGTTAGCCCTGAAATGACCTAGCTCTCTCTCTCTCTCTCTCTCTCACTCACTCTCTCTCTCTCTCTTAAAGATTGTTGCCCCCAAGAAGAAAAACAAGATGATTAGTGAATATTTCAAGGTTTTGTTGCTATTTAAAGCTACTATTAGGAGTGGCTTGTTTGTCTCTTTTCAAACAACTTTAATAATATCTTTGATCATCAAAGTTTCTGCTTTTAGTTTTATATATGTCTCCTGCTGACGAACATGAAAGCTTGAACTTTTGTCAGGTAAAGTTACTAGGTTGTAAATCTCTGATGTTTATAATGAGAAATCCCTGATTCATAAGCCCAAGGTCATAAGCCCAAGGTCACCTGCGCAATATCAAAGACAGTCAATGTTAAATATGCGATGTATAGCTTTTATCAAGATGAGAGACAGACAGACAGACAGACAGAGACAAAGACAGGACATCCATTATAGGTACTGCACCATTGACAAGGGGGAACCACTCTGGATAAACCAGTTGGCACTCTCCTACCACACAGCATGGCTTATAATTAGTCAGGTTGGATGTTAAAACAGAGAGAGAGAGAGAGATGGATGTGGGTTTAAAGTTCACTCGACACAAACTAGGTCATTTTGGGACTTACTTTTTATTCAAATTTTATTTCAATAATGCGCTTGCGCGTAGGGGTCTTTAGCCGTGGGAGGAAACCGGAGGACCTGGAGAAAACCCACGAGGTTGGACAGGTGACCCTACTCCTTGTCACATACAATAATAGATATTTGTTTGTACAATCTTGATTTAAGATTGATTAAAGGAGCTAAATCGCTAATATTTTGGACCTAGAAATTGACAAAAATGGGTCGCAACGCATATAATAATGTAATATGAATGTATATAAACTGATTTACATTCAATTGTTTCTGTTTTTACTGTAATTTCTAGTTAGTTATGTTCGGCGAAATACGCCAGAAGTCTCATGTGAATGACAATCTTTAGCCACTGGTTTTTCCAGTCTACACCGATGGTATTTATTACGCATGCTCTCCAGATAAGAATATAGCGTCACTATTTGAAATGACTTGTGGAATATGTCTAGCTCTGTTCTTTGAGTCCCTTGTTCCAAATGGAGCTGAAACGCATTATGGTACACGATTCGTGTACCAATGGTAAAATGTTTATTTTGTCTTGAATATTGGATATCAGAAGCCCATCTTTTCCCTGTAAGATCACAAGACCAATATTGATTTGAATTGACAAATAATTCGTGTTTTCAATGTCGAAGATTTTTGATGATATTGAGTTAGAGACTTAGCTACTTTAACGGTTAAACAATAGTTACCAGTGTTTATTTTTCACTACTGTAGTTGTTTATGTAATGTTAAATGGTCGAGAGCGAGATATTAAGTAATATATTGTAACAACAAGAGGGCGTATATTATGCAATGTTTTAAGCTCGAGACCATTAAACGACTTAAAATACAGACACTCCGCACATGTTTTGACAGTTATATACATGATGCGAGTCCAATATTCCACTAGTATAAATAATGTACAGTTGGCAAGTTGCCCGTACAATTATTTAAAATAATGGTAGGCGAACATCAAAGGGTGACGTCACATCTGTATTTTAAGTCACAGAGACTGTGTTTAATCTTGATTTGGGGGTTGGATGGCCGAATGGTTAGCGCGTGCGTACTGTATCATAAGGTCAGTCATGGAGTCACATGGGTTGGTTTGGATTCCCTGGTTTTACGTAACAAAGAGTAGGGTCGCCTGTCCAACCTCATGTGTTTTCTCCGGGTCCTCTGGTTCCCCCCCCCCCCCACTGCTAAAGACCCCTAAGCGCAAGCAAATTATTGAAATAAAATAAAACCATAAAATGACCTAGTTTGTGCCACTAAACCCCATCTCTCCCCCTCTCTCTCTCTCTCTCTCCTTCTCTCTCTCTCTCTCTCTTTCTCTCTCTCTCTCTCTTCTTCTCTCCCTCTGATATTTGACTTATTCTGCCTGTTTTTTATTCACAGTGCATTGGTGTTTGATGATAATAAACAACAAATTGAAGCCGACTTGGATGTTTCACTTTTATTTCAAAGACTTCAAAAGGCAGATGATAAAGGTCGTGTGAGTTCAGGAACAAAGATGGCGTTACATCAGTGGCTCAAGCTAAAAACATGATATCATTTCCAAACATCTCGCCTCCAGTTCACAAAACATTTTCAGACTTAAGTTAAGAATTTACTTAGAATTGTTGGACTTATTTTATCTAAAATATAACCCTTTATAAAGCTTTTATTGTTTTAATGTATCAAATACATCAATAAGAAACAATGTGCAAAGTTTTGTGTTTGCAGATAAAAAAATACATGTATTTCTCATAAACGGTGGTTGAAAGTTGAGTAAATTCTCAACTTAAGTCTGAGAATGCTTTGTGAACTCGGGGCCTGGCGTTGTTTGATTTTAAACCGTTGGCACTTGGACTGCTCAAAACTACTGCCTTCGATCTAATGTCTTAAAATGAGTTTTATATGTCATCTGATTAAAACACAGATCCTATTTCATTTTGTTTTTTATAGTTCAAAATTTTGTTGTACTTGTCTTTACTACACTTGGATCTGGAAGAGTTATTGTTATCACTTCACTGATGTGTTGTGGATAATGTGAGAGATTATCCAATGAAACGGTCTGTTATGGCGAGCTTTAGGGGTGTGGTGCACGGAACTGTAGGTAACCCACTAGAAACATCAACGCTGATTGGCTAATCAAATACCTGACATCATAGGGTCAAAGGCCGCTCGTATTACTTCTGATGCGACTATCCATTACAACTGGTCAGAATTCCATGTAGTAGAGGCCATCATAAGTATAAAAAATAAAACAAAACGAAATACAGATCTGTATTTTAATCTGATTGATATATTATACTAAGATTTTCATATCCTGCCCATTGAATATATTTTATTACATTCATGTGAAATTTAATTTTTAATTTATGATAAATAATAAATTAACTAATTTATCCTCATTTGTTTTATTTTTGTTTAAAGAGCCATTTATTAATGCTTCGGTTCAACGACTCTGTCTTCCGACGTGGTTTCCCCTTGTCAGTGGTGCAGAATGGAGGGCCTGACAAGGACAGCTGTCTAGTCCTTCGGATGAGATGTAAAATCGAGGTCCCATAAATGCACGTAAAATATCCCTTGGCAGTTGGAATTCGATATAAGAGTAGGCGATAGTGCCGCTGCCCGGGCAAAATTTCCCTCATAGCACACTGTATGGCGTATGCCCGTCTACCTTAACAGAGTATAGGAGCAAAACAGTAGGACGTTAAACCGCATTTCATTTCATTTCAACGACTCTGTCTGTTGTCCATTGGTCGTTCTTCTGAACTACTAGAGGAGGTACGGTGGTTCAGTGTGACTTATAATGGCAGTCAAGTGGACTCAGTGAGTAGGATGTTGTCTCACTAACCTCGAAATCACGTGTTAGATCCTTGCGATGACTGAAAGAGTTCATCAGGATTTTTTGATGTGGTGTTTATTTAACAATATGTTGCTGGGGTGGTGATTCTGTAACCAAGTGGTGCATATGTTGCTGGGGTGATGATTATTTAACCAGATGGTAAATATGTTGCTGGGATGGTGATTATTTAACCAGAAGGTGCATATGTTGCTGGGGTGGTGATTATTTAACCAGATGGTACATATGTTGCTGGGGTGGTGATTATTTGACTAGATGGTACATGTGTTGCTGGGGTGGTGATTATTTAACCAGATGGTAAATATGTTGCTGGGGTGGTGATTATTTAACCAGATGGTAAATATGTTGCTGAGGTGATGATTATTTAACCAGATGGTGCATATGTTGCTGGGTTGGTGTTTATTTAGCCAGATGGTACATATGTTGCTGGGGTGGTGATTATTTAGCCAGATGGTAAATTATGTTGCTAAGGGTGGTGTTTATTTAACCAGATGGTAAATATGTTGCTGGGGTGGTGTTTATGTAACCAGATGGTAAATATGTTGCTGGGGTGATGATTATTTAACCAGAAGGTGCATATGTTGCTGAGGTGGTGATTATTTAACCAGATGGTAAATATGTTGCTGGGGTGGTGATTATTTAACTAGATGGTATATGTGTTGTTGGGTTGGTGTTTATTTAGCCAGATGGTACATATGTTGCTGGGGTGGTGATTATGTAACCAGATGGTAAATATGTTGCTGGGGTGATGATTATTTAACCAGATGGTAAATATGTTGCTGGGGTGATGATTTTTTAACCAGAAGGTGCATATGTTGCTGAGGTGGTGATTATTTAACCAGATGGTAAATATGTTGCTGGGGTGATGATTATTTAACCAGATGGTAAATATGTTGCTGGGGTGGTGATTATTTAACCAGATGGTACATGTGTTGTTGGGTTGGTGTTTATTTAGCCAGATGGTACATATGTTGCTGGGGTGGTGATTATTTAGCCAGATGATAAATTATGTTGCTAAGAGTGGTGATTATTTAACCAGATGGTTTATATGTTACTGGGGTGGTGTTTATTTAACCAGATGGTAAATATGTTGCTGGGGTGGTACGTTTATGTAACCAGATGGTACATATTTTACTGGGGTGGTGTTTAGTTAACCAGATGGTGGTATATATGTTGCTGGGGTGGTGATTATTAACCAGATGGTGGTATATATGTTGCTGGGGCGGTGATTATTAACCAGATGGTAAATATATTGCTGGGGTGGTGTTTATGTAACCAGATGGTAAATATGTTGCCGGGTTGGTGATTATTTAACCAGAAGGTACATATGTTGCTGGGGTGGTGATTATTTAACCAAATAGTGATTTTATTTAACTAGATGAGTAGATGATATTTATGGTGTTGCTGGGGTGGTGATTATGTGTTAATTTGGCATACATAGATTGTTGATTATTATTCAGACAAAAATTGAAAAAATATAGAGACAATGAGATTAGTTAAAACAAGATTTTATTCATTTGAGAATGGTTGGAGAATAAATGTTGAGATTATTACTAAAGTGACATAAAATGGCAACCCCTTAGTAGGAGATTCATTTGATTTTATACGTATGCTATATATAGTGCCTGGATGATCGAGATCTTTATTATGGTCACATGATCTAAAAATGGCGGACGTCCCACCAGTGGAAAAAATTCCCGAAGCTAAAAAGGAGAGGTATGTACTTTTACTAATCTAGTGAATATACGTGTCGTAATAATTTTGACTGTCCGAAATGTCTGACACTTTTCCAAACCCTTTTGTGACAACATCCAGGAGACAGTCACATCGAATGAATCCCACTTTTCCGGAACTTCGAAGATTAGACAATCGGAGTTTTTCGAAAATGCCCACGCGGCGGATTGCTCCTTGGCATCCGTTATCTACGGTGATCGAAAGCTTAGTTATTTACCTTTCTAAAGATGCATCACAGACCTTTCTACGACTTGCATCCTGGATGTTGTTCATATTTTATATTCTGTATCATGTCGGTGAAAAATTTATGGAATGCCAGTTAACTTGTCCACAAGTAATTCTAGTCCACATGAAAAAGTCTTTTCAAGCTCTATATAGTAGTAGTTAAACCAAGTTTGTTAAATAAACACTTTCAGTTTGCATTCATCATTACTTTTAAGCATAGTGGTCCATGGATGGATTACTGTTCATTCAGTAGGCCTAAAAAAATGTGATTCTCACAAGAGCTAATTATGTCACCGAACAAATTTCCTTTGCTTTCTGCAACCATCATCAAATTTATGTACTGGTGACGTTATAATTTTGCACGGAGAAACTACAATGTAGTTTAACATCAAATTATAACAAATAACATAACAGTGTGTCTGTAATATCGTGTATAATATCGTGTATAATATCTCGCAGTAGTTGACCAAACTTTCAAGACTGAATGGTATGAAGGGAGGAGGGGGTTAGAGTGGGAACAGGGAACGGAAAGAAAGGTAGTGACAAGTAGCAATTTTATTTATAGTAGCTGGATAGACATTATTCCTGAAGCAATGGCCTGAGAAATCCTTCTCTAGCCATTGCTGGATTGGCTTCTGATACTGGAGCTTTTGAGGGAGTGTGTCTATTCTTCCCATTCAATTAAATCTATCCCAAGTACAGCAACATGGCAGCCCTTAATTTAAGCTGGGGTCTTCCCTAAAAATTTGGACTTTGTTTTAAGATATTAAAAACTGTGAACGTATTGTTCGTCTCCAAACAGTATTGTTTACATTGTATCCGTTTTGATAGCCTCGTTTGTTTTTCTGCAATATTCTGCTATGTACTGGTTAATTAAAATCGTGAGTCATGACATAATGTTATGTAAACATATTTGATCTAATTTGGAGCTCTGTTTAAAGCGTAATTGGACTATTGACCAGTCATAATTTGGAACAGAAATTTGCTTTCATTACAACAGTGTTAAGTGGGATTATTTCTAATCAAACGAAACACTGCGAGATGTATGCTAGGTAGAATGAAAGAGGTATAAGCTACTTCATCATTTTTCAAACGGACAGAATATTTGATGTAGCTGCATATTCAAAGATCTACATGTACATGTATATAGAGCAAGGAAGATCTTGATATCCAGTCTGAAGTATAACTGTTGTTGAATGAGGCTAACATGTAGATCTTGGTATCCAGTCTTAAATGCATTGTGATTTTTTATTTTTTTGGGCTATAGACATAACAGCCCTAAACCATAACGGCCAAAATAATTGGTCATAACGGCCATAGAAATTGGTTGTAGCGGCCAGCATGAAATTTATGACCAAATTTATTGGCGGTTATATGACCAAATTGTTTGGCCGTTATGACTAAAGCAGGGCCGTTTTGACCAAACCTGTTTTTGGCCATTATGGCATAGGACCATTATGACCACATCACATTATTTTCAATTCAGGTTTGATAAACTTCGCTCCGCCTTTATATCTAAATATGGAAAGGAACCTGATTATTTTGCTAGAGCACCTGGAAGAGTTAATCTGATTGGTATGGTATAATATATATTCTCAGCAATATCATTAAAATACAATTAGACAATGGGGTCTACAACGTTTATTACAAAATTGTAGACTTGATTGCCTAACACTAACAGTAGTATTTAACTTCAGGCACAATACTTAGCCTCGGCCTAATGATGATTTAATTTCTCAGGGACCTCCAGTTTCCTCCCACTGCTAAAGACCCCTACACACAGGCGAATCGTTGAAATAATATTGAACCAGATGTTAATCTCAAGATGACCCCTCCCTCTCCCTCTCTCTCTCTCCCTCTCTCTCTCTCTCTCTCTCTCTCTCTCAGCAGTACCAAATGTCTGATTGCCTGATCTATGTCTATGATTTAAGCAGTATCAAATGGACCGATTGTCTATTGTCTGACAATGGTGACTATAACTTTAGGCATAATACGTAGGCTCAGCTCAATTGCAAAATTGCCTGGACTTTTGCTTGGTGAAAGAATTTGTCTAGAGTTTCCTTGTTAGATATTGATTATTGTTGTTGTTATTGATTCCAGGTGAACATATAGATTATTGTTGATAATTGATTCCAGGTGAACACATAGATTATTGTTGTTATTGATTCCAGGTGAACACATAGATTATTGTGGTTATGCTGTTTTACCAATGGCTATTGAACAAGATGTGATTTTTGCTGCTTCATCAAATGAAGACGGAAAAATCAGTTTCTCAAATCTAAATCCAATATACAAGTGAGTTATTGCCCCTAATAAATATTGGAGTTTTTGCCCCTAATATATATAAGTGAGCTATTGCCCCTTGTATTTCACCTTTCTTGAAAAACATGGTCCACCGCTGGCATGGAATGACAGGCACTAGCAGGGTTGTGCCACACTTATCAACAGTGAATATTCACTAGGCAGATACAGAGATAAAATCGGTGCTGCTTAATGAACCCCCAATATTAACTCTTTTCCTTCTGGAAATTAAATTCTAGAATATTTTTTGGAAGTACATGTATTAGGAAAAAAAATTAAGGTGTTTGAAGTATTTGTAGATGAAAAATATTTCCTATTTAGTGTAAAAGGCCCCCTGCTTGACCAATAGTCCCTTTAAACTTGGTCGCGATATGTGTGCCATTCTAGATAAATTTTAAGAAATTGGTCGGTTTACATTACTATAAAAAAACCGGTCTCGAAACCAAATGTGGGACTCTTCACAGAAAAGTTAATTTCAGTCCTTATGCAAATTACCCAAATGAAAACAATTATGGCGGTTCACTTAGCTTGGGCCGCCATTTTGCAGAACTGATAAAAACCCTTTCAAAGTTCGTTTGGCACATGCGCAGTAATCTGTACCGAGAACCTTTCTCGGACCAGATAGCGGTTACACTACGAAAATTTAACCGTGCCGTGCTAGGCACCGTCCCATGACAACCTCACTTCAGTGGGCCAAATTGGCACGATACTCAGTATGGTACGCTTATGCTTGGCCCGTTTACACTACAAAACAGTTAACCGTGCCGTGCCTGGCAGGCTTAAAATTTGTAATGTATACAGGGTTAGTGATGTTTCTTTCACAGCAATTTTAGTGGGGGTCACGGTGGCTAAGTGGGTAAGATGCTGGCTCGCTAGCCTAGAGGTCGGGTGTTCACGATCCCTGCATTGGCCGAGAAAGTTCATCCCGATTTTCTGGAGTGGTTCCCCCTTGTCAGTGATGCAGGACAGAGGTCCTGTGTACACATTGGCATGCACGTAAAAGTTCCTGTGACAGTTGGAATTCGATATAAGAGTAGGCCGTAGTGTCGCTGTCTGGGCAAAATTTCCCGCATAGCACACTGGATGGCCTATGCCCGTCTTCATTAGCCCAGTTCGGAGCAGAACAGTAGGACGTTAAACCCCATTTCATTTCATTTCACAGCCATTTTGAATAATTTCAGAGAGTATGAATGTAATGTGAGTGATATCACCATCCCTAAAGATAATCCACAGTGGTATTTCTATGCTTTATGTGGAGTTAAAGGTTTAATGGAACATATGAAGATAACTACAGCGCGTGGTTTTAACTGTGTGGTGGAAGGCACCGTACCACCTAGTGCTGGTTTATCAAGTTCTAGTGCTCTAGTCTGCTGTGCAGCTCTCACCATGATGCAAGCTAATGGATGGAGTCTGTCTAAGGTACATGGAATATAATCAAGTCTGTTTTAATATTGGGGGTGGATGGATGGCCGAATTATCAGGGTGTATGCGTTGTCTGTCATTGAGTCAACTGACATGGTTTCGATTCGCCGGTTGTATGTGTTGAGTAGTAGGGTCGCCTGTCCAACCTTGTGGGTTTTCTCTGAGTGCTCCAGTTTCCTCCCACTGCTAAGGCCCCTACGCGAAAGCAAATTATTGAAATAAAATTGAACCATATATGACTCTTTCTCTCTCAGTCAAAGTGATCAAGGGCTATAACTCTGGCAGTAATTATCAGACAGGCAGATACGAAAAACAGAGGTCCTGTATACACATTGGCGGTCATGTAAAAAATCCTTGGTTGTTTGAATTTGATAAAAAGAGTAGGCCTTCGTGCTGCTGTCTGGGTAACAAGTCCTAAACATAGATCAACAGCTGCCCCATCATTGTGTAATGTAACGTGTCTTAACTATAGACCAGCATCATTGTGTATTGTAACACACCCAACTATAGACCAGCATCATTGTGTAATGTAACACATCTATGTGTAATTATAATATAGAGTTTTATTGAATATTACAGCAAGAATTAGCTGATATGTGTGCACATTGTGAACATTACATTGGTACAGAAGGAGGAGGTATGGATCAAGCGATTAGTTTTATGGCTAAGCACGGAACAGTAAGTATTATCTTAAGGGGTGAGGCTACCCGAAAAATGCTTTCTGAAATTCTAAAGCTAGTGAATTAAAGATGCCACAAGTAGTTAGGAAATGTAATAAACAAGGGAAAACTAACATTAAAAAAAAAGAAAAAAAGTTGTTGCCAGGGTAACACATTTTTTGGGAAAAAGTATGAAAAATGTAGGTACACCATATCTCTGATAATAATAAAGATAAATGTCTCATTTTCGGACTGCTTATTCTTTAATGATAATCCCTAAACCAGACAGAAAGTTTTTCTCTATAATTTTTATAGTTTCTTGGAAAATGATGTTTAAAACATTTGCCTCACTACAATATTTTGTCTTTGGAGAAATATTCTGATAACTTTTGAAATATACTATTCAAAAAAAGGAGGGGATATTTGATTTTGGGGGCATAATACTAAAATATGCAAATGACTACGAAAAAAGTCACTATAGAACCTAACAGAAGAAACATTTCCAGTTACATGTGACGCCCAAACGCACCAATAGCTACCGCATGGAATGCAGGTGATGCTTGGGATCATCATGGGGGTCCAACCCAAGATTTGCACGACTCTGACTTTGAATGTTACAGTCATTGTGGCATTGAATTCCAGGGTGGAAACATCAGTTTAAGTGTTTTAGTGACCAGAAAACAAATTTTGATATGCGTCGGCTTACCCAAAATGAAAGGTTACGTGCCCTTGGCATGCTACAGATTGGCACAACACAGGCGGTTGTGACGCGGACGATGAATGTTTCTCAGTCTGTCATAAGCAGGCTATGGTCCAGATACCGTGATACACAATCTGTACAGGACAGACCACGCTCAGGTCGACCAAGGGCGACAACTCAAGCCCAGGATCGATTTATCCGTACCTTGGTCTTGAGAAATCGTGTCATCACAGCAAATCAGATCAGCGCTCGTCTTCAAACAGACACTGGTGTGAGAATGAGTGGCCAGACGATTCGGAATCGACTGCATAGGGGTCACCTTCGCGCCCGACGTCCTCGCGTGATCCCTTGTTTGAGAGATCATCACATTCAGGCAAGACGTCGTTGGTGTAGGGATCGTCAACACTGGGATAATCGACGCTGGAGCAATGTGATGTTTTCAGATGAGTCAAAGTTCACTGTTGATTTTTTGGACAGACGTAGGAGGGTGTGGCGTCGTCGAAACGAGCGCTTCCAAGACGTTAACGTCATCAGACATGATCGATTTGGGGGTGGTTCTGTTATGGTGTGGGGAGGCATCACTGTTGCTGGAAGAACGGCTGTACATGTTGTTGCAGGGCGTGTTACAGGCCAGTACTACCGGGACAACATCTTGGCAGTCCATGTTGTGCCGTTCGCACGACGTCATGGCCGCCGTTTCATCTTCCAGGATGACAACGCAAGATGTCACAGGGCCAGGATCGTTACAGGTTACCTCCAACAACAGAACATCACCATATTACCTTGGCCAGCACTGAGTCCCGACCTCTCCCCCATCGAGCATGTCTGGGACATGCTTGGACAGAGGTTACGTCAACGTCAACAACGTCCTGCCAATGTCCAAGAACTTGCTGCTGCGTTGCAACAGGAATGGGACAATCTGGACCAAAATGACCTTAGACGTCTCATTAGGAGTATGCCACGTCGGATCAATGCTTGTTTGGCAAACAGAGGAGGATTTACCCGTTACTGACTTGGTTGTGATGCTGTGGTAACTTTGCTGTTTGACCCCGGGTATCATTTTACCCTTATAATGGTCAGTCTGTGCCTTACTTAGTCTAACGATCATTTGGAATAAATCGATGAATGTGAACTTCATTTCATTTTGTCATTTGTTTCTTCGTCAGTTTCATTAGGTGACTTTAATAACACTTAAAAATCAAATATCCCCTACTTTTTTTGAACAGTATATTAATGATAATTCAAATTGCTTTCTGTCTGATTCTGTGGTAGATATTAGTTTATATACCCTGCAAATTTGGCGAAGATATCTTAATTAGTTACAGAGATATAGCGTACCTACGTTTTTCATAATTTTTTCCCAAAAAATGAGTTGCCCTGGCAACAACTTTTTTTTAATGTTAATTTTCCCTTCTACTTGTACTAATTTCAATTCAACAGCTTAAACATTTCAGAACAAAAATTTTCAGATAGCCTCCCCCCTTAAATAACCAACTATTATCTTACCACGAACATGATATGAGAATTCTGTTTATAATTGACCGACTGGCGTGGTTTCGAATCCCCGGTTGTACGTGGCAAGGAGTAAGGTCGCCTGTCCAACCTCGTGGGTTTTCTCCGGGTCCTCTGGTTTCCTCCCACTGCTAAAGACCCCTACGCGCAAGCGAATTATTGAAATAAAATTAAACCATATGTTGGTCCCGAAATGACCTAGTTTGTGTCGAGTGGACGTTAAACCCCATTTCTCTCTCTCGCTCTTTTATAATTGACTTTTGGCAATCTGATTAAAGTGCACATCGATTGACAAACTTTAATTTTTGATATGACATCGCAATTCCAAGATGGCTGCGATAATGTCATAGTCAACTTATGGTCCATATTACGCTGGTATTTGTTTCTTTAGCCGAAGTTCAGGTGACTTCTCTTTCCTTGGATCATTAGGTCTGTCATTAGTCAAGAGGCGTGGTTTCGATTCCCGGCTTGTACCTGACAAGGAGTAGGGTCCCGCCTGTCCAACCTCGTAGGTTTTCTCCATGTTTTCCCGTTTCCTCTCACTGCTAAAGACCCCTTCGCACAATCAAATTATTGAAATAAAATTGAACCTGAAAAGTGACCGTATTTGTGTCCGAGAGAGAGAGAAAGAGAGAAATGGGGTTTAACGCCCACTCAACACAAACTAGGTCATTTCGGGACTAACACATGGTTTAATTTTATTTCAATAATTCGCTTGCGCGTAGGGGTCTTTAGCAGTGGGAGGAAACCGGAGGACCCGGAGAAAACCCACGAGGTTGGACAGGCGACCCTACTCCTTGCCACGTACAACCGGGGATTCGAAACCACGCCAGTTGACTCAATGACAGACTTTTTATGGTACAGCGCGCACATGCTAACCATTCAGCCACCCAACCCCCCCTAGTGTCAGAGAACTTAAACCCAATCTCTCTCCAGCGTCGGATTAACCATGGTGGGGGCCCTGGGGCCTGGAACATGTGGGGGGCCCCTGATCACAGACTGCGGAGCTGTGGCCAGTGAAGCCAGCCACCGCGAGCGCCGAAGGTGCGAAGCCCCGCAAGGGGGATCGGGGACCCCACCCCCACCCCCCGAAAATTTTCAGAAATTCGTCGTGTGAGAAACAAAATGTTCTAACTACCAAATTGGTTAAAAATGAGATATGGGTACCGTTGGATTCAGTTTGAAGAGTTCTATCTCCTTACACTCTGTTATATGAACTATTATTTCACTGTAAAATGATATAAGCAATAATTTTTTGTTCTATCTCCAAAAGCCATATTTTGCCTAGAATTAGAATGTTCTATGTCCCTTGGCCAATAGCTGGTGTTGTTTAAGGTCACGTGATTAGCAGAAGGGCTACAGAGTTACTGATTCATTGTGTGCCTAGAATAAGTTAAGTTTTTCCTTGTTAAATCTTTATTTTATTGTTGAATTATGAGAGTGAAGGGGCACATGAATGTAGTAGAATAAGTAGTAAAGCTGTTGACAATAATTTGAATTAGAATTAAAATGTTCAAGGATATAGAACATTTTGCTAGTTATGATTGTGTGTAGATATTAAGTATCTGTGGACATAGAACAATACAATTTCGTTATTGTACTAAATGTTTATTTAATATAAAGCATTTATTAACATGTATGGTGGCTGATTTAGGACACGCAAAAAAAAATATCGCGAGCGCTCGAGATATTAAGTCGAGTGCTCGAGATACTAAGTCGAGCGCTCGAGATAATTAAGTCGAGTGCTCGAGATACTAAGTCGAGCGCTCGAGATAATACAATCGAACACGTCTCAACCGACATTTTAAGCTGTATAATTTTGTGCATTATTTAATGATAAACTTGCAGAATAAAGATATTCATTTGTTCGTTTTTACAGCCCATCCAAAGCTGCAGTGACGGAGAGCCCCCCCCACACACACACACACACATACACACACACTCCATCCCATGCTCATCCCCACCACTAAATATTTCCCATTACATTTACCCCTTCCATGTAGGGAGGATATCGCATATTATTATACGAATCAATAATTGTATATATATCGAGGTTACAGAGTTTTGCTAGGATTGACATTTCCTCTTATCTAGAAGCTCAGGTCTGATCCAAGGTTATATATTCCATATGTGTAGGAACTGATCATTGCCTAATTTACCCTGGCGCAAGTGTCGCGATCGTGTCGGGCTTCTACATTCAATCCCGCGCCCTTCAGGCCGCAATTCTTAATCGATCATCTTGAAAACTTTTCATACTACTTCTTATACCGTAAAGATGTCCTCTATTATTTTTGGTGCACGTCCGACCCCCTGAGACAGAGCCACACCAAATTTTTGTGTATGTTTCTCCTACAGGGCGCAATTCTTAACAGATACTTTTGAAGCTTTGCATACCTATTCCTTATACCCTAAGGCTGACCCCTATCGTTTTTTTTGCGTGATTGCCTGGAACCCAGGATCAGCGCCACACCCATTTTTTTTGTGTATATGTGTGTTGCCTACAGGCCAGGATTCTTAATGGATCGTCTTGGAACTTGGCATATGTATTCCTTATAGCCCAAAGACGACAACTGCATGTCCCGACCCCAGGGACAGAGCCACGTACATTTTTTTTGTATTTACCGTATACAGGCCGCAATTCTGAATGGATCAGCTTGGAACTTGGCATATTATTATGTATTCCTTATGGCATAAGGGCGGTAACTATTGATTTTGGGCGCGGGAGAGTGGGGGAGTGAATGTAGAAGCCTGGCACGATCGCGCCACTTGCTCCAGGGTAAATTAGGCAATGGACAGTTCCTACACATATGAAATAAATAACCTTGGATCAGACCTGAGCTTCTATTAGATAAGAGGAAATGTCAGTCTCTCCTAGCAAAACTCTGTAACCTCGATATATATAATTATTGATTCATATAATAACATGCGATATACTCCCTACTTGGAAGGGGGTAAATATAACTGGAAATATTTAGTGGTGGTGATGAGCATGGGATGTAGTGAGTGTGTGTGGGTGTGTGTGTGTGGTGGGGGGGGGAACTCCGTCACTGCAGCTTTGGATGGGCTGTAAAAACGAACCAATGAATATCTTTATTCTGCAAGTTTATCATTAAATAATGCCCAAAATTATACAGCTTAAAACATCGGTTGAGACTTGTTCGATTGTATTATCTTGTGCGCTCGACTTAATTATCTCGAGCGCTCAACTTAATTATCTTGAGGGTTCGACTTAATTATCTCGAGCGCTCAAGATTTTTTTTTTTGCGTGTCTTAAATCAGCCACCGTACATGTTAATAAATGCTTTATATTAAATAAACATTTAGTACAATAACGAAATTGTATTGTTCTATGTCCACAGATACTTAATATCTACACACAATCATAACTAGCAAAACGTTCTATATCCTTAAACATTTTAATTCTAACAAAATGTGACGTTTTGTTATTTTAAAATGTTCTATCTCCATCTTCATTTGCCCCGTTTTAGAAGAATTTACATGTTTAGAGAGATAATTAGCGTACATTGCCTAGTTAACATATACTAGAATTGATCGGAAATATAAACTTCCTTAAAGTAGTTACAGAAATGCGTTTTCAAGACCCCCAAACTTTGAAGGCCATTATCTCAGCTTTCAACAAATGGTAGTTAGACCAGTCTGTTTCTCACACGACGAATTGGAGGCCAGAAACGTGATTTCCTGGCATTTCAGGCACTTGTGTGGAAAAAAATAAAATTCTGCCACAAAATTAGCGCATTCTGGCGTTATTTCAGTGGACCAATCCATGCGAGTGCTATGAAATGATGGCATTTCTAGAGGAGGGGGCTGGACGCAACTGAGAATTTTGTGGGGGGCCCTCTAATGTGGGGGGGCCCTGGGGCCTGTGCCCCAAGGTTAATCCGACCCTGCCTCTCTCTCTGTCTCTCTCATCGTGAAGGCATGATACAAGGACCATCTATTTTTGATATATTTCAGGCTAAGTTAATTGAATTTAATCCTCTTCGATCAACTGACGTCAAGTTGCCGTTTGATATAGTATTTGTGATCAGCAACAGCTGTGTACAGGCCAATAAAGCAGCTTCGTCAAACTTCAATATTCGAGTTGTAGAATGTAGAATAGCCACACAGGTATCGTATAAATATTTAATTTATTTCAACACAAAATTTTATTCACAAGTTTAATTTATTGACACAGGATCCCGTTTTTGGAGCTTATCATATAAACCGTTCCTCGGGGTTGGATGACTGAATGGTTAGCACACGCGCGCTGTATCATAAAGTCTGTCATTGAGTCAACTGGCGTGGTTTCGAATCCCCGGTTTAGAGAGAGAAATGGGGTTTAACGTCCACTTGACACAAACTAGGTCATTTCGGGACTAACATATGGTTTTAATTTTATTTCAATAATTCGCTTATAGGGGTGTTTAGCAGTGGGAGGAAACCGGAGGACCCGGAGAAAACCCACGAGGTTGGTAGTTGGTGCAGAAAATAAGGACGTTCAGCCACATATCATTTGATATAAAAAACAAATTTATATGGAAAATGGGGGGGTTGGACGGCTGAATGGTTAGCGTGCGTGCGCTGTATCATAAAGTCTGTCATTGAGTCGACTGGCGTGGTTTCGAATCCCCGGTTGTACGTGGCAAGGAGTAGGGACGCCTGTCCAACCTGGTGAGTTATCTCCGGGTCCTCCGGCTTCCTACCACTACTAAAGACCACTACGCGCAAGCGAATTATGTAAATAAAATTTAACCATATGTTAGTCCCGAAATGACCTAGTTTGTCTCGAGTGGACGTTAAACCCCATTTCTCTCTCTCTCTCACGTTTCAACAAGTTCCTCTTGTCGTTCTCAAGTAAGTAATGACAGTATAATGGTTGTATATTAGTTACTGTTTTTGTTACCTTGTTGTATATAATTTGATTTCTTGCGATTATACTGTCATTACCTACTTGAGAACGATAAGAGGAACTTGTTGAAACTGAGTGTGAAATAAACCCAGTGATTGTTTTCCATATAAATTTGTGTTTTATATCATATGTTCAGTTACTAAATGTCGTATAAGGATTTATATCATTTGATTTAAAATCATAGACTGGGAATATTTATCTATACTAATATTTGTGACTGACTGTCTGTCTGTCTGTTCAGTGTTGGCGTCTACACTAGGGCTGTCCCGAGACTGAAATTTGGTGTATAGGGGTAACTCGGACCAGAGAGTAACATAGGCTAGGTGGCGTGAGCCTACCGCTTCAGGTTCATAGCTATACATGTGGTACGCCTCGTCAAAGGGGGTAAGACGCTGGCTATTTGGGTAAAACGCTGGCTCGCTAGCCTGGAGGTCGGGTGTTCGATCCCTGCATTGGCCGAGAAAGTTCATCCAGATTTTCCTGTGTGGTCTCCCCTTGTCAGTGATGCAGGACGGAAGGGCCTGACAAGTACAGCTGTCTAGTCATTCGGATGAGACAAAAAACCGAGGTCCCGTGTACACATTGGTATGCACGTAAAAGATCCCTTGACAGTTGGAATTGGATATAAGAGTAGACCATAGTGCCGCTGTCCGGGCAAAATATCCCTCATAGCACACTGTATGGCGTATACCCGTCTTCATTAGCCTAGTTCAAAGCAGAACAGTAGGACGTTAAACCTTATTTCTTTTCATTTCATTTCATATTACGCCTGGTCAACTAAGCGCTAGTTGTAAATATTTATCCCTTTAGATGATGCTGATTATTACCCCACCCAAATCTATTTTTCTTTCTATTTCTTTATCATTTTCCTATTTCCAGATCTTAGCAAAATCTAAATCTTTAGAGTGGATAGGGATAAAGAAATTTGCTGAATTACAGAGTTTATTACTAGCTACGTTAGATGAGATGATTGAATACGTTAACCAGACGTTTCATAAAGATCCCTATACTAAAACAGAAATATGTTCTATATTAGAAGTTACACCTGAAGAATTGGCCACAACATCTCTTAGTGAAAATACTTTAAATGGTAGGTGGCTTATTGATTTAAGACGTTGCAGGTTCTGTGGTCGCTCCCTGTGTTGATCGAGTTAGGCCCCAAATTCACTCAGCATGCTCAGACTTAAGTTAAGAATTGTTCACCTTATTTTAACTAAAATATAACCCTTTATAAAATCTCTTTTTTTTTTAATTTGTCAAATACATCACTGAGAAACTATGTGCAAAGTTTTGAGTTTCTGGATCAAAGATATTTCTCTTAAAACAGTGATTGAAAGTTGAGTAAATTCTTAACTTAAGTCTGAGAATGCTTTGTGAACTTGGGCCCAGGGTTTTCTGGCATGGTTCCCCTTGTCAGTGGTGCATGACGGAGGGGCGGGCAAGTTCCCAATCGGAACAGAAGAGTAGGATGTTAAAGAAGCTAAATCTATTACTCAATATCATCTACAGTCTTCGACATTGAAAACACAGATTATTTAAATCAACATTGATGTTGTGATCTTACCGGGCGGTGGGGTGGGGGTGGAAGACCCAAACTTGAGTGAAGGAATAAAGCAAGAGAGAGAGATAGAGAGAGAGAGAGAGAGAGAGAGAGTGAGAGAGAGAGAGTGAGAGAGAGAGAGGGGGAGAGAGAGTGAGAGAGTGAGAGAGAGAGAGAGAGAGAGAGAGAGTGAGAGAGAGAGAGAGAGAGATATTAATGTCCACTCAACACAAACTCAGTCATTTCGGGACAATTATAATTTTATTTCAATAATTCGCTTGCGCATGGGGGTCTTTAGCAGTGGGAGGAAACAGGAGGACCCAGAGAAATCCCATGAGGTTCGATAGGCAACCCTTTATTTGTCATGTACAAGCAGTGAATTGAAACCGTGCCAGTTGACTCAGAGAGAGAGAAATGAAATGAAATGAAATGAAATGGGGTTTAACGTCCTACTGTTCTGCTCTTATACTGGGCTAATGAAGACGGGCATACGCCATACAGTGTGCTATGAGGGAAATTTTGCCCGGGCAGCGGCACTATCGCCTACTCTTATATCGAATTCCAACTGCCAAGGGATCTTTTACGTGCATTCTAATGTATACACGGGACCTCGGTTTTTCGTCTCATCCGAAGGACTAGACAGCTGTCCTTGTCAGACCCTCTGTTCTGCACCACTGACAAGGGGAAACCACGTCGGAAAATCCAGATGAACTTTCTCGGCCAATGCAGGGATCGAACACCCGACCTCCAGGCTAGCGAGCCAGCCAGAGAGAGAGAGAAATGGGGATTAACGTCCACTTGACACAAACTAGGTCATTTCGGGACTAACATATGGTTTAATATTATTTCAATAATTAGCAGTGGGAGAAAACCAGAGGGCCCGGAGAAAACCCACGAGGTTGGACAGGCGACCCTATTCCTTGTCACGTACAGGCAGGGATTACGAAACCACGCCAGTTGACTCAATGACAGACCTAATGATAAACCATTCAGCCATCCAACCTCTCCCCCCCCCCCCATATCTATAGACAGTCCTATTACTGATCAATCTAATTAAAATATAGATCTATATTTCGTTTCGTTTTTTTATACTTTCGATGGCTTACACTACATCAAGATCTTACCGGTTGTAGTGATAGGTCACGTCAGAGGATATACGAGCGGCTTTTGACCCTATGACATCAGACATTTGATTAACCAATCAGCATTGATGTTACTAGTGGATTACCCAAAGTTCCGTGCAAAACAAGCCTAAAGCTTGCCTTAACAGACTTTCATTGGCTAATTCCTCACACCATTCAGAACACAACAATGATAACAACTCTTCCAGATCCTAGTGTAGTAAAGACAAGTAAATAGAATTTTGAACTATAAAAATGAAACTAAATAGGATCTGTGTTTTAATCACATTGGTTACTTATATAATAGCTAGATAAATAAATTTTTGTTTTGTTTATTTTTTTTCAGTTGAAAGTTTTAAATTGCATCAGAGGGCGAGCCATGTTTATAGTGAAGCTAAACGGGTCATAGAATTTAAACAGACGTGTGATTTAAACTCGTCTGGTACGATTGAGAAACTAGGTCAACTAATGACGGCTAGTCACAATAGTTGTAGAGATCTGTACGAATGTAGTCATCCTGATCTAGATAATCTCGTACAGATCTGCTTGTAAGTTCTTGATTTATTTTCCGCCATACAAAATAAGAGAGAGAGAAATGGGGTTTAACGTCCACTCGACAGAAAATAGGTCATTTCGGGACTAACATATGGTTCAATTTTATTTCTATAATTGGTTTGCGCGTAGGGGTCATTAGCAGTGGGAGGAAACCGGAGGACCCGGAGAAAACCCACGAGGTTGAACAGGCGACCCTACTCCTTGTCATGTACAACCGGGGATTCGAAACCACACCAGTTGACTTAATGACAGACCGTATGATACAGCCATACAAAATAAATAATCTGGCCTAGAGTTCACAAAGCATTCTCAGGCTTAAGTTAAGAATGTAATTATTATTGTTCACCTTATTTTAACTAAAATATAGCCCTTTATAAAACTTTTGTTGTTTTAATGTATCAAATACATCATTAAGAAACTATGTGTAAAGTTTTGTGTTTCTGGATTTCTCATAAACAGTGATTGAAAGTTGAGTAATTTCTGAGAATGCTTTGTTGGTTGGGCCTCCTTTTGAATCCATTCTGAGATATTTTAATATTAATATTTTTGTTTTCTTAATTAAATGTTTTAAGAATACAAGTGTATTTATTAATTTGTTTGGGTTTTTTTTAAAATAACTCCTTTTTGCTTTAAACATACATTATGCAAGAGCTAAATCTGTCTATTGCTGGTCTTTCTTTTGGCCTGAAATTTTATCTAAATTATTAATTAGACAGTTATTAACTTATCCAGACCATAATCAACTCTCGATGGCATCGCTAGCCTGCGATCTTTACTAGATTATGATCCCATTTGCCTCTCAACTTCCATTCATAATTTTATCCTGAAATGGATGATCGGGACTGTTTTTTATCATAAGACTTTAGTAATGATGACCAAGGCTAGGCCGAAATTTCAATCGCTTTAATTCTCGGTACATAGTGGATCAATTCGACTGAAATTCTCAGCAAATTCCCTTTACATTATCACTGACTCCAGTTGACACTTCGGGACCAGTTGTCAACCACGCGATTTAAATTAAAATATTTATGAAATTGTCTCCCCCTCCCCCGATCAGTTTTCGAAGACTAACCCCTGTTTTGATTTTCTAGGAAATCTGGAGCCTTAGGTTCACGTTTAACTGGAGCTGGTTGGGGAGGCTGTGCAGTTTCAATGGTTCGAGCCGCCGATGTTCTGAATTTTCTATCGAAAGTACGAGATGAATATTATTTGAAATCAGAAGATCGATCAACGAAGATTCTCGAGAGCCTGTTTGCTACGGAACCTGGTGCAGGAGCTGCTATTTATAAACTTTAATCTAGAACGTTGTATTATTGAGGGACTTTTATAAAACGAGGTGCTTTATTCTTTGTTTCATTTTTTCAAATTTTTTTAAAGGAGCTGATCGTCAAGACCTAATTAATCTACGCTGAGATTTCCCGGCGTGTTTCCTCCTTGTTAGTGGAGGAGGACAACGAATAGTCATTCGGATGGGATGAAAAACTGAGTTCCTGTGTACACATTGGCGTGCACGTAATGTATCCCTTGGCTGTTGGAATTCAATACAAGATAAAATTTCCTTCATAGCACACTGAGTGGCGTATGCTCTTCTCCATTATCCCAGTCGGAGCTAATTTTTTAGGTGGCACTGGTTTGTTTATATCATCGTAGTTTACTAGGAATACTAAATCTTCTCAGTGACGATCAGTGACTTTACACAATCTGATTAAAATACAGGGCCCTGTTTCACGAACTTTTAACTAAAGATAAAATCCAAATTTTAGTAGATACTTCAATTTTGATTGGCTAGGCACTAAAATCAATCTAATATTATCCAATCAAATTACTAAAATTTGGATTTTATCTTAGTTAAAATTTCGTGAAACAGGCCCCAGGGCCCTTATTCATGAAAACTTAAACTAAGATACAATCGAAATTTTAAGAAATACTGCAATTCGATTGGCTAACCAGTAAAATCAATTTGCATATATCCAATGAACTTGCAGTATTTCTTAAAATTTCGGTTGTAACTTACTTTAAGTTTTCGTGAATAAGGGCCCAGATCTATATTTCATTTCGTTTTTTTATACTCTTAATGGTCTACACTACATGGGGGGTTGGATGGCGCGCGCTGTATCATAAAGTCTGTCATTGAGTCAGCTGGCGTGGTTTCGAATCGCCGGTTGTAAGTGACAAGGAGTAGGGTCGCCTGTCCAACCTCGTGGGTTTTCTCAGGGTCCTCCGGTTTCCTCCCACTGCTAAAGACCCCCTATGCGCAAGCGAATTATTGAAATAAAATTAAACCATATGTTAGTCCCGAAATGACCTAATTTGTGTCGAGTGGACGTGAAACCCCATTTCTCGCTCTCTCTCTCTCTACACTACATGAAGATCTGACCGGTTGTTGTGAAAGATCGTGTCAGAGGTCATACACGCGGCTTTTGACCCTATGACGTCAGACATTTGATTACCCACTCAGCATTGATGTTTCTAATAGGATACCCACAGTTCCATGCACCTTGTGCCAAAAACTCGCAGTAACAGACTGTTTTATTGGCTAATCCCTCACATTATCCAGAAGGCCGATTATATAATAACTCATCCATATCCTAGTGTAGTAAAGACAAGTAAAACAAAATTTTGAACATTAAAAAACGAAACGAAATAGGATCTGTGTTTTAATTAGATTGTGACTTTAAACATGTTCAGATGTGGCTTATCATACAAACACACACATTATGAGATACTTAAAAACTGTATGAATAAAAACTTAAGCAGATAAAAAGGACTCACAATAAAAAATAATATAAAGATGTTAGGGAATACAGTTAATAATATGTTTCCTTTAAACCTAACCAGTGCAATTTTGATCTCTCCAAACTCAGGATGAGTAACATTTTTTTTTTTGACCGTCTTTTTGATGTTCTTGTTCTAGGGGTGACGCTCTTTGAAAAATCTGATTGACATGAAAATTGGCATGCTTCTTTGAACAATTCTGCATCGATTTGATGAATGAGGTTTTTGAATTTCATCCAACAACATGATCAGTTACTGGTCCATAGTACAATCTTACTTGTTCTAGGAGAACACCAATCATTTGAGATTGTAGCAATCGCAACAATCAAGTTTTTTAAAATAAGTTTTAAAATTCATTTGTATAAAAGAAGTTGTGTGTGTCATTTTATAACTATATCCTATTTTTAACAACCACACTTTTTCAGTGTCAATTTATATAAAACTTTTAACATCTGTGATCTATTTTGCTTATTATTTACATTCATGTATGATTTTTACCATTGAACACTATGGAAATGGCGCTATATAAAAATTGTTAATAATAATAATAATAAATGTTGTCAACATTTTTTATTAAATTGTTTGTATTAATTGTTGCATGGTGTTAATGTAAATAAACAGAATCTTTAAGTGGCATTTAGCGATCGGGAAATACATTAACAAAACACAGTTTTTATACGCCCGCATTTTCATGTGGACGTATTATGCCGTCGCCCCTGTCCGTCCGGATGTCTGGACGTCCGTCCACAATTGTTTGTGGACACTCTACAGGTCACAATTCTTATCCGATTTTGACGAAACTTGAAATATCTCCAAAATATATCAGCTGCTTTCTATATTGGCATGTATCGGATCGAAACTTCATGGATTATGGCCCCTGTTTGTACGAAAAATCACGTTTTTAGCTTGTGGACACTATAGAGGTCACAATTTTTATCTGATTTTGTTGAAACTTGAAATGTAAGTTGATAACCCAAAGATCTCGGTTCCTTTCGATATTCGCACATATCGGACCGTAACTTCCGGAATTATGGCCCCTGATTGTACGAAAAATCGCTTTCTTTTTAGCTTGTTCTCTATCCATCTCTCGAAATTTTGGGCATATCCTGCCTGGCAGCCGCTGGTTTTTTTTCTGAAAGCACGACATTTCGAGAACCATAAGAGGATACATGTACTTGTCGAAACGTTGTGCTTTCAGAATAGAAACTAGTGATTGTATCCCATAAAAACTGTGTTCTGTTAAATAAACATACTTTACAGTTTTTTATAATGTTTACCTCCTGATGGATTGACTGGTGTGGTTTTGATACTCCGGTTGTACGTGACAAGGAGTAGGGTCGCCTGTCCAACCTCGTGAGTTTTCTCCGGGTCCTCCCACTGCTAAAGACTCCTATGCACAAGCGAATTGTTGAAATGAAATTAACCATGAAATGACCTGGTTTGTGTCAAGTCGGAGTGGACATTAAACCCCATCTCTTTCTCCTGCTGGATTGAAATGAAACCAGGCTATGTGTAGAGTTTTACCCGGACTGCTGTGTTTCGAATTTCAACAGTAATGGCTTCTTTTATATACACTCCAACGTGTACATGGTTAGACCTCAGTTTTATGTCCATTTCGAAGGACTACACAAAACTGACAATGACCCTTGGGGACTATGAAGTAGGGTATAACGTCCTACTGGACTAATGAAGTGTGCTATGGGGGACAGTTTGCCTGGACAGCAGCGCTATGGCCTACTCTTAATTCAAATTCTAACTGTCATTGGTTCTTTTACGAGCACACCAGTGTGTGCACGGGACCTCGTTTTTTTGTCCCACTATACATTCCCCCTTGTCAGGCCCTCCGTCCTACACCACTGACAACTGGGAACTATCCAGGAAAATTCTGACGTAGGGATCGATCAAAGGATCTCCAGGTTAGCAAGCCAGCATCCTACCCACCGAACCACCGTGGCTCCCAATCCACCAAAAAGAAAGAAATAACCAATATCATTAGGTATCAGTTTTTATTATAAATAAATATTATCACAGCTTATATATCTTATAACATATCACTAAAATTATATGTTGCTAAAACTTTAACAAACAAAAACCATTGATATCAGCGTAGGATACTTGTCGTTAAGGAAGAACAATTACTAAATGCCTGTTGAGGACTAAAGCTAAGTAAGGAATAGACGGGTTTGTATGAAAACTTGTTATATTCCCCTCAGCTAAAAGACAGAGGGGGGTATCATTTAAAGAGAAAATAATGTCCACTTCAAATGGATTTCACACTAACATATTTAGAGAAGCCTAGTCGAAACGTCGCTCAGTAATAAGCAGTAATTTTATTCTATAGAATTGTGATCTGTTTATTCCAGTTCAATTACTAAATGCCACTGAAACAATTTAACATATTCTAGCAGGATTATATATAGGAGGCAGACCACCATTAAATTTCATCATCTCGGTACCCACGAATTGTAGTTCGTCTATTTATAGCAATTCTCTCTCTCTCTCTCTTTTCTCCCCTTTTGCATGCCCATTTGTGTTGATTTTTTGGTCTAGAATGGATGAAGAGGGTTTGAATTAACATTTTCTGCCAGGTTTTGGTAAATATTCATGATTTTGAGGCGGAAGGATAAGAGGGTTATCAGGTTAGCTACGGCGATATGTACGGCAACTAGTTACATGTTTTTAGTATGCTTCTTCAAGTTTGTGTATCTCAAAATTTTGGTGGTCAACCTCATACAAATTTTAGTGCAAAGACATGACCATTTGTTCCTCTGTCTGTAGTGGAAAGCATTCAGCCCAACGAAAATTTGGGGAAAAGTTGGAGGTGGGCAAAGAGGCCAGAATTAACATTGAAGTCAATGGGGAAATTAATGGTGGTCTGCCTCCGTATATGACTGCAAGAGTTATGGCCCTTTCAGCATACTGACCCAAGACCACACCAACTTGATATTCTGTTCTTCAAAAACACCTGTTCAAAATTTTATTCTTATTTCTTTGGGAAAAATAGGAGAGATAGGGAGTGAAAGAGCACATTGGTACATGTAAGCCAAAGATAGGTTGCCAGGCAACTAAACATACGCCCACAGCAGCTAACTCGTCCGAGCAGTCGACAAGGGTCGTCACATATTTATTCTTTTGTAGGTAATTAGGGGAATTTAATAGATAATTTCATACAGATGACATTATAATTTTTGTCGTTTGAGGGTTCACAAGGTTCTAAAAACTAAAACAAGGGCCGTAACTCTGGAAGTAATCTACAGAAATTTTTCGTTTTACTAATTCAAATAATGCATACAAATTTCATACAGATCGGATGATAACTTTTGTCGTTAGAGCATTTACAAGGTACAACAAAGTGAAACAAGGGCCATAACTCACAGCGTAATTAGCGGAAATTGATGAAATTCAATAGGCTTCTTCGTTTCATTAATTTAAATGATGCATATCAATTTCAAACAGATCAGATGATAACTGTTGACATTAGAGCGTTCACAAGATTCAACAAAGTGAAACAAGGGCCATAACTCTAGATGTAATTAACGGAAATTGCTGAAATTCAATAGGCTTCTTTGTTTTACTAATTTAAATGATGCATATAAATTTCATACAGATCGGTTGATAACTTTTGTCGTTAGAGCGTTCACAAGGTGCAACAAAGTGAAACAAGGGCCATAACTCTAGAAGAAATTAACGGAAGTTATTGAAATTAAATAGGCTTCTTCATCTCACTAATGCAAACAACATATTCACAAGGTGCAACAAAGTGAAACAAGGGCCATAACTCCAAAAGAAATTAACGGAATTTGCTGAAATTCAATAGGATTCTTCAATTCACTAATTTAAATAATGCATATCACTATCATACAGATCGGTTGATAACCTTTGTCATTAGAGCGTTCACAAGATTCAACAAAGTGAAACAAGGGCCATAACTCTAGATGTAATTAACAGAAATTGATGAAATTCAATAGGCTTCTTTGTTTTACTAATTTAAATGATGCTTATACATTTCATACAGATCGGTTGATAACTTTTGTCGTTAGACGATCACAAGGTGCAACAAAGTGAAACAAGGGCCATAACTCCAGAAGAAATTAACGGAAATTGCTGAAATTCAATAGGATTCTTCATTTCACTAATTTAAATGATGCATATCAATATCATACAGATCGGTTGATAACTTTTGTCATTAGAGCGTTCACAAGATTCAACAAAGTGAAACAAGGGCCATAACTCTAGATGTAATTAACGGAAATTGATGAAATTCAATAGGCTTCTTTGTTTTACTAATTTAAATGATGCATATAAATTTCATATAGATCGGTCGATAACTTTTGTCGTTAGAGCGTTCACAAGGTGCAACAAAGTGAAACAAGGGCCATAACTCTAGAAGAAATTAACGGAAGTTATTGAAATTAAATAGGCTTCTTCATCTCACTAATGCAAACAACATATAACAATTTCAAATCAATCAGATGATAAATGTAGTCTGTAGAGTGTTCACAAGAAATTGTGGACGCTGGACGGACGGACGGACAGACGGACGGACGGGGGCGACAGCAATATACGACCACATTTCCATGTGGGCGTATTAAAATAGCAAAAAAATAGATAATGAAAATATTGAAAATTTCATTCAAATTACTTAATTCTGAGCCAAGTTATTACTGTTTGTAGTAAACTGTTGAAACAGGAACCCTGTATTCTCGGACATGTTTTCCCTTATAATAAATACATTGATTAGTACATAGGTCTATTATGATTTGGGTGATTTGATCAAGTTGTCTTCTATAATACTACTCGCTCTGGAATCAGACATCTCAGATGATTTGGAATCAACTGTCATGGGAAGTTCTTTACTTTTTTCCTGTTATTAAAAGATATTTCAAGAATATTAATTGATATTAACATTTAACCGTAACATGACCTTAAAAGGTAAAAAATGAAATAATAGGGTTTAACTCTCTGCACCAACTACTATTGAGAGAGAGAGAGAGAAATGGGGTTTAATGTCCACTCACACAAACTAGGTCATTTCAGGATTAGCAAATGGTTCAATTTTATTTCAGTAATTCGTTTGCGCGTAGGGGTCTTTAGCAGGACCCGGAGAAAACTCACATGGTTGGACAGGCGACCCTTCTCCTTGTCATGTACAACCGGGGAATTGAAACCACACCTGTTGACTCAATGACAGACCTTATGATACAATGCACACGCGCTATGCCACTGGGAGACACACTAGGCGAAACTTGACACTGATGTTTGATTCAGCCTTATGACAGTGGACACACTAGGCGAATTACGACCGCGATTGATACAGCCGTGTCATTTGTTTAGTGTGTCCGTTTTAGGGAAATATATAAACATTTAATTGTAGATCATTGGTTGATTATTCTATCAGTATTATTGTACTTACCCGTAAAGCGGCTATTTTTTCACATAATATTTTTAAATCGTGTGGGTTTCGTGTGAATAAGAGTTCTTTCTGTAAGGCATCGATTTCTTTATTCATTTCTACTTTCCGTCTCTCGAGATCTATAATACCCTGATTTGTTTCATCACAGATTCTATAAATATAGAAGACAACAGGGTCACCATATATGCAAAAGTCAAGGGTCATATTAGGTCAAAAGTCTAAAAAAGGTTAAAAAATTCAAAGTGAAACCGGAGTAAACGAAATCGAAATTAAAAAATCAGCTCCATAGGGATTGTTGTCATTTAGAGTAGGTTCAAAACCAAAAAAAAAGGTTTTAAAAAAACAGAATCAAAATGGGGACTAAATATAGAATTGAAGGTTTTTTTTGTAAAATCCAATTTGGCGGGCAAACGGTTGAAAATGTTATGGAACAAGGTCTCTGAAAATGAAAGATAATATCTGGGGCTAACACCACTATATGTCATTTTTAGTCTATTTTTAAAAATGGAGAGAACTATTCATGTTCAGGAAAAATCGGAAGGCCTCAGTGATTTCCTGAAGTTTGAAAGCCGTCACAAATTTTTTTAATATTCCATTTTGAAGGCATCAATGTCTTCCTTATAAAATTCCAGGGGCTATCTTAGTTGAGTGGTCAAAGTAATAAACTCTTGCTAGAACGTCCCAGGTTCAAATCTTGTCAAATGTAGAGTCTGCTAGACTGACAGGTAAAGAGTGCTGAGACATTCGGATGGTCCAGAAAACCTATTGATTCTAGGCCTGTATACTAACCCACCTATTGATTCCAGGCCTGTATATATATATACTTACTTCTGATATTCTTTACTAAGAGCGTTAGATAATGACAATGTGTTCTGTATTAACTGTTGGTATGTCTGGCCTGGTGGTGTTACAATAGTTAAAGAAATCAAATATGGTAGTTTTATCGGAATATAACCAAATATATCTAAAAGTGTCTTTCACAGTTTTTTGACGGAAATGGAAATATTGATAATATTACAGAGATTTTTTGTACAATAGATTGGAAGTAATATGTAGAGCGAAGCATGATTTGTTAAATATAAATCCTTCATAATTAAACATACATTATGCAAGAGCTAAATCTGCCTATTGTAGGTCATTCTTTAGGCCTGAAATGTTATCTAAGTTATTAGACATTTATTAACTTATCCAGACCATAATCAACTCTTGATGTCATCGCTAGCCTGCGATGTTTATTGGATTAGGTTCCGATTTCCTGTTCGACTTCCATTCATAATTTAATCAGGAAATGTATAATCAAGATTATGTTTTTTATTGTACGGATTTTAGTAATGATGAAATCTTGGTTCATAGAGGATCAATTTGACTGAAATTTTCAACAAATACCCTTTACATTATCTAGTTTTGGTCTATTTTACCTCCTGTCTCCCTAAAGAGAGAGAGAGAAAAATGGCGTTTAACGTATAGTTTAATTTTTATTTCAATAATTCGCTTGCACGTAAGGGTCTTTTTAGCAGTGGGAGGAAACCGGAGGACCCGGACACCCACGAGTTTGGACAGGCGACCCTACTCCTTGTCACGTACAAATGGGAATCGAAACCACCCCAACTGACTCAATGACAGATTTCATGATACAACGCGCATGTGCTAACCATTCGTCCATCCAAGCCCCCTGTCTCCCTAAATATCTGAGAGAATGAAACAGGCCTAATGAAGAGGGGCATACGCCATACAGTGTGCTATGAGGGAAATTTTGCCCGGGCAGCGGCACTATGGCCTACTCTTATATCGAATTCAAACTGCTAGGGATCTTTTACGTGCACACCAATGTATACACAGGACCTCGGTTTTTCTTCCCATGCCAACGACTTGACAGCTGTCCCCGTCAGGCCCTCCGCAATGCATCACTGACAAGGGAAACCACATCGGAAAATCGTAATGAACTTTCTCGGTCAAAGCAGGGATCGAATACACGACCTCCAGGCTAGCGAGCCAGTGACTTACCCACTTAGCCACCGTGGCTCCCGAAGTCAATCAGACATTAACTGTGTGCATATAATAAAAGGATATGGTAATTTGGCAATCTCTGTTCTGCGGAGCTTCTGTCCTGGTTGTTTTAGATCCCTCAGTTGTCTCATATACAGATAATGTGAGATTAAAGGGCTTCGTCCCTGGGTGTTGAATTTAACTCTTTCATACTCCGGCCCAGGTCCTATTTGATGTGACTGTAATGATCAAAATAAAATGTGAATTTAAATAAAAATAGAGAGAGAGGGAGAGAGAGAGAGAGAGAGAGAGAGGTGGAGAGAGAGAGAGGGAGAGAGAGAGAGAGAGGGAGAGAGAGAGAGAGAGATGGAGGGAGAGAGAGAGAGGGAGAGAGAAATGGGGTTTAACGTCCACTTGACACAAACTAGGTCATTTCGGGACTTACATATGGTTTAAATTTATTTCAATAAGTCGCTTGCGCATAGGGGTCTTTAGCAGTGGGAGGAAACCGGAGGACCACGGAAAAAAAACCTACTTCTTGTCGCGTACAACCAAGGATTCGAAACCATGCCAGTTGACTCAATGACAGGCCTTATGATACAGCGCGCATGTGCTAACCATTCCGCCATCCAACCCCCCTTAATAAACTTGATACGGTGAAACTAGTAGGTAGGCCTATCGAAAAACCGTTTGTTTTTTTTATATAAAAATGAAATGGGGGTTTAAGGTTCTACTCCGACTGGGCTAATGAAGACGAGCATACAGCATACAGCGTGCTATGAGGGAAATTTTTTATGAGAAACGAACATGTGCTTTATCATCAGATGGTGGGGTGGAATGGACATTCAAAGCGCGATATAATGATATAGACAAGTGTGATATCACAATTAATGTTTTACATCAATGAAATTAAATCACAATATGACCCTATTAATTCATTATACCAGCGGCTGCCAGGCAGGATACGCCCACATTTTCGAGAGATGGATAGAGAACAAGCTAAGAAGAAAGTGATTTTTCCTACAATCAAGGGCCATAATTCAGGAAATTACAATTCGATATGCGCAAATATCGAGAGGAACCGAGATCTTTGTGTTATAAACTTACATTTTAAGTTTCAACAAAATCGGATAAAAATTGTGACTTCTATAGGGTCCACAACTTTGATAAACCCTATTTTTACATATAATAATACGTTTTTTATATCGGATAAAAATTATGACCTCTATAGGGTCCACAAGCTAAAAACGCGATTTTTCGCACAATCAGGGGCCATAATTCAGGAAGTTATGGTCTGATATGCGCAAATATCTAAAGGATCTGAGATCTTTGGGTTATAAACTTATATTTCAAGTTTCAAATAAATCTGATAAAAATTGTGACCCCTATAGGGTCCACAACCTTGATATACCATATTCTTACGCTATTTGAGAACGAACAGCGGCCATTTTGTCTGTCAATTTTGGGCGAGTTTCACGAAATTCAAACTCAGCCATCCTTAGGGTGTAACGGTGATATAATAATACGGTTTTTTAAATCGGATAAAAAATTATGACCTCTATAGGGTCCACAAGCTAAAAACGCGATTTTTCGTACAATCAGGGGCCATAATTTAGAAAGTTACGGTCCTATATGCGCGAATATCGAAAGGAGCCGAGATCTTTAGGTTATAAACTTATATTTCAAGTTTCAAATAAATCTGATAAAAATTGTGACCTCTATAGGGTCCACAACCTTGATATACCATATTTTTACGCTATTTGAGACAAACGGCTGCCACTTTGTCTGTCACTTTTGGTCCGATTTTCACGAAATTCGAACTCAGCCATCCTTAGGGTGTAACGGTGATATAATACTACGTTTTTTTTAAATCGGATAAAAATTATGACCTCTATAGGGTCCACAAGCTAAAAATGCGATTTTTCGTACAATCAGGGGCCATAATTCAGAAAGTTACGGTCCGATATGCGCGAATATCGAAAGGAACCGAGATCTTTAGGTTATAAACTTATATTTCAAGTTTCAAATAAATCTGACAAAAATTGTGACCTCTATAGGGTCCACAACCTTGATATACCATATTTTTACGCTATTTGAGACGAACGGCTGCCACTTTGTCTGTCACTTTTGGTCCGATTTTCACGAAATTCGAACTCAGCCATCCTTAGGGTGTAACGGTGATATAATACTACGGTTTTTTAAATCGGATAAAAATTATGACCTCTATAGGGTCCACAAGCTAAAAATGCGATTTTTCGTACAATCAGGGGCCATAATTCAAAAAGTTACGGTCCGATATGCGCGAATATCAAAAGGATCCGAGATTTTTAGGTTATAAACTCACATTTCAAGTTTCAAATAAATCGGATAAAAATTGTGACCTTTATAGGGTCCACAAGCTAAAAACGTGATTTTTCGTACAATCAGGGGCCATAATCCATGAAGTTTCGATCCGATACATGCCAATATCGAAAGCAGCCGAGATCTTTTGGGGATAAACCTATATTTCAAGTTTCGTCAAAATCGGATAAGAATTGTGACCTGTAGAGAGTCCACAAACAATTGTGGACGGACGTCCGGACGGACAGGGGCAACGGCATAATACGTCCACATGAAAATGTGGGCGTATAAAAAATTGATGTCAAACAGGGGGTTAGATTTCTTTCTTTTTAAAGCTCAGTGTGTATGTATGCCTACAAAATATGGAGACGATGATGGCATAATGCATTGTCAACTGTCAAATTTCCTTAACAGGAACCTGGCAAACCTTGTGCTGCAAAAATTCCTGGGTCTGCCCTTCTATGCTTTAACTTCTGTCAAAAGAACTATTGGTGTAAAAGGTCAAGGTTAAATGTTGATCATTACCTCTATGACTTGTTTGACCCTCAACTTAGTTTGTGTGGTAGGTAATGGTGTGTTCCATGAACCAGACGTAATGGTAGTTGTTTTAGTTGATTCTCTAGTAAAACCATGCGGAGATATCGACGGACTCGTCTGTTTGTCGTTACCTAGACGATCTACTAACTTCGTAAATGATTCAATATCCAACGTTATTGATACTGAAACAACAAGATACTTGGTATTATAAGAGAGAGAAATGGGGTTTAACGTCCACTCGACACAAACTAGGTCATTCCGGGACTAACAAATGGTTTAATTTTATTTCAATAATTCGCTTGCGCGTAGGGGTCTTTAACAGTGGGAGGAAACTGGAGGACCTGGAGAAAACCCATAAGGTTGGGCAGGCGATCTTACTCACATACAAGTGGTGAATCAAAACCACACCATTTGACTCAACGACAGACCTTGTTAACCATTCCGCTCCCACCCCCGCCCCCCACACACAAACACATATTAAAGTGAAACAGGGTTTAACAACCTAATTTTCCGTACCAACCAGACTAATGAGATAAGTGTGGTGGGTTATCCATGATAAAACACGCCTCACACTCACTCACTTAGATCAATTTCCACATGGCCATCTGCAGATTTTGCTATAGGTAACAAGATGTACACATGGCTAGCAACCCTAATCCAAGACCTAGTCCTAGGCCTTACCCTAATCCAAGACCTAGTCCTAGGCCTTACCCTAATCCAAGACCTAGTCCTAGGCCTTACCCTAACCCAAGACCTAGTCCTAGGCCTTTACTTAACCCAAGACTTAGTCCTAGGCCGTACTTACCCTAACACACAATCTTCGGCAACAATCATGTGCACTAACCCTGTTAACATCCCGTGATCTTGGCGAAATCTCCAGGTGGCCATGTGAAATAAATCTACCCCAATCCTGGTCCTGGTTATACACAGTAAAACAGGTCCACCTCTTTCTGGTTAGGTTATACATGGCAAAACACGTCTCTCCCCCCCCTCCCCCAGGTTATGATTATACACACTACAACAGGTTCACCCCGTTGTCATGGTTATACAGTAAAACAGGTCCACCCCTGTCATGGTTAAACAGTAAAACAGGTCCACCCTGTTGTCATGGTTAAACAGTAAAACAGGTCCACCCTTGTCATGGTTAAACAGTAAAACAGGTCCACCCTGTTGTCATGGTTAAACAGTAAAACAGGTCCACCCCTGTCATGGTAAAACAGCTCTACTCCTGTCATGATAAAACAGATTCACCCCTGTCATGTTTATACAGTAAAACAGCTCTACTCCTGTCATGGTAATAGGTCCACCTGTCATGGATACGTCCACCCTTGTCATGGTATACATACCATTCTTGTTTAGAGCCGCTGCCTGAATCATTTGTTTTGCAGCAACAACATTTTCATCTGCTTTGGTACCTTTTGGCACACCTGGTTTCAGTCCATTGACATTCCAATTATTATACGTTCCTGGAACTGGCTTCAAACCTAAATCATAAAACTTCATATAGGCTGTTTCATGAACTTACCTGAATAAACCATAATTATCACTTAAAATGTGTGTGTGTGTGTGTGAGAGAGAGAGAGAGAGAGAGAGAGAGAGAGAGAGAGAGAGAGAGAGAGAGAGAGAGAAGTTCATATAGGCTGTTTAATGAACTTACCTGAATAAATCATAATTATCACTTAAAATGTAAGCAGGTAGTATATTAAAACAAGATAATAAATTTAAGTTAAAAATACATTATTTAGATAAAGAGCTGGCCGTTTTTGCTATAATAGTTCAAAAATAGATAATGCAAAATGAATATATTGAAAATTTCATTCAAATTAATTTATTCTTAGCCAAGCCAAGTTATCACTGTTTGTATTTTTGACAAGATGTATGCATCAATTGTTTATCAACGTATATTCGTAACCGTGGTAATGGTATATTTGAGGCTTAGCCTTGCTTCTCACTGTACTGGTATATTCGAGGCTTAGCCTCGCTTCTTCACATTAAAATCAAATCATTAAATGGCTGAACCTTTCTCATTAATTTAATTAAAATCTCAAACCTCTGATGGCATTGAGAGTTGATTATGGTTAAACATATACATTATGCAAGAGCTAAATCTGCCAATTGTATGTCTTTCTTTAGGCCTGAAATGTTATCTAAAGTATTAATTAGACATTAATTAACTTATCCAGCCCATAATCAACTCTACATGTCATTGCTAGCCTGCGATATTTACTGGATTAGAATCCTATCTGCTGATTAACGCTCATTGATAATTAAATAAAAAAATAGATAATCGAGACTATGTTTTTTTATCGTTCCAACGGACATAGTATGATGATGGAGGCTAGATCCAAAATTCAATCGCTAAAATCTTGGTTCAGAGTGGATCAATTTGTCTGAAATTTTCAGCAAATGGCCTTTACATTTTCTAGGTTTTAACTATTATAGTGAGAACTGCCAGCTCTTTATCTAATCTTCCATAATGTAACTTTAATATTTTTTATAAGATTTAAGGACTAAAGAAAGACCAGCAGATTTAGCTGTTGAATAATGTATGTTTAAAGGTATAAAGAACATGTTTCTTATCTCACCAGTTATCCACTCATGGGCCAAGTTAACCAGATACTGTTTAAAATCTTCGTCAAAAGTTGGTGTTGATTCGGGAAACGCTTCACAATACAAAGCATACAGTGATTGGGCATAGCAATCGGGGTAGACCTACAATACAATAGCATACAGTGATTGGGCATATGTAACAATCAGGGTAAACCTACAATATATATAGCATACAATGATTGGGCATAGCAATTGGGGTAAACCTACAATACATAGCATACAGTGATTGGGCATAGCAATCGGGGTAGACCTACAATACATAGCATACAGTGATTGGGCGTAACAATCGGGGTAGACCTACAATACATAGCATACAGTGATTGGGCGTAACAATTGGGGTAAACCTACAATACATAGCATACAGTGATTGGGCGTAACAATCGGGGTAGACCTACAATACATAGCATACAGTGATTGGGCGTAACAATTGGGGTAAACCTACAATACATAGCATACAGTGATTGGGCGTAACAATTGGGGTAAACCTACAATACATAGCATACAGTGATTGGGCGTAACAATTGGGGTAAACCTACAATACATAGCATACAGTGATTGGGCATAGCAATTGGGGTAGACCTACAATACATAGCATACAGTGATTGGGCGTAACAATCGGGGTAGACCTACAATACATAGCATACAGTGATTGGGCGTAACAATTGGGGTAAACCTACAATACATAGCATACAGTGATTTGGCATAGCAATTGGGGTAGACCTACAATACATAGCATACAGTGATTGGGCGTAACAATCGGGGTAGACCTACAATACATAGCATACAGTGATTGGGCGTAACAATTGGGGTAAACCTACAATACATAGCATACAGTCTGAGTAAACCTACAATACATATCTAAATTTTCATCCTACGACTAGATGAATTGTGTAAGCTGAATCTCTAAAAGGAATATATATCTAACAAGGGTTCAATTCTGTTCAGTATTTACAAAGATATGGCATATGTCAAATACTAATTTAATTTGCTTACACATAGGGATCTTTAGCAGTGGGATGAAACTGGAGAAACCAGAGAAAAGGCAAGAGCTTGATGAACAGCCCTGCTTCTTGTCCTTACAAGTGTGAGAACCAATTAAACCACATTAGATCTATCTACCATTCAATCCCCAACCTCCAAGAGAATCAATAAAATATCAATTTTTATTTTATGATCAGTAGTGGAATACCACATTTTATCAGTGAAATAAAAGTGTTATTCCACTGGCTAAAGTAGTCCATGTTGTTTTTACCTAAAATGATTGTAAAACCATAAAATAAATAGAACATTTATCGTTTTGTTGTGAATAACATATTTTATTTCATCTCTAAGCAAGAAAACGTTTATATTTTCACGAATGCGTAGCATTCGTGAAAATATAAGTTTTCTTGCTTCTCGATGAAATAAAATATGTTATTCACTCTAAAACGACAAATATCCTCTATATAATATTACCCAATCTGATTAAAACACAGATCCTATTTCGTTTCGTTTTTTATTGTTCAAAATTTCGTTTTACCTGTCTTTAGTACAAGAGTTCTGGATGGCGTGATGGATTAGCCAATGAAACCATCTTGTACAGCAGCTTCTTGAGTGGCAATGCACGGAACTGTGGGTAAACCACTAGAAATGTCAATGCTGATTGATTACCCAAGGCCTGACGTCATAGGGTCAAAAGCCGCTCATACGACCTGTGACGCGACCTTCTAGTATAACCGGTCAGATCTTCATGTAGTGTAGGCCATCGAAAGTATAAAAATCAAAACGAAATATAGATCTGTATTGTAATCAGATTAAATTTTACTTACCGGTAGCACTTTATCTTTAACATCTGTATTTATAGTAGTAAACAACGCTACAAAACTATCAGCTACTCGATCAAATACCAGATCTTTATCACCATCGAGTCCTTTCTACAAAAATCAAATAAAATGGGGTTTAACGTCCTACTGTTCTGTTCCCACTGGGCTAATGAAGACGAGCATATGCCATTCAGTGTGCTATGAGGGAAATTTTGCCCTATGGCCTACTCTTATATCAAATTCCAATTGCAAAGGGATCTTTTACGTGCAAGCCAAGTATACACAGGTCCTCGCTTTTTCATTGAGTCACCATGGCTATGTGGCCTATAAAAATACTTCCGCAAAAACTAACCTCTTTATTAAAACGGTCAAGAAAGATCCACCAAAATGTATCCTGAATAACAGCTACAGATGCTTCTGATAGAAATATCTTCTTCCAAAACTTCGTGAAACCAGGCTGGAAAAGAGAGAGAGAGAGAGAGAGAGAGAGAGAGAGAGAAATGAAGTTTATGGTCTATATATGCCATTCCATGTGGCACATTTTATTAGGTATAAGTAGGGGTCGATAGCAGTTGAAGGAAATCGTTGGGCCTGGACAAAACCCAGGTGGATACGAAGCTGAGGTCTGGGAACAAAACAACGAACCCTTGACTCAACGACAGATCTTATGATCTCAACTGTATGCATTAAGACCACACAGCCACCCAATCACCAAGATTGGTGAAAACAATTGGAGATATGCTTTTGTTCATAGATAGAGAAAACAATTAAGTACTGCTTGTAAATAAACTGGTATCCAGCTTAGATATGTAACATGATAACGACTTCTTTAAACATACATTATGCAAGAGGTAAATATGCCAATTGCAGGCCTGAAATGTTATCTAAATTATTAAAATAATTAGACATTAATTAACTTATCCAGTTAACTTATCGCTAGCCTGCTATACTTACTGGATTCTAAGCTGGTCTGCTGCTTCTGATTAAATCAAAAAATGGATAGTCGAGACTATGATTTTTTATCGTACCGACATTAGTAATGATGACCGAAGTCAGGCCCAAAATTCAATTGCTAAATACTAGGTACAAGGTGGATCAATTTGACTGAAATTTTCAGCATATTCCCTTTACATTATCTATTTTTTAATTATTATAGTGCGAACTACCAGCTCTTTATTTAATCTCCCATAATGTATCTTTAATAATATAACTTATTTATATGTTTAACTATAACTGGTTTATTATACTAGCAACCTGATTGTTGTTTGTTTTTATTGTACGATTTGTTTTACACATGAATGTACATGACATGTATGGTTAAATTCATCATTGATCAGTGTTTGATAAAGATACCTATAAGAGTATTGAAACGTTGCATGTAAGAAAATAAGAAGTAATGAAATCTGCTCCGACTATAAGACGTAGTAAATCCATAAAGTTGTGTTATTATGAATACTGATTAATGATACTATAGGGTCATTCCATGTCAAGTGGGCCAGGGGTGGGAAATCAAGTTTTGAAAACTTAGTGGTAACTCATAAAACTCAAATGCCCTTATCTCAGTCAATGTTCAAGCTACAGACCACAAATTTTGCATAGTTTCTAATTTTTACATGTATAATAACATATATTTTTTCCAGATTTGTTCGAGGGGGGCGATTTCCCAACTTTCTGAAATTGACCCACTTGAAATGGAATGATCCTATAGGAAAATGAGTATAGTTACAGATAAAAGCAAAAAAAGCACGGGGAGCCACGGTGGCTAAGTGGGTAACATGCTGACTCGCTAGCCTGAAGGTTGCGTGTTCGATACCTGCATTGACCGAGAAACTTCATCAGGATTATCCGACGTGGTTTGTCTTGAGAACCAGAATATTTTGCATTATGTACTTAAAACACAGATCCTATTTCATTTCATTTTTTTATAGTTCAAAATTTCGTTTTACTTGTCTTTACTACACTATCATCTGGAAGAGTTGTTATATAACCCGCGTTCTTGATAATGTGAGGGAATAACCAATGAAACACTCTGTTATAACGAGTGTTTGGTGTGAGGTGCACGGAACTGTGGGTAACCCACTAGAAACACCAACGCTGATGATTGGTTAATCAAATGTCTGATGTCATAAGGTCAAAAGCGGCTTGTATGACATCTGACACGACCATCCACTACAACTGGTCAGATCTTCATGTAGTGTAGGCTATCGAAAGTATAAAAAAATGAAACAAAATATAGATCTATATAGATTGGGAATATTTATTTTGTGTGGCCTTACATTAAAATCTTGTGCTTTGGTAACTCTGTCTAATATAGGTGGTGCTTCTAGTTGACTTGGTAACTCAATTGATTCATTGGCACGGAAACCAGGAAATGTACAGTATTCTAATGAACCCTTCCTTGCTTCGATCATAGATTCTGCTAAATCCTACAGAGAAAGAAAAAACATTTTAACTAGTTCAAATTTTTTTAGATAATGCAAGTAATTATGTCAACATATCCTTTCCATAAGTATAACACGAACTCAAGTGTCAATATTACCTGCAACAGGTAGTCGTAACTTTCCGTCAATAAACAATCTGACATCATTTTAGTCCTTCTCATATAAATATAGACTAGAATATGAGCAGAAGGACTAAAATGATGTCAGATTGTTTATTGACGGAAAGTTACGACTACCCACGGAGAACGCCAGAAATTACTGAGGTTGAGATTTACCTGTTGCAGGTAATATTGACGTTCGGGTTCCTGTTATACTTATTTAAAAGTAATGTTGACATAATTACTTGCATCATTTAAAAACCTTCTGAAACTTTTCCGGTGACCTTGAGTCTCTAAACGGAATATCACACCTCACATGCTTGAATTTACAAATATAAACAAACAAGTGACACCTATATATCTTTTCATAGCCATCGTTTTAATCTGACTAAATCAAAACTAGAAGATTATCTATCGCTAATATTTTTAATTTTTTTGTTAATTAGGTACGCTGATTAAGAAGTGAAAATTAGCCATTTCCATTAAAATTACACAATGGGTGACGATTTTACATGTTTATAAAGTAAATCATAAGAAATTCTAAAATAACTTACAAGACTTTTGTGTCCTTTTGAGCTCCCCCGAGATTTTAGTCCTTCAGTTTCCGAAGTTTCTGTTATAAAAGCTGAAATTGGTTTTAACAAACAAGATTAGTGGAATGGGGTCAAACATCTGGTCAACACGATACCTTGAGACTAACATATGATTCACATTATCCCGATACGTTGGTTATTTTGAGATTAACATATAATTCACATCTCATCATCCCGATACTCTCCCGTCAAAAGGCAAAACCTAGTAACTCACTTTTGTAGTTACTAGGGTATGTGCTTCCTGTTGTTGTGCTAGATCTTCCAGTCTGTAGTTTCGTTTGTCATTGTCACCGCTATCATGCTAATTAACAAAGTCTTGATTATTCATTGTTACAGTTAATCATCAATGGGCATTGAACAGTAGATACAATTCAAATCCAATGAAAATCGGACACATAAGATGGCATCGAGAGTTGATTAAAGTCTTTCCATGTTAATAAAATGTCTAATTAATAATTATATAACATTTCAGGCCTAAAGAAAGACCTGCTATAGGCAGATTTACCTCTTGCTTAATGTATGTTTAAGTAAACGATAACTAAATCCAAATCTTACTTTTAGCTGGGGAGTGAAAGTAACCATCACCAATTTCCATTCCTCGGTTTTGATCGGTAACTATTTCATCAGCAAAATTTCTTAAAGTATTTTCAATTTTCCCCAACCTGTCTTCCAGAGAATCAATCATGTGTGTTCCTAATGCTAATCAATGTTAAAGATACATTATGGGAGATTAGATAAAGAGCTGACAGTTCTCACTATAATAGTTAAAAACTATATAACGTAAAGACAATTTGCTGAAAATTTCAGTCAAATTGATCCACTATGAACCGAGAACTAAGCGGTTGAAATTTCCGGCTAGCCTTGATCATCATTACTAAAGTCAGTACGATAACAGCATAGTCTTGATTATCCATTTAATCATTAATTTTAGCGATTGAATTTGGCGTCTAGCCTCGATCATCATTACTAAAGTCGATACGATAAAAAACATAGTCTCGATTATCCAATTTTTTTTATTAAATTATCAATGAGCATTAAGCAGCAGATAGGATTCTAATCCAGAAAATATCGCAGGCTAGCGATGACATCAAGAGTTGATTATGGTCTGGATAAGTTAATTAATGTCTAATTAATAATTTAGATAACATTTCAGGCCTAAAGAAATATGTGCAATAGGCAGATTTAGCTTTCACATAATGTATGTTTAAGGTGGAATATATATATATATTTTGGGGAAATATTTTTATAGTCCTTTATTTAATGTGAGCATATTGTTGCTGAACCAAGATATTAGCCATAGAATTTTAGGATAGTCTCAGTCATCATTAACAAACAAGATCTCCATTATCCATTTTTACGTTAAATTATCCATCACAAAATGTAGTATTCAAATCCAGTAAATATTGCAGGCTAGCGATGGCATCGAGAGTTGTTTATGGTCTGGATACGTTAATTAATAATTTAGATTTAGAAAATAAATAAAATAAAATTTTGAGTTTACAAACCGTAGTGAACTAGATAAGAGTCAGTCCATGTTTTAAAATACGATTATTTGAAAGATACGAGCCACCTGTTTTAAGATATTAGTAATAAATAAAATGTTTTAAACGAGATCAATTAAAGATACATTATGTAAGATTTAGATGTGTGTAAGCGCCTAACAGGCAGCTGTGTGTAATTGTGCTCTCAAGATTTTGATCTTTTCTGTGTGTTTCAAGTATAGGTTTGTGACAAATATTTGCATATAAATGCAACCAACTGTAAGGAATCATTTAGTTAAATAATTTTGAAAAAATCTTTTGAATTTTAAAAGTTATTGTTGAAATATTGTTTCAAACTAAAATAGTATTTTGATCAACTGGTGTAACTGAACTGCTGTTAATCCGTATTGTTCTCCCGTACTCATCAAAACACTCATTGTTGTAAACAGAGAGGTGTGAAGGAAAGCAAACAAAGGATGTTGTTCAAATCACTTTATATCACTAAAGGTTAATCCATAATGATTAAATACTCACGTAGTGAGCTTTCAGAACTTAAATCAGTTAATTCTGTTCATACATCCATTGACTTTGACTGCTTAAAGCGGTTACATATATTTAAAAAACCCAGAGGCAAAAGAGCTGGAAGTCGAAAACAAAAGTTTATATCTGTTATAACTGGCAACAGACCATATCACCTGTATGACTATCCTGCAATTCCTGTAAACTTTAATAATCTTATATCTGTTAAACTTAATCACAAAAAGAAATTAAACAATCTTAAATTTGCCTTAATCAATGCCCGATCGGTCAGAATAAGACACAACTCTTGGCTGAGTTTGTTATAGAACACCGTATTGACCTTCTTGCCATCACAGAAACT